GACAACCCCTGGCAGAGTGTAAAGGGAAAATCAGACGGTCCGTGCGACATGTTCTTGACGGGCTCCCGTCTGTCTCTAACACTAGCTACCAAATCTACTCTGCTAGACAAGCAGCTAAATTGACAGGCGAAACAACCAGACAGCTAACTACTCCGTATAGTGCTGTTTACTTGCATCTGGCCTTTAGCCGTCTTCACACCAGCACCGTGTGTTCTTGGAGGGATCTGAACGGAGAATTTTCGGCCAGTGATGGAATTGTCGCCATCGAGAGTAACAGTCTATCCAGGAAGACAACTTGACAATGACGTTTGTACTATGTCAAAAGGTCGGTGAGGAAGTGAGGAGAGGGCAAACCGGTGGCCTGTTCGTTGGTCCGCTCTCTGGTAACTAGAAAGTAGGCAACTTAGCCCCGTCGCTAACGGCGAAAGAGACAAGACAGACAGGTCTCCAAACCCTGATCTTAGTTAACCCACGCCAGACAGACAGGAAGACAAAAAGACAGAGCGGCCAAACAGAGCGACTCCATTCCGCCGGGAGACAGGGCAGCCCTGTGGACTGGGACGTCTCCGTGGAGATTGTTGGCTGTGATTTGCCCACCCCTAGTCTCCCTCCCAGCCCCCCGGCCCTTCCCCCAAGGACTTGAGATGAGATGAGATGCATAGATAGTTACGACTACTCTGAACACTTACATGAAAGTGGCCCGGGGTGACCCTCCCTCCCCTCCCCTCCCCTCCCCCAATTCCAAGGATGGGACGATGAACGATGACGTCTCGCCATCCCTGAGCCGATAAACGGGGTTGTTCGACGCGGGATAGCAGAAAAGAAGTCAGGCCATCCGTTTCTTTTCTTTCGTACGATATTTTTTCTTTCTTTATTCCTTCCAGTAACCAAGGCAACTGGGCGAGAGCAAACGCATGTGCATAATTACAGACATACTTAATCCGTACAGTACATGGGCTACGCTATACTGATACAAACAAGCCCGTCCGGCCGCCGTCATGAATGGCAACCCTAGCGCGGGAGACGCATGGCGGCAGGCCGTCTATCCGAGCCAGAACTGTGATTCCTACCTGTGATAGGTGGCGGGGAAGAAGGGTCGACGCCCTCCTGTTCTGCCCTGCTGTGTCTTGTCCTGGGGCGGGCGGGGAGGGAGGGGGTAATATAGAGACGGGAGCCGAAGGACGGTACGGTTTAATCAAAGGAGGACTGAAGATGACATGCGCATATGAAGGAGTGTTCCAGCGAAGGTTCCGAAGGAGCTCGAGGAGTACTTGGAGGTACTTACTTACCTGTGACGCGGGTTCCTCAGGGGTAAAAGTCAGAGAGTGAAGGCAGAGAAGTCAAAAAAGGTAAGGGGAAAAAAATTGAAAAGATGGGTTCAATTTCGCTGGTGTTTCAAGGCGGTTGAACAGGAGCAAGGAGATTGAAGAGCAAGACTCAGGACAAGCCTCATGGTGGGGATGGAGGGGTAGAGCAGAGCATGGTGATGATGATGATGATGAAGATACGAAACGAGAGGGGCTCCATTATTGGCTACCACTTGCAATATATCCGGTCTCCGTGTTATTTCTGCGAAATAAACCAAGCGGTGTCTGAATGCCGGGGATAGGGAGGTTTTTGGTCGATGGAGTCGGCCGCTGCGCGAATCCAGGAAATCGTTACAACACATGGCATGCCATAAACCATGGATTGCATGGCAGAAGACAGATCAAGCCAGTATCTCATCCCGTAGAGCAAGTCAGCATTCAGCATCCCGCAGCCAAAACCTGATCACTGGACGGTACATCAGCTACACTCAGCATATAGAGTGTAAGGCTGAAGGGAAACTCCATCGCGCGGGAAGCCAATGAGAATACTGCGGCCAGCGGTCACTATACATACTTCCACACTCTCTACTTATCAGGAGCCCTGCCTGGGATCCCAACCACGAGTCCCAGCATCAGCAGCAAATTATTCTTTTTATAACTGGCTGAGCCGGGGCGCATCGCTCACACCCCCCTGGCCGCCGCCGCCGCCGAAATGCCATGTGAGGTGTGAGTGGGAACTGGCAGCGACGGCTTTTAACGAGATCAGAAGACCCAGCAGCGCCTCTCCGAGCATGAGGATCAAGATCAGGATGCTAAACTAGGGTAACCTAACCAACTAACGAGTTAACTAAACTGGAGATTAGCAGGTTAGCCAAAAGGATGGAGTCGTCTGCTCGACCAAATCAGTGCGCTGCGATATCGCGCCATTCATGGCAGAAGAAAGACAAGGAGAGACAGAGAGAGAGACACAAGAGAGATGGTGATCATGAAGCCGAAAAGAAATCACATCACAGATCACAGCGCATGAAAAGAAAAGAAAGTCCGAGACATCGAATCATCTGGACAAGAGTTCTCCGTCGAGTTTTGATGGCTCAATGAAAGTACAGAGTAAGTATGTAGATGGGCAGTTGGCTGTTCAGCTTCATTTTTGATACTCAGCTTTCGATGCTCGTCGCCATCTATCTCAGCTCGATGTGGCTCAACTGCTCTCCATCGCCAGTGGCCGCCTTTAATATACCACAGCAGTCAGCTCTCTGTGCGTGTATGTGCGTATATGCATGCTACTAGAGCCGGTGGCGGTTCTCCCCCTCATAGGCGGAGCAGTCGATGCGCCCAGTCCTGGTGAAAAAGCAAAGCCGTCGATGCGTCCTTGGCCGTCCGTGGTCACGGAGATGGGATGGGCAATTTCGCAACATATGTAGTAAGAGGGTGAACGGCGATCCTTGATGTCGATGTCGATTCATTCTCCCTCACTACTCTAGTCCTTTTGCGATGGGTTACGGAGTACTACTATTAGTCCAATGCACTCGGACGGGGGCGTCTTGTGCTTCGTGACGGGCGATGGCCCTCGTAAGTAAGAGTGTATATACGGAGAGACCTAGTTAAACTGCAAATGGCGAGCAAAGAATGCTCCGTCCGGGTGGAGATGGGACAAAATTTCTTCTGAAGGGCGGAGAATAGCCGTGTCCATCCATCCATCCATCCCCATCCATCACTCACGATGACGATGATGATGATGGTGGTGGTGATGTCTGTCTGGATCGTGGGTGTAAACAGTCTCACATAGTTACTTACTGCCTGCATAGTGTACCGAGTACCGACAGTTCAAATAAGTCAATACGCCTGCTGTGAGGATTCCATTCATAACTGGGTCTATCTAAGACTAGCTGATAGTTGATAGCTCGTTAAGGGTGGTTTATATATAAATATATCCCGTTCGCAGGAGATCGGCCGCCCCTCGACGCAAGAGACCGACCAACCGACTGCACCGCAACCGACGATGAAAAGCAAAATAGAGACAAGAAACGACGGAGACGAAGGAGGAGGAGAAGAAGAAGAAGAAGAAGCAAAAAGAGGGAAGATGCCTGCATGCATGAGCCTGCTGCACCTGCAATGCATGGATCCCGGCCTATAGTTTACACCCTTCTTATAATTAAGACGAACCCGAGCAGCTAACTAAACTCGCTAGTGTTCGGCCTAGGAAGCGCAGAAAAAGGGAACCCGAGCTCGAGAGAGAGAGAAAAAAAAGCAAGCTGATTCGATATCATATTTCCCCATGCACACAAAGAGTGAGAGCGAGTAGTGTACTTTTCTGTGCATGCGCTGCAGCCTCCCTCTGCTCGGCGGAAGAAGAAGAGTTTTTTTAGCACGGAGAGGAGCCCACGGTGGAGATGGAGAGAGGGAGAGAGAGTGAAGCAGGAAGACTTCGGATGCCCCGTTGTCGACGTCACTACGGAGTCTCTGCTGCTTGACTGGTGGCAGGTAGAAAGTCAATGAGAGAGACTCTGCTGGTAAGTAAGGAGGAGTTACTTGTGTGTCTTCTATGAACAATCGCGGTGAGCTCGATATCTAGACCAGACGTTGGAACGAGCAATGCACCGATAAGCAGGGAAAGACGAGATGAAAAAGCAAGTCGACTGCACTGCACAGTCTGCATCTCTACCGAGCATCATCCCTCCTTGACTGCTGCGCCTGTACGTGCATATATGAATTATAATACAGGAAGGATGCAAGTATGGATGTTCTCTGCATGTGGCGCGTAGACTGAGCGGTGAAGAAGATGTGGATGTCGATGTCGATGTCGATGTCGAGATCGAGGCCGATGGATGGAGATAACTAGTTTAACTAGATGAGAGCCAAAGAAAAAAAAAAAAGGCCTGAAAATGAGGCTGTAGTGGGATGTCGGAGTAAGAATGGCTATGGAGTATGTAAGGTAAGGCTGTCTGTTAGTCTATCCGCCTCAATTGATCTTTGCCCTGCCCGTCATCGTCATCGTCATCGATGGTCCGATGGAGGGGTTGTCCAGTCCCTCTGCGGGTGGAGATGAAAAGCGATGAAATTTTCTCTTGTGCAGCAGGCAGGGTGGGTAGGACGGCTTTTCGACCCTTTAACCGGAGAAGCGTAGAGAGATGGATATTATTTATTGGTTATAGTAGTATATAGTAGTATTGTCGTGTTGTACCATGGGAAGAGTACTCTCCATCTGGTTATCTTGTCGTCGTACATGAGATTACTCGTCTATGCTTGTCTGCCGGAAGACTATAAAAACGAGTACACTTTTTTACTTCTCTAAAGTATGTACGGAGTAACTAAGTAGAGAGATGGCCGGGTCAAGCTGTCATTGGCCATCTGCAGGCAGGCGGACGGCAGTGAAACCGTCGTCAGTTAAGAAAGTAAGCAGGCAGACAGGATACAGATAGTTATGGTCGTGGTCGTGGTCATCAGGGGGAGGCAAGTCATGCTTTGTACCCGTCCCGTAGACTTCAAGAGTCAGTCAAGAGGCAGTCAAGAGGCAGTCAAGAGGCAGTCAGAAGATGATACATAAAATGATACATAAGATGATCTGATCGAGCAGAGTTGAGAGGGAGTAAGGGGAGTCCCTGTCCAGTCCACTTGCGAACTCACAGAGCCTCCGGACTGTCCATCTCCTCCGTCTCCATGTCGAAGTCAGAGTAACAACCTAAGAGCAGCAGCATGTCCCAGGTAGCCACCAGCCACCAGCCAGAGAGAGCCAGAGAGCCAGAGAGCCAGAGAGAGGGGAGAAGAACGAGAGAGAAAAAGCAAGCAAAGCAGAAGAAGCAAAGAAAGACGCAGAAAAAGCAAGGAGAAAGAACTCAAACTAAGTAAACTCCTCTTTGCTTCTTCGTCTTCCTATGCTTTCTTTTTTCTGCTTCGACTCAAGAGGGAAAAGAGATATGGACTGCATGTAAATACTCCGTAATAGAGGGAACCGATCTCCATCCAGTTGATATCGAAGACAACCAGAGTACTCTGTACTGAGTAGAAGCATCACCACTATCTCTAGATCACCATCACCATCGCCATCACTACCTCTAGCATCTCTATCAGCATCTCTATCTATCAGTATCTCTATCTATCTATCTATCTATCTTCTATCTATCTCTATCATGTAAATGTAACTATGTAAAAGGATCCCCCCTTTTTTGCCTTTCCTGCCTGTCACTTTTTCGCTGCTCTTTAACTGAGCGACCAATCAGAAGCCACAGCGGGCGCCCACGCCGAAAGAAGAAGAAGAAGAAGAAGAAGAAGATACAGCGATAGACATTATTAGGGATAGGGACAGGATAGGGATAGGGGTTCTCTTCTCTTCTCTTCTTTTACTCTTCTTCTCCTGCATCTTCTCCTGCTTGCATCCTCTCTCTTACATCTACTCCTGGATCTCTCGCCAGTTGAGAGTCACAGTCTCTCCTTAACTGCCTGCTGTCTCTCTCAGGGGCTGCTGGTCGACCGTTGGCAGAGTCAACAGTCCACGTTGGAATCAGCATCAGCCATCAGCCATCAGCTATCAGCCATCTCCAGGGAGTCTGCTCCTCCTGGCTACTGCTATCACCATCACTAGGTGCCTGGCTGTCATCCTCTGCTCGCTCAGGGGGACCTGGTGACCATCCACAAAACCTGCACATGAAAACCACCAGCTGGTCCGCCATCTTTTTTTTTCTGCGAGTCCCCTTTGAGCTGCTGAGAACCACCTTGTTGCCCTTCGCCACAGAGAGGGCCCTCCCCCCCGTAACATAACATATAACCGTCTGCTCCTCTTTGCTCCATCTCTCTCTCTTACTCTTCTTCTACTCCTCTGCTTCTCTGCTTCTCTACTTCTCTTCTTTTGCTTTTTATTCTACTACCTGTCCTGCTGCTCTGTCGTGCTGTCCGCTGCGACTCGAATCTCAACTGGACCGGGAGCTCGCCACAAACATGCCTCGCTACTCCGCGATTTCTATATGAACCGTCCGCGAAGAAGCCTTGCCTGCTGCTGCTGCTTGAAGATACCATCAGCTGCAGTGTCCAGAGGCTCGCCATGGAGAAACTCAACACGGAAGACGGGCAGCTCTTCATCAAGGTACCGTTTCGCCATAACAACAAACAAACATGAAACCAGCTGCCCTAGGAAGGCGAAAAAAATAGAAGAACAAACAAACAAACACAAAAAAAGAAGAGAAGCTAACATTTCTGTAGAGTCTCGCCAGGTTCGTCCGTACGCACGAGAAGGCCCTCGCAAATGCGATGCAGATGAGGCGCCAGTCGAGGAGCGTCGACCTCTCCTCGTCCCAGTCAAACTCTGCCGCAGCGTCTTCCTCGACCGGCCACAACACTTCTTCCTCCTCCTCCCACAACAACCACAACCACAGCCACAACCACAATCACAATCACAACCACAGTCAACACTCCCGCCAGCAGAGCCATGGAGTCCCAGGACGCTCCTCGACTGCCTCTGCGCTCGCTGCCGCGCTCTCCCTGGGGACACTCGGCCTCACCTCAGACTCTGTCCGGCCTGCCAGACTGACCCTGACCCCCCACCACCTCTTCTACCTGCTTTCCCGCTTCGAGGAGCTCTCTGTGCCTGTGGGACCGCTTAACATCCGCCTCGAGAACATCAACAACGAGACCTCCTCTGCATACGTCTCCTTTCTCAGCAAGCCGCAGCGGCCCCGTGGCAGCGCACCAGGCGGCGGCGGAGGAGACAGGGACTCGATTCACTCCGTCTCCAGCGTCCGCAGCGTCATGTCCACCATGAGCTCGTTCTGGTCCTCCTTTGGCCTCGGATCGTTCACCTCCCGGGACTCGGTCTCAAAGTCGGAAAAGGCCAAGGCTGCCCTGGAAGCAGACCTCAAATACCTCTATTCCTCCTTCACCAAAATCCCCTGCCTCAGACTCGCGCCAGACCACCGTGCCAGACTCATCAGCGGATACGAGGAGTTCCCCTTTGATACTGCAGTTCCCTTGCATTCCTTCAAGAACCTCTCGGCCCTGGAGATCATTGATGTAGACTTTCGCTCCTTTTTTGGTTGGGACAGGCTGGCCGAGCAGCTCAGGTCGCTTACGCTCAAGCGCGCCCAGCTGGAGGATATCGGTGACTTGCTGACGGGAATTGTGCTTGATGACATTGACAAGCGGAGGCGGAGGTCGTCCAAATCTCAGCCTTCTCCTGTCCTTGGTTGGCCGTCTAGTAGTAGCCATAGTCATAGTCATAGCCATAGCCACCACAACCACCATCACCAGCAGCACCACCACTACTCTTCCACCGCCCCGGAGCTGGGAAAGTCTCTGTCTGCCCCTGGATCTCCCGTGGCCGAACCTGACTTTGGAACCAGCGCCAGTCCCAAGGGCGGCACGGCCATGCTCAGAGGTGACTCGTCTGAAGGTGGTGCCGGTGTCGGTGCCAGAAAGAAACACGGCCGTGCTGGCAGTATCTCTCCGGGTGGTGGTGGCAGGCCTACCAGCGCCAGCAAGCCTGGATCCAGCCACCGTCATCACCACCACCACAACCATCACAACCACGGTCATGGCCATCATCGAGGACAGTCCTCCAAGATGAAACGATCTGGCTCAGGTAGCTCGGACTCCAGCGAGTCCTTTTCCACTTTCTTCCCCCGTGGTGACCGTGGCATCTCCAACATGATGGCCTCCACCTCCACTGCTGCATCCGCCAGCAACAATAGCAACTACAATAACCACACATACCTGAGCCCCTTTAAGTGGCGGTTCCTCAGGCACCTCAACCTCACGGATAACTCCCTGACCAGTGTCAGCGTAGCCAGTCTCGCTCCCGTAGCAAATACCTTGCACTCCCTTGACCTCTCCTGGAACCTCTTCACTGAGGTGCCAGACAGCCTCGCCTCGCTCGTGGCTCTCAGATCTCTAAATCTATCCCACTGCATGATAGATTCGCTGCACTCTCTCTCCCGCAGCCCCTTGCCAGCCATCACCTCTCTGAATCTCCGTGGCAACAGACTTCGCTCGATAGCCGGTGTTGAACGCCTGCTCTCGCTCGAACGTCTGGATCTGCGTGACAACGCCATCACGGATCCCGTCGAATTGGCCCGGCTGACTGCCATCCCTTATATCCGCGAGATCTGGATATCCGGGAATCCCTTTACTAAATCTCACTCCGGACACCGGGTTACCATCTTCAACTTATTTAGGCAGACGCCTGGATACCCCGAGGATATCTTCATTGATAACACGGGCCCGTCTTATTCGGAGAGAAAGCAGCTGGTCGAGCGAGTTGCAGAGCCTGAAGCAGCCCCTGTCATTCGAAAGTTTGAACAGAAGGCTGATTCCAAGGCTGAGGCCGTATCAGTTACCGTGTCTTCTTCTGGTGCTGGTGCTACTACTAGCACTACTACTACTACCGTGGACCAGGAGCTGCTTTCGCCAGAGGCGCATGTTGTTAAGCCTCGAGTCTCATCCTCGTCGGCAAACGCAGGGGTTGATGTGACTTCCCCTCGTCGAAAGAAGCATCATAGAAAGCGAGTTGTTGGTGTCAGCGCCAATGACACTGCTGCCGTGCATGCTGCTCCTGTGACTACCTTGCCTGTCCAGCCAGAGACAAAGTTCCCCGACGGTTCCGTGGTCAGAAGTCAACCCGTGCCTGACCCGTTCATTGACAACCCAAAGTCAAAGTCAAAGTCAAAGCCACGAGAGACGATGCTGCAGCAGCAGCGGGAAGAGCTGCCGGTGTCTCCAACCACCGTGCGCCCCGTCACTCCAGTTCCTGCTGCCAGGACCCCCACTCCTGCAACTCCTGCAACAGACGACTCTCCAAAGGCGGGCACAACGACTTCTATATCCACGACTACTACAACGACTGAAGTAGAGACGCCCAAAAGCCGGACTCCTTTTCCTGGCCTCGACAACATCGACTGGGACGTCAGCGGTGACCTGTACCGCCAACGCCTCGAAGCCCTCAAGCATGAAGTCGGGACCAACTGGCTGACCGTGCTCGGTGACGACAACTTGGGCTGGACGACGACCAACACCACCAAGAACATCAATCTGCACCCGCAGACCCCGGAATTCCACCACTCACCCGCAGCTCCAATAAGACCTCCGCCCCCGATGGCTCGAACAAGCAGCCAGATCATCGTAACTGGTGGTCGGGCACTTGGTTGATCACACTCTTAACCAAATACTTCTACCTCAAACAAATATACCCCAGGAAAGAAAACAAACACAACAATAACAACAACAACATACATATCAAAGCATATACTGTATTAATCTTAATCACTCGCACACACACACAAAATTGGGAGGCATACGAATCTTTTTTCATTTCATGCGAATATCAAACCAGACAGGTACCAGCCGTCTGTGGTCCACGGGCGAAATTCAAACAAACCCCAGAACCTCCAAACTATCTCCAGCCGATCTACCTCTACCTCTCTACTCCACCTCCTACCCTATATATTTACGGTTTTCCCTTATCTTTCTCGGATATAGAAAAGCGTTTCTTTTCCCCCTCTTATTATTTTTTCCTATTTACTTTCTCTCCCTATCTACTCGGAGAGAAACCAGGATGACGAATGAACGGATCGAAGAAAAAGTTACTGCTGTTTTTGTTTGCTTGATATGCTCGAAGCCAGTCGAGGAGCTACTCTTTTTCACACACCTTTTTTTTTTTATTTGCACAGGGACGAGTGACCCTCCATTGACTGACCGACCGACTGATCGACTGACTTGATATTGATCAATCTCTTCTCTTGTTCCTTGCTCTCACTCTCGAATGACGGATGGATGCTTGCTCTACTGTCTATTTCTTGCCTCTTTTTCTTCTTGCTTTATACCACTTGGGTTTTCTTCATTTCTTCATTTCCTTTCCTGCTTTGCTTTTGCTTCGGATGCATGTTCACGTTCACGTTTATCGGAGTTCAGGCTGTTTCTTCTTCCTTTCCTTTCCTCAAGACCAAGAATCAAGACTGTGTTTGGTTTATACATCTCCCCCTTCTGCGCGCGGCCTGCCTAATACCTTTTCTGCCTGCTTTAATCTCTGCTTTGCTGCGTTCACTCTTGCTGTTTTTTTTTTCCCTGCACCGCACAAACTAATGATGACTTGACGCTGAGCTGCTGCCCCTGCCTAACTACCTTAACGCACTCTTACAGTCGGGCATGTCGGAGGAGGTATACCGAATATCCCTAGATATCACATCCATCCCCCCACCCCCTTTTAGACCGATTGTACATTACTCTCTCCCCTGGGCGGCATTTTTGTCCTTTTTCTTCCTTTTCTTCTTTTCTCTTTCTGATCTGGCGTTTGCATAGCGTGGTTTTTATCTTCTTCTTTTCCTTCTCCTTCTTCTTCTTCCTCTTCGTCCTTTCTTTTACGCTCTTCTGGCTGGCTTCTCTCGTCTTCTCTGGATGTCTCGTTCTTGCTTAGCTGTTGGGCTCAAAAAGAAAATAAAAAATAACTTGCTTTGTTGATCGTCGAGTAAACACGTAAATCCATCTATCAGTAGATATTACATCGTAGAAATAAAGCATAAGCAGTACGGAGTAGATATATGATATCATTATTATGATGTGATGCTGTTGATGTTGATGTTGATGTTGTTGTTGTGCCTTTTAGCCCCAAAAACCTGCCTTGCCTGGTCCCGCGCTCGCCTTTTCCCGCCTTTTCTCGCCCTCCCTTTTTTTTCCTGCTTTTTCTTCTTCTTCTTCTTCTTCCCTTCAACCACCGCCAGCCCAAACAAACCACCAGCCCCAGCGCCGCTCCAGCAACCGCCCGCCCTCTCTCTCTCAACCCAACTCAACAGCCCCAGCAGCCGACCATCTCGCATCTCCCAGCCATCCACTTAACGGCTCTCTCCAGTCAGAGAGAAGAAAAGAAAAACCCCCTGCTCGCGCTACTTCACGCCACCTCTTTCGCTCCGATTGCGCGTTTCGTCGAAAATTTTCAACCCGCACACGAGAACGACGCACGCATCTACTACGATCGATCGGATCGAGAGCCATCTATCTCACCACGACCACAAACCAGCCCTAAGACAGGCGAATACCTGACCTTGCCTTGCTCGCTCGCAGCTTGCGTGTTGGTATCGACTTCTCCTCCCTTGCTCGCTTCCGTGTGCTGCTGCTGCTGCTGCTGCTGCTGCTGGCATCCCATTCACTCAAAAGACTCACCCAACGAGGCGCCGGTGTCGAGTCCCTTGTCCCATCTTCGCAGACCAAGAACGGGCCAAACGGTGATTTTAAACGAAGATAATAAAAAATAACAAGCCAAGCGGGATAGCTTTTCTTCTTTCAGCTGCTTGACATTCATCTCCTTCTTCTACTTCCCCGTGGTTGTTACACGTCTTGTGTCTGCATCTACTTCTGCGTCTACCCGCTTCCCCAACCCTGCCTGGCCATCAGGGCCTGACCTCTTCTTCTTCTTCTTCTTCTACTACTACTTCTACTTCTACTACTCTCTCCCACCGTCCTTCGTCTTTCGTCCGTCAACTTTCTCAGTGTCGGCGGCAGCTCGTCTACGTTTTGACCCTAGCCGGTCCCAAGGTTGGTTCTGCTCCATCTTTCTTAACCGGTTCTGCCATGCTTGAAACGGCTTTCCCATTTTTTCCCTCCCGTCGTGCATCTCCAGCTAATCATTATTAATCATTTCTTCTCAGCATCCCGACAGCAAGAGGCAACAGATAACAAGAGACTTCTCTTCTCTTCTGGCCTCTTCGCGCCTTGCCTGACCCCCTTCGACCCATAGACCACTGCTGGCTGACGCGACGTGACTACTTTTTGCTGTCCTCGTGGGAGGTTTTTTTCCTGTCTTATATTTCTCCCTCTTTTTTTTTTTTTTCCTTCCTTTTTTTCTTTCCTTACTTCTTCTTTTTCTCTCCCCTGCACTGGTAGCCACCCCACGCACACGCACACACGATGGCGGACCAGAACGAGATCGATTTGGATTCGATCATTGATAGACTGTTGGAGGTGAGGGGCAGTCGTCCCGGAAAGCAGGTCCAGCTGCTCGAGTCCGAGATCCGCCATCTTTGCACCAAGGCTAGAGAGATCTTCATTTCGCAGCCTATACTTTTGGAGTTGGAGGCCCCGATAAAGGTATGTTGAACCGTATAAGAGTCGACGAAAGAGAGAAGAGAAAGAGGAGAAAGAAAAAAAAAACTAACTCGCGCAAGATATGCGGTGATATTCATGGCCAGTACTACGATCTCTTGCGCCTGTTCGAGTACGGAGGTTTCCCGCCGGAAGCCAACTACCTCTTCCTAGGCGACTACGTAGACCGAGGCAAGCAGTCTCTCGAGACCATCTGTCTACTCCTCGCATACAAGATCAAATATCCAGAGAACTTCTTCGTGCTCCGCGGCAACCACGAGTGCGCTTCCATCAACCGTATCTACGGCTTCTACGACGAGTGCAAGCGAAGATACAACATCAAGCTCTGGAAGACCTTTACCGACTGCTTCAACTGCCTCCCAATTGCCGCCATCATCGACGAGAAGATCTTCACCATGCACGGTGGTCTCAGTCCCGATCTCAACTCCATGGAACAGATTCGCCGTGTCATGCGTCCAACAGATGTAAGTCCCTCCCCCTTGTTCGTGTGACGATTGAACTGATACGCGTCCATTTTCGGATGCCCGGAGGACGGTCTCTTCATTCTTTTTATTCCCTGTCCCTTTGCCATTTCCCCGGGAATTCCCTCTCTTCCCTTTTTGGGATACAAGCTTGATTATTTATTACTCTTTTTTATGCATGGCGTCAGTTTGAGCTGTCGACGATTGACTCTACTGATCTATTTAGATTCCTGACTGCGGTCTCCTCTGCGATCTCCTCTGGTCTGATCCTGACAAGGACATCACCGGCTGGAGCGAAAACGATCGAGGTGTCTCCTTCACATTCGGCCCCGACGTCGTCTCGCGGTTCTTGCAGAAGCATGACATGGACCTCATCTGTCGAGCACATCAGGTAGTCGAGGATGGCTACGAGTTCTTCTCCAAGCGGCAGCTGGTCACGCTCTTCAGCGCACCAAACTACTGCGGAGAATTCGACAATGCCGGAGCTATGATGAGTGTAGACGAGAGCCTTCTCTGTTCATTCCAGGTATGCTCTCTGCTCTCCTCTCCACTCACTGTAACTGGACAACTTTTTTTTTTTTCTTTTCTTTTCCTGACGCTAACCTTTTCTCACACCTGTAGATCCTGAAACCAGCCGAAAAGAAACAAAAGTACGTCTACGGAGGCATGGCACCTAACAGACCCATCACTCCTCCAAGGAAGCAGAAGAAAAAGTAAACAAGAGAAAATATACGAGCTTTCCCTCATATAGCAGGTTCGGGCGGAGATAATACGCGCCATATTCATCATCACCAACAACCACCACCACTCGATTGAACCGACCACCATACCCTCCGTACCATTCTACCACCGGCGCACACTCACACACACACACATACTCACACCACTGCATTCTCAACAACCAATTCATTGCATATCCGTATATGTACACGCCGCCAAGACACATTTCGCTCATGCAGGCGAACCATCAGCATCCGGCCTGATCTCGCGTCCGATTGATTGTCAGAATCTACGCCACCGACAAATACCTCTTGCTCTTCCCTCCCCCGTCTCTCCCAATCCCATCCGACCGAGCTAGAACGAGACCAGCTCAGACCGCACCAGCGCCGATTGGCCTCATCTTCATTCAGCTTCATCCCTTCTTCTTTTTTGCTTTCCCGACCTACTTACTTTCTTCTTCTCTTCTACTTTTTTTTTTTTTTGTGCCTACAATATATCTTCCGTGTACGATTTGTATGAAGCGCTGCAGTGAACGGAACGGAACTCTACGTACTTTTACCCTGACGACTACCCACCGACCGATCCCTTTTCTTGCTCTGTGGTTTCTCCTCCTCCCCCCTCTCGTCCCTCCCAGGCAGGTGGTGGCATGGCATGGCATGGCATGGCAACTTAATGACATCTCTGATTTTTTTGTCTTCTTGAGGTGGCTTAAGGAAAGAAGTTGGTAGTTATCGGCTCCAGTATATCAGTAGCTAGTAGCGTGGATAATTCACTTCTTCTCTTGCTGCTCTCTGCTTTGCTTGCTAGGCCCCCCTGCCCTTTTCCCTCTTCCTTTTCCTCTTCCCAGTTCCTTTTACACCAGTTGCTCTGCATCTTTTCCAAACGGCGTCGACGTCGATATTTCATTTCCCTACCTACCTACCTACCCCCTTCTTACCTGGTTTTCCACTTTACTTGCTCGCTCGTTCTTGGTTGGAGAAAAGGCATAGCCGGGAGTGGTGTGATGTGTGTCCCCTTTCCCTTTTTTTGTTGTATCTCCTTGCTCACTTTCAATATGTTATACCTGTCTCCTGTCTACTGTTGTGTTGTTGTCTAATGATCCCATCGAATAATATACATTTGACCCGTCCTCAACTTATCTTCCTTACGTAGCAGATCATAATATCTGTCCAAACCAATCTGGCTGGGGTTTTGCTTTATGAAAGTGTATAAGAGAGCCGCGAGCCTATTTATCTGTAGCTATGTCTTTGAACACGAGAGAAATAATCCAAGTAGAAAAAGGATAGAAAGAAAATAAAAGAGAAATAAAATAAATCGTCAAAAGAAGCTATGATTTGCTGGATGGATTCATAATAGGTAGAGAATTAATTAGAGGCATTGGACGGGATCGGGGGGTAAAGGACTGGGTGTGTGTTGTAGTGAGAAGGGAGTACGGCCAAGTGAGTGAGTGAGTTGAGTGGGCAGGCGGGTGATTAGGCGCACCTACGTACTCGCTCACCGTCGTTCATGCTCTGGTGAAGTAAGTTGCTAGCATGATACAACAAGAAAATAAAAGGAGAATACATGCATCGACGGTTCATTCCCATTTTAGATAAGCGTAGTCAGTGGTGGTGTAGTCAGTGGTGGTGGTGTTGTTGTTGTTGTGAAACTGGTTTGCGACATTTAGACGTATTGCGACATCCATCGGATACCTTCACCGTAGCCTAAATATTCCCGAACAAGGTCCTTAGCATTGGCCCAAGCTTCGTAGCGTTTAACCGAGTTGTGTGTGGGTAGGCAGATCATGAACTTACCCTGTCTCATCACGACACTGCACATAAACAGCTCGATGGGCCTGATTCCCTCCAACGGCACCTTGCCCTTGCCAGTGGTCTGATACAGACCCAGAGCAGCTCTGAGCTGGTCCTCGGAGACAGCGGAGGGATGGTCGATTTTATTTCCGAGAACGAGGAACGGGACCTTGGCTAGATCTTCCATGTTGAGAAGAGCGTCGAGCTCGGCTTTGGCTTCGGGGAAACGCTCCACGTCCATCGAATCGACTAGGAAGACGATGCCGTTGACTTCGGGGAAGTAGTCTCTCCACAGGCGACGGGCCTGCAAGTGACCGCCCAAATCGAAGGTGGTGAATCTGTTGTTGCCGATAGCCAGCTCTTCAGAGGCTGTTTTACGTAGTATGGCGTTAGCCTGGGGGTTTTATTGCAATCTACTTATATGTGGTGTGAGCGAGGGTTGAGAAAAAAAACGCACTTGGGTGTGAGGTAGGCTGCATGAGAGCAACCCGGTCGTTCTTCAACATGTGCAGAAGAGTGGTCTTTCCAGCATTATCGAGGCCGAGGAACAGTAGTTTGGCATGCTTGTTGAGCAGGCCGAGCGAGGCGAGGACATCGTAGACTAGAATCCGTCGAGGGATTTAAAATGTTAGCCTTCTCGAGTCTACGTGTTCACAGGTGTTCTGACAGGTTGCATGCGCTTCGGTGTGCCGCGGGGCCTCATGAAAACAAGGAAAGATATAACGGGGTTTAAAAAGGCTCAAAATGCAAGACAGAGTACATACACCAGTTGATAATCCACATGGTGGGCTGCGGGAAGCTCTCTCAGTGCGAGGTAGAAGTGGTATTGAATGCGTTTTGTGCGTGAGAGTGGAAGGGTGTAGTGCGAAGAAAAATAGGAAGCTTTCTGGCGTGGAGGCGTGTGTCTGCTCTGTTCTTACAGCAGTAGCTGGGCCAGCGGACGTCCCTTGAGCAGCGGCAGTGAAGTGTCAGTTGAGTGAAGCGTGTTGCAATGCGATAGGGGTGCGGTGGTGTGCGGTACGAGATGCGCGAAGCTGCTGCAGGGAAGAAACTCGAAGTTGGATTGTTTCTTTTTGGTCTTTTGGTAGTTTATTTAATACGGCAGAGGTGTTAAGAAAAAGGCCTGGTCACGTGGGGGCGCTATAACATAACAACCCACGTCAAATAATATTATACTCTAGCTTTAAAAAAATCCTCTATCTAGCCTTATATTCTTCTAATCTATAGTATTTACCTATAATTAGAAGAAGCTTAGGGGAGATTATTTCTCTAAGAAATTAAATAGGAGGTGATTAACCATCTGTTCGAGTCCACAGAAGAAATCCAAATTTTTGATAATTTAGTGGCCATGTAGGAAATTATTATCAGAGAATAAACACGCAACTTCTTGATTGCAAAGATGCCCAAACTTTACGTTGAGTGCCATTCCTCATTGCAGATTATGGAGACGGTATTCGTACATTGCTTATATCACAGAGGGTAAGAACCATGATGAAGGTAACAGCATTGCGACATTAATAATTCATAAGGGAGCAAGCTTTTGTTTATGAAGAGTGGGAGGAAGGGCATGACCGATTGCTTTTTTGGGTACATAGATGTAGATAAATTCAGGAGGGAGGGGGCTAGGCTGGAGTAAAACCCATAAACCTAATAGGCCCGTCTGCCATTCTGCGGAAGTTCGTAATAGAGAGATTATATGTATCCGCCGGGTTTCTATTGGGAAAGATGCAACTGCCAAAGAGTTGCCTTCTTGATATGGGAATCACCTGGTTTGTATTATTTGCTGGTGCAGGAAAGATTTCCTAGTACTTATTAGTGGCTGTAAAATATATTCTCAAATCAAATATAGCAGTCACATACCTCAGTCTGTAGTAAGACAACATTCCCAGCAAGATCCCTTCCATGAACGTGCAAATCTCCTTTTACACGGCCATTACTTATCTTGGTCCATCGAATTAAGAACACTAGCTCAACGGCTGTGCCTCCGATAAGCCAAAGATCCTTGTCAGCCTCCAACCGTGGCCAAGACTCCGACCAGCCTGACTCGACAGCAATAGTTGGTAGAGGCAATGAGTCCGGAAGGATACACGCATCAGGCTCTTTTACAGCGGAGGTATATGGTGCCGCAAAACCAGTAAAAGCTAATAAGAGAATGTCAATCAAATTGAACTTCAAAAAGGAAAGAAAGGTGAAATAAAAGCTGAATAGGTGCATCATACTCGTTCCAACGCGGAGTCTTAGTTCATCTATTTCTGCTTCCGTCAAGAATCCAGCCGTAACCATACCGCGCAGCTCTTTTGAAAGCCACTCTTGGTGGCAGTCATGGACTGTAGTCGGCATAACTCGGGCAGTCAGAACTTTGGTTAAAGGGTTATACGAAATGCTAGAATAATGTTTAGAAGTTGTTTCAAATCTTCTTGTGGTGGCTGCTTTTGGTAACGTACCGAGGAAGCGCCCTTTCAATCTCGGGATCCTCTGAAAATGATGTTGCAATTTGGAATCCGGCAGAAGGAGAAATATTTTGGAAAGTCAGATCAGTAGAGTGGTTTGTGTTTAAAATCTCATTTCGAATGTTGTTGAACAACTTCTGAGCAGACGGTTCTTCGGCTGGAAATTTTGTGTTGCTCCGTAGAGAGCGCGTTGGGCCGGTGACGCTTCCCATTGTTGTCAGATACTCAATAGAGATGGGTCTATCTGCACAAGAAACCGTATTTGTTCGAATATTCCTAAGAGAATAGAACTGGAGGATGATATCGTGATGCCGGAGCCTATATCTTCGTGGTTGTTGTAAACGTCCAGACTATCTTATCTGTTATGCTGATGAGTAGTACAGGGTGACTAGCTAATAGAAGCCTGCTGTTGACCGAGGGCAGACGTCGTGAGTAAGAAGATAAATATCAAAGGTGAAGGACTTAGTAAAGGGCTGGTATTTGGCTGCAGAAGACATACATAGTTTTCTTTGTTTTGCACAGGATGTAGTTCTAATAGTTAGTTATAGAGGACAAGGTTTGATATCACGTCATCATGCAGAGGTGTTAAGAAAAAGGCCTGGTCACGTGGAGGCGCTATAACCTAACAACCACGTCAAGGCAAAATGACGGAGACTACCTTTGGGGCGACGGAATGGAAAGTCGATGATGACAGATGGCAGATGGCGAGTGGCAGACACGGAGCAGGTACTTGTTGATTTATTGATTTGGTTCATTTCATTCAGTCGTTATCATGGCATAAGATGTAGTATCAGAGTAGCATAGAAAGGAGACCCCCTCCCCGGCCTAGTCTAGTATGAAAGATGCAATTTAAAAACAGAGGACCAACCCCAGCTGGGAGGATTCAACTCCAGAGTCTCAGGTACAATGAGCGAAAAGGACTAAAGGACAGGTATAGGTATGTACAGAGGGAAAGGATAGAGAAGAAGATCGAACAGAGTGAGACAGATAAGAATATGAAAGAAAAAGTAGAAGAAAAGGAGGAATGGAAATAGTTAGAGTTAAAAAGATAAAAATATTGACATGAAGAAGGATAGAAAGAATAAGAAAGGGAAGAAAAAAGGGAAATGAAAAAGGATAAACAAATGCTAGCTGAAACAGTCAAGCGAAGTCAAGTCAAGCCAGGATATCATGAAGCTGTATTCACTGCGATCTGCGCAATAGGAAAAATAATCAAGCATCCAGCATGGAGTATAAATAGAATATGAAATAGTCAAAGGGAAAGGTGAGAAGAAATCAATTCTTGTCTTCGAGGAAGGGAGACTAGAGAGGGAGATAAAAAAGGACAATGGGGGGAACACCTCTTAACTTTTGGTAGGTCGTTAATAGTTCGTTTGTCTACGCCCGTGCCAGTGGCGTGACGTAGTGTGGGTAGTAGCGAGTTAATAGCGAGATAGATAGAATGTTGAGGTGTTTATATCGAAAGGACGAGTTTTGGTCCGTTTCCACCGTTGACGCCAACACCATAGGCTCTGAATCTCTCCGCGACTTCGATGCCAAGTTCCTTCATACGCTCTGCGCCTCGGCCCGGGACCATCTTTTCACGAGAGTGGATTTGGTCCTTTGCAGCACGGCGGCAGTGTTGACGCCAGAACTTTTCTTTCCGCTTTTGTCTCTTCTTCTCAAGACCGGCAACGATGTCGATTGGTCCTCGGGTGTGAGTAGAACTGGATTTGGTTTTGGTAGATGCCTTTTGGCCGGGGGATGGAGAGCGGGAGGTGCGTTTGTAGATGTTGGATGAGTAGCCACGGGCAAAGAAAGGGTTGGGAGTTCGTGGAAGAGAAGAAGTCCGGGTGCGGTTTGGTCGTTGAGCAAGAGCAACAGCTATTTTCTTTGCCGTAGGACCTGCACCTAGATTCGGAGGATTGATGAGAGATGTGCGGCGAGAGGGAGGCGGAGAGCGTAGTCGACCAGGTGGTGGAGGGGAGCGGAGGCGACGAGGAGAGTGCCCAAACAGTCTGCGAGGAGAGTGTGCTGCTGCCTTCGAGGTCTTCTCGATGGTGGTTCGGCTAGATCGACGTCCACGAGGGGGCTCGACAGCATCGTCATCGTCAGCCTTTTGCTTACGAGCAGCTGTTGGGTTGGCAGACACATCATCGTCTGCATCTTCATCGTCTTCGTCCTCGATGTCGGAGGTAGGGAAGCTGGGATCGATGTCCTGAGGGATGGGGATGTGTTTCTGGCGTCGCCGCTCTTCCATTCGAGAGATGTAGGCGACTTCAATGGACCTGTCTTCGTCCAGGGTGCCACAGACAAAGTCAGTGCTATCAGGAAGGCTGGGAGCTGTAGACTTCGACTTCTTCTCCTTGGCCGCAGCAGCACGCTTCGGCTCGAATGGAGGAACCGTGTCTAGCGGACCGGGGCTAGCGAGAGACTCGACGGATCCGTGAGACTCCTTCCATTTCATCGGCGGTGGCATGACAGTGATATCGGAGTGCGAGGTGGCTGCTGTAGTAGTGGGAGTCCAGAATGCGTAGTCCGATTCCCCATCGTCGTCGTCCGAGGAGCCGAATCCTGCTTCATTGTCTGTCTCATTGCCGTCGTCAGACAAGTCTTGGTTCCCATCATCTTCATCGTCTTCATCCTCATCCTCCTCCTCATCATCCTCGTCGTCCTCGTCATCATCATTGTTCTCATCGTCATCGTCGTCGTTCTCGTCATCGTCCTCATCATTCTCAGCCTCCTCAGCCTCTTCCTGTGCCTCAGCCTCAACTTCCTCACCCAGCTTGCGGATAACATTCTCTTTCCGCATGCAATCGTCCACAGTCATCTTATGCTTGTAATCAGACGATTCGTTTAGCCAATCTTCGTCTTCCAGAGAGCTTCCAAATTCCTGGAAACGGGTGGCGTCCGATAACTCAAACTTTCCGAGCCCAGTCACCTTCAACGAACCAGTCGCGGGTGCAGGTTCAGTAGGTTTAATTCCCGGTGTTTGGGATACTTCGAGGGATCTGGCCTGGTACCTGGATTGTAGACTCATTGGCGCAGGTGATCGGCTTCCCCGAATACCAGCAGAAGGCTTGCTTGTAGATTGTTTCTGGTTCTTGATATCAACATCGGTGTCCCGGGGTCTGGCTGGACATGCAAACTTGATGGTCGATTTGCGCTTAGGAGGATCGGCAGCCACGGGATCGCTCTGGGTATGGTCGACAGGGTCAATCTTATTGGCACAGGCAAAGGTAATGCATCGCTTACGGCCCAGGTTAGCTTCCAGCTTCAACTCATGTTCATCGACAGGAGAGACGGGTTTGGAAGGTGGCTCAGCTGCCACCCACGGAGGACGTGTGAACTGTGTGGGAGGAGGCGGTGAGGGAGTAGTCGATCGAGGAGGAGTGGTCAGTTCACCGTCACTGGTGAGTTCGGCTGTCGAAGGACCGCTATGGTTAGGGTTGATAGAGAATGCAGGTACGCTTCTCCAGGTAATGCCGGAGGCCGCACGGTCAGTCGGGGAGAGCTCGGGGCTGCTGAGCAGAGCTCGAGTGAGGAGTGACTCCTTTGAGACTTTGGGCCTGGAGTTGCTGATGCTGACGGTGGTCTTGTTGCTAGCGGTCGGAGCGTGTTCGTGGGAATGGGATCGGACGGTGCTAACACGGGCTCGACACCCTGGAGGCTCGTCACACTCTGCAGCGGCCTCTTCTTCGTCGGTTGGAGCCATATTTGGCGTCTGTGATATGATAGGCATGATGGTGTCTGTCTTTCTTCTTCTTTTTCTTCGAGCAAGAAGTAAAAAAGAGGAGAAGAATATGATTGCGAGTTCAAAAATCAAAAAGCCAACGTAAGGAGAAAAAAGTAGTAGAGGTATAAAAATCGTAGTAATACTTCTTCTGGTGCGAAGTTGAAAGCTGAAGGTGATGGCCGGTGAAAGGTAGATAATCCCTACCGGCGGTGGTGATCAGTTTAAGTAGTGAAAAGGTGCGAGACGCAAATGTCCATCAGGACAAACGTGGTGTCATAAGTGAACCACCATGATGTACAGGGGCGTCGATGCTCGGGAGACGAGGGAGAAGCCGGCCAAGGAGTTGAAGGAAGGGTCAAGAACGCGCCAAGCAGGCGTCTTGCCGCCGAGACAGCAGCTATGCGGTGGCCAGCAGGAGGTGAAGTGGTGAAGTGAAGCTGGTGTCGTCCGGTGTTTTGCCCTGCCTGAAATGGTGATACAAGGGCCTAGACTCCGCCGGCGTGGAACTCGCTATCTGTCTTCCTGCCTCTCGATCCTGACTGACTGTGACTGTGTCTGTGTCTCGGTCTGTATCTCCGTCCGCCGGTCTGTGGCGCTGCCCTAGGGGGGGTTCGAGGTTGGAGTCGAGATTGAGGTTGTGAAATGCTTGTTGCTGTAAGGGACCAGGTCGGTTGCTTAAGTAGACGTGTGCGGCGAAAGAAGCAACGTGCAACGGCAAGCCGACGGCCTTCTCTCGCTGCTGATCCGAGATGCTGTCCGAAGAGCTTCTTTTTCTTTTCTCTGAGCTGTCGTCGTCGCCGGCTGGTGGTTGGCTGGCAGTGGTGGTGGTGGTGGTGGTTGGTGGTGGTGAAGTGTTGGAGGTTGAAGTCGAGGAGGAAGAAGAAGTTGAAGTGCGAGAGAAAAAAAGAAGAAAAAAAGCGAAAAAAAGGAAGAAAAAAAAGAAAAAGGAAAAAGAAAAAAGTTCGCGGAGGAAGCAAGAAGATTCCGAGAAAGGCTAGCGGGGCGCTTTTCCTCTTTGGGCGAGGCGGCGTTGATGTCGAAGTCGAAGTCGATGACGGAGACGAAGTTGGCGATGAACTCGCTGGCGGTGACGATGATATTGATGATATTGATATTGATGTCGATGTTTCTTTGATGCCGATGTTGTCGATGCCGATGCTGGCGCTGGTGATGGCGAATGTGATGGGTTAAAGGCGAGTTCTGACCTTGTATAACGTACAGGCATATAACGACGCTGATCAGGCCGTGCAGTCCTGGCTTCCACGCTGGAGTCCGTCAAGGTCACTCGATACGCCAAAGAGAGGAAGCAATTCCCCGTCGTCCTCTCGTTCGCTTAGGAAAACTGGGGACGGCTCGATGACGATGCAGTGATGGGGACATCCTGGCTTGACCTGACGGACATGGTCGCCGGGGCTTGCTGTGCGCCCTTCCGGTTGGGAAGCTTGATCCCTACGCCTGCTCCATCAATAGACAAGGGCTGGAGACAGACAGCAGAGGGCAGATAGACTTACACGACGCTACTACTTACTCCTGCCGCTACCGCTACTGCTGCACCTCTGTTTATTGTTATTATTTATTACGCTTGCAGGACGCTGGCTGATTGCGAAGACAGCCAGGAATCATGCTGCTACGTGCGCCTTGGCCCCGTCTTGTCTTCAATCTGATGTGCTGCTTGGCCCTGGCTTGCTTTTTCCGATGGAGAACAGCATGCACAATATGCAGAGTGAACAACTGCGAAACTCTCCTTGGCTTCCCCGTCTCATCGACGGCCTGATGTCCCTTGGCCATCTTGTCTTTTTGCGGTTTGATGGGGCGGCCATGTGGAACCACGAGAACACCTGTGATTTTTAATTAACGTATCCAGTCAATTACCTGTGATGGACACCCAGATGAGCGTATATATGGAGCATTCTGTACGGAGTATATGATACTCTAATAATGGTATGCCAGAGAGAGGGCCTTTCCGCGCGCTATGGATGCGCTTCGATGGTGCGGGGTGTTACATACGACTACGCATATATTATTATTATTGTATGTCCATACTCCGTACTCCATCCTTACATATTCCATCAACACTAGGGACCTCGGAAGACCGATTGTTGAAACCGGAGGATGCTGATTAGTCGGTGTGGCAGATGCACTAGTGTGTGTACAGCAGTTATATCCGAACATGCCATCTCTTATTGAACCAGGAGTTGGGGAACACTGCAGAAGCGAAGAAGCAACAGAAAGGGAGAAGAAGCAAGAAACCAGGACCAGCCGAATAAGCAAAGCGAGGAAACAGAAGAAACCGCCCTTTTTCTTTTCCTTTTCGAAACGCGGCTCGCCATCTGAACGTCCGGGTGGACTTCCCCCGATCAGACAACTTCGTATAAATACAGCCAACAAATAGCTTGTTCGATTCGTCCCCCCTCCCAAATTAAGAGGGTAATTCGGCACTTGTCATCAATTATATATCGTCGGCGTTCCCCATCTCCATACATCTCTGGCTACTGTCCCTCGAAGGAGCAACTTCCCAACGTCAATGCGCATGGTCTCCTGCAGATCAACAACGCCAGTTTCATATCTTCTTATCCTTCTTATTGGGCCAGCGTCAAGAGCCCCCATGCCATCACGTGTCGGCTGTTCAGTCAGCCTGCTTACTCTTGCGTGCCCTGCGCCCGCCGCCGATTTGGACGGAGGAACAGAGCGATGCGGGAATATCCTCTGCCTGTCAACCACCGGATCAACATACAGCCAAGGCTGAGATGCATTCAGGTGCTTCACTTGGCTGACCACAGCCTCTCACCAATCGCTCAGAGATGGCTGCGTAAGGCATACAAGTCCGTATCGCGATGGGATGGGCCATGGCAGCAGCCATGGCAATTGGCAGGGTAATCAAGGTGATGGCAAGTGCCGAATCCTTAAAAGACACGGACAGATTTCCGAAGGACAAGGAAAAACAAACAAAACAAAACAAAATCACCGACAGCCAAAAAAAGAACAAAGGTGGTAATATAATAGTTATAGGGATGTGAAAAAGAAAAGGTAAGGGAAGGAAAGAAGCTTGCTATCTGTTGTGCACCTTCTCACCGGTAGACCCGTAAGAAGCACATGCAAAGGAAGGGATGTTAGGATTTAAACCACTTCAGCTCTAAAGGAGTACGTCTAACCCATACACCGCATATCTAGGCTGTACTCATATACATGTTCCAAGTACTCCATAGGTAAGTTAAAACAAGTGTTAATTAACCATGCTCCCGATCCCTGGAACAAGATATTCAATACTCAATTTATGTATTCTTACCCCATATTCATCTCAGACATGAAGAGACGGGAGGAAAAAAGAAACATATATTGACCCCCATCTGAAACCTTCCCGTACTCCAACATCACACCCAAGACACCCGTTCAATCAGATGAACAGGCAGCTTATCCCACGATTAAGCATCGCTAGTTTCCCCGCATGCTTCTTGACTTTGGCAAGTTTCGATGAAAAGCGGATGCGGACGTTAAGTCCCGGAGGCCTACCCCCTTAGTTTAGTTCAATGACAGGCCTGGTGGCAAGCATATGACGCCATGCGCGTTGGATCGTCACCGCTGCCCGACCGTATTTAGATGCCGAGAGGAGTCGGGAACTCAGAAATGCAAGTGCTGTGAGATTGGAGGCTTCCTCGCTGCTGGCGGCGACGGTGGTGGTGCGGGAGTGGGTGCATGATGATACAGATGTCTGTGCTGCAGCTGATAGCAAGACTGACGATGAAGGCGATGTTGATCGCGGGGATATAAGTGCCACTAACCCGCCAATTATTTTGTAAGTACCCATATTATCAACAGTGACGAAAATATAATATAAAAAAAAAGGGGTAAAAAAGGAAATTAGACGCCGGGAACGTACCGAATTGACTACTACATCCGAGTGAGAGCAGACGTCTTCTCAAGGCTGATTTATTATCAGTCGAGGATGTTGGGGTCTTAGTTGTCGCTGATGCTGTAGCTGACGTTTCCTTATCGGCTTTGACACTATGACTGCCGGGGCGGATGAAGTGTTCATATTCATCCAGGATACTCATGAATACATGTCCATCAGCTAGGCTTGTGGTCAGGTTTGAAACCTCCAAACCTTTCAGTCTTGCTAGACATGATGCCCAACGGTGGAGTAGACCCCAATGATAAGCTGCCGTGTCTGTCGTGGTTGTTTGCACATGGTATGGAGGAAGACTCCTTTGCTTCCGGGAAAGCCTACCGAGCTTCTTCTCCAGTCGGGCTATCTCACTCTTGAGATCATCCCAGTCGACCAGAGTTGAAAGGCCCCATTTGCCAACTATTACCCAAAGCAAGGCTATGGTCTTTTCTCGATACCCGTCCACGATATCTTCTGGCTTGATACTAGTGATAGTAGACCCGATGCTCGGGAAGTCCTTTGTCAACGCAGATAGTGAGATACGCGCATTGTGGACTTTCGTTGCACGGCTGATACACGGCATCTTCAGCTGGCCTGATAATGGCCATATCTCTTTATCTTTTGCGTGAAACCTCTCAGGGAAATGCTCGAGGAGAAGCAATTCAGTCAACCGAGCAAGAATAACTCCATCTCTAATATCGACTGCAATATTATCGATGTGGTAGTTATATTCTGCAATTGGATGTTGCTTGTACATCAAGGAGCAATCCAGACGAGCTAGTGGTCGGGTGAAGTCTGTCTGCGGGTGAAGAAGTACCGGTCCCAGAGCCCGCATCGCTGCTGCTGATGATGTGTATGCCGAGTCTGGTTTGAAAAGACTGCGCGGTAACGCTGTATCGGGAGCCACCCTTGCCTTGTCCAAAAGGGCAATTATCATTATGCTTCGAAGGGCAGTTCTGTGATATCCCTTGACCACGTCACCGCTATCACCAACACTGGACTTGCTAGAATTTTCTTGACTCATATCCTCATTCCTTATCAGCATGGCATCGAGAAACGATTCGACAGCTCGTCTGGTCCCCTTTTCATCCTGGCTAATAAATATTTGCGGGGAGGCCGAAATGTTTCCGCCATGGTGGTTGTAGCCTACTTCTCTTCCAATGACAACCTCCGCCGCTGTCTGGAGGGCAACGATATCATACGTATCGGTCCAGAATTTCGTGAATGTGCGACGGATGCGCGCATCGGTTGTCAGTCGGCGTCTTCTGCCACTAGAGTCTTCCGTGACACGCAAATCCCCGTAGAGAAGGGATGCTTGTACACGCTTGGAAAGCAGCGAAAAGTAAGTGTCTTGGTATATGTCGAACAGTTGCTGTTTTAGGCAATCTTGGCCTTGCGTGTTGCATTGTCCATTTGCTGTATCAAGGAGAGTGTTTACAAGTTGTGTAATGACCACTTCTTGGTGAGATAGCCAAGTCTCCTCGTGAATCAAGGGGTCCGCAAGGTTTGCATGGAGTGCTGGGTGCTTGATTTCTATTTTTGGAGCCAGGGGTAGAGTAGGTAGTAGCTCAGATGGCGGTTTTCGTTTCGAAATGGGATTAATTAGTAAAGTATTGTTTAAAGGCAGATATTCTTTTCGTTGTTTCGTTGCTGGCGAGGTTCGAGGACTCCGGCTGCTCGTAAGAGCTGTCCGCCGCGCGGAACTCTGGCTATGTGTAGCCCTTAATGCTGATGACTTTGATACAGATTGTTTTTGTTTCGATAGTGAAGCCCTAGGCCGAGGACTGTTCACCGATCTAGACTTCATCGGTTGAGTTGAAGCCTCCGCCAAAACATCTTTCTTTCCAGCCACCTCAGCAATGCCGCTCTCAGATTTCCCAGGAGGCACGTTTTCCTTTCCTGTATTCTTCCCCATGACATCAGGTTGGTCTACCAATTCCTGCATAATCCTCTTTGGGGCCTCTAATGGCTGACGTTGACGAATTGGGGATATCGCCTTTTGTTGTTGCCGCTTCTTCAAGATCTGAGTCTCAATATAACCGAGTTCCTGGCAGCCAAAATCTTGTGTTTTTAAAGGGCTAAATGCATCCATAAAGATGGTAGCCATTGTGGTATCATCATCTGGCGGAATATATATTGTGTTTCGCCTTTTATCTCGTTTGGTACGACCGGCTTTCTTCATCTTCTGTTCTTTCACTGGCTTCTGCATACCATGGGGAAATTTCAGACTCGTAGGGCTTTCCCCTGAGCTATTTTCTTTGAAGTCATCCTGTTGCTTCTTCACGGGCACCTTTGGTGATGAGTTCTCCCCAGCTGGAGCTTTGAATGCCGACCGTGGAAATCGCTGTGCTGGTTGTGAGAACATGGAGGATTCCCTGTATAGTGGCTTCTGTCCGCCATTGCTGGCGGCCGAGCTGCCGGAGTCTTCATGGATCTTAAACGTAGTCGCCTTTTTGGCACGACGGGGTTTCTCCCTAGCAAACGAGTTGAGAGATCCAAGCTCGGCCATGAAATCAATCTCTGCCGTATCATCATAGGAGTCGAGGATGTCCTCAAATATGGGAATTTTGGCATCATTTCGTTTCCATGTAACCGGACACGGCGTTGCGTCAAGATACTGGTATTCCATGGTGTTTTATTTTGCCCATGAAAAAGCCGGGAGTCTTCTATAGTTCGTATATCCTCTGCATCAAATCAACACGTCCCCCATAGCTCAACCCGAGCAATCCTTTTTCAACAGCCGAACAGCCCTTATGTATTTCTCGTATATTCCCGTCCGGACGAAACACCTTTCCCATAACACGACGAAGCGGAATCCAACGCTGCCGGAGTGAAGTTGGCGGTGGTCTTCTGCAGTCCAGCTCCAGCACCCGCATCCTTGTTTACCCTTTGCGGTCTCCAGGGGCAACAGGCACTTCTGGATAAGGTTGCTGAGTCAGCTTCCCTTTGCCCCCCCCTTGCGTGGCGAAAACGTCTTCCTCTTTCTCCCTTTCCAACGTTCGCCTCGCAGACAAACTCCAGCTGGAGGGTTGAAGGTCATGAGCCCTCAGCCAAGCTGACCGCTGCGAGAGGTGTCGATCGATTCCCGTGCCGGCCGAGCTCAAGAGGCGCTGGACACTACTCGGGTCGATTCGAAACATCATTGTCACCGCCGCAACGGTCCAATTATCTTGCCTTTGAGTTGCGGTACACCTGGCCTCCCAGCCTTACAGCCCCAGGCCGCGGATAATGCAACTAGCTAGATATTACTACGAGACCTGATACTCGAGCCATGGAATTAGGTGATCTATTCGACCCAGGCTTCCGGCGTTGGCTCGATGGCGATTTGCCTTTCTTTCCTCAGGTATGAACAAGTCAAGTGGCCCATGCGTGTCCATCTCTCTCCGTATTGTTGTTTGATAGATTATCCCATTCTAACACATCTTAATCAACAGGCTGGAGAGTATTCTCTGTATTTACACTATTCACCCCACGGATGACTGGCCTCCCGTATTTATATTCATCCTATGACGCAACTTGAATATATGAGCGGTCATGGATGTCAGGTTAGGACATGAGCCCCATTAGTTGAACACTCGGATGAGGATGCCGAGTAGTTCTTCTACAATATATATACCTCTTCTGGAGAATGTTTCGTTACGAGAAGCTTGGGAGGCCTCGCTTTGGTCCCTATAGCAGATAAGACGAGGGCCACGTAACATCATCCGATATACAATATGGACCCGAAGTCACTCTTGTGCTTCTTAAATCCTCCTGCTGAGAGTACAGCAGTACGTTGACGGGGGTTTGAGCTAGCATCTGAGGCTGGTGGTGGAATTACCCATAAAATCTAAAGCCATTGGCCTCGGTTTGCTAAACCAAACCCTCTTTGATGAGATGACTTTCAATGCGGCCTTCCGCGATTTTCTTCTTTTCCTAAACAAAACAAAATCAACTGCTGTGGTATGTCACCGTTCCTAGTTCTTCCCAGGCAATCAATATATACTAACTTATTTGGGATGATAGGATTAAGCCCCGGGAAATTCGACTGTTACCATCGCTATTTGCCGGAGGCGAACCAATTTTAGCTCTCCCGCGTGGCTGCTTTTGCCTGCCCTTTCGAATTCCTTTGCGGATGTACAACTCCTTTCTCGAAGACTCCCCGCCAGACTTATGCCATCGAAGCAAAAGTAGCAATTTTTTCAACTATGTATTTATACTGACCAGAAGAGACGCTTATCCGGGCCCTGAGTTACCACCGCGTGGTTGTTATTTGAACCCAGAATGTGATTTATTTTATTTAATGTATAATGTTTATAGGGAGTGTGTAAACGCACCCTCACCCTTCTCCAACGACTCCATCCCTCAGTATATACATATCTACTATTTCCATGTACCACAAAACTTGGACGCAGGGGCTATTGTCTATCTCTTTTTGTACTTCTAGTCTTCGAGGGAACATCTGGATAATTGGCGGAGAGGGTTGGACTATATATACCTAAATATATAGAATAATATCTGCTGCCTGAGAGAAAGAAATTACCTGGAAATCCAGTATATATATTTGCTAGCTAATAATAGGACAGGGCCTGACCGTGTTGTGATGTGTCTTGGCGGCGGATGCTCTCCAAAACATCCCTCGTTTTTCTTTTTGTGGCTGCCCGCGCAGTATTTTGTGATAGAGAAGAAACCACCAGGAGCCCGGTGTCCAGGCAGACAAGTTGAAGATGGGGCGGTTCGACGGCCTCCCCACAGAGTTGATACTGCAGATATGTGATAACCTAAGCCCCCAGGATAGCTTCGCTGTGGCCCTCGCGTCACGAAAGCTCGCAACTATCCTGCTACCAAGAGCCCGCATAATTACCCTTTCCTATGCAGCTGATATGAAAAAGCGGGACCTTTTCCTTAAGACGCTTGAAAAGGATGTTGATTTTAGCCTTGTTCTGGTGGACCGAGCGATTCTAGAGGAGTGCATCTTAACCCAGGATGATGAATATGTGCTTCCGATGCTGGAACGGGGGGTTGGGCTTGTCTCACCGCCGGGGTCTGTATGTGCTAGTACCGGCGTGAATCTGCTTCATCTTGCTGCCTCTGCCGGGTGCGGTGATACCGTGTTGAAAAGGCTCCTTGTTCACGGTGATGAGATTGACCCATTTGCAAGGGATGAGGACGGCATTACACCGCTTGTATGTGCAGTCACCAAGCGGAAGCTGGCCGCTGTGAAGACGCTGGTTGGGATATACCATGAAAGAGGCAGGGAGATAGACCCTCCTGATTCTAAATGCCCCTTGATTCTACAGGCTATGCCGCGAGGGTATGGGGAAATAGTGTTGTTCCTTCTGGAGACTAAGGGGATTCAGGCGAATGCCAGAGGTCCGTTTGGGGAGAATGCTTTGCACTGGCTAGCTAAGACAGACATGACTCCAGAGGATGAGGACGCCTGGGAAGACACAGACGATGAAGATGGAGACTTTACCGCCCAGGAGGTTGTAAATATAAACCAGCAAGGGCGGGAAGATGGTGATTCCCATGTTGCCGACAGCGAAGAGACCGAAGATGTGAACGTCAGAGTATTGAAGGGCCTTCTCAAAGCTGGTGTTAGTCTTACTGATACCGCGACCAGGGACCGTCTCACTCCCTTGCATGCCATTGCTCTGAATGGACGGTATAATTTGATTGAACCTATTGTCACTGGAGGTGCTGGTATATCAGTACGATGTGCGAACGGTGGCACACCTCTTCACTGGGCAGCTAAGGGCGGGTCGGTGTTCTCTATGGATGCTCTAATCGACCTGGGAGCCAGTGTCAATGACACCGATCTAGAGAACAAGACCCCGTTATTCTGGGCCTACGCCTGTGAAAATGCGGACGACCCTCCTTCCGAGTTTGATCCAAGCCCATATCCTATACTGTATCTGCTTGAGCAAGGGGCAAACCTTTCACACCTAGACTCCTCCAATCAGTCTGCCCTGCACATTTTTGCCCAACACGATAGGCCCAACGGGGCAACTCAGCTGCTAGCTGCTGGTATTGATGTGAATATACAGAGAAACGACGGATCCACGGCGTTGCATCTAGCAGCCTTGAACGGGTCACACAAGACTGCGGCGCAGTTGCTGAGGGCTCGGCCAAATCTAGAACTGAAAAATGCACAGGGTCAAACTGCCCTTGAGGTCGCTGTGGAGAAGGGCAAGGACAAGGTTGCTAAACTGATTCGTAGCTATACTCGACGTGGAGTTACAGCTGTCGGAGGTGTTATCAATGATCGTAGCATGGAGGACCTGCACGACCGGCTGACCACACAGTTGTCTATATATGAGTGGAGAGAATGAAGCTGCCAATTCTTCGCTGCAGAGCGGCACTTTTGAAGCAAGCGGAATACTTTAAATAGATGTTAGGCTAACGTTTTGATGATACACACATCTTGGATCGTCCAATGCGTGTTCTTAAATTTTGGTATCAACACCTTCATTCCACAAAGCCGTTGCCGTCACACGACTCCGTATCCAAGACGACTATGATGAAATCTCCCGACGCACTGGCCAGAATATGCACGGGAGATCGCCTCACTGCGGTCTATGCGAGTAACTAACTAGTTGGTCCTTTTCAGGAGCCATCAATCGAAGCACCACGCTCCATCGATATATAATTAGCATAGGCCTAACTCCGTGCCAAATCGGAGCAACCAGTCAACCTCACCAGCGTGTTCCGTTACGTGTTGGATGATCGTCGACGCTACATGGTTGTTTCACCCTCATCTCCGGCTGAGCGTACGGATATGCGTCGACAACGAGCTATCAATGGAGTGCCGTCTGGATACTGAGCCAGGGATATCCATGGCCTCCACAGCCCCGAGACTCGAGACCGCCGCCAGCAGAGAGGCAACAAACAGGGCCCCTTCCAAGGAACCCACGCAGATCAGGAACAGAAAGGCAAAAAAAAGCAGAAACGAGAAGAAGCAAAGAACAAGAGGCAAAGAATCTCGCTTCTTCGTATCTTCCCATTCGAATATCAAAATCCCAACCAGAGATCGAAGTTTAAACCCATCGAGAGATCTATTGTCGTTTCGGAGCTTTTGAACCTTGTTCAGCTAGTGAATCCACGTGTAAAATAGGCATATAAGGATGCTGTCCAGTCCCTGTACCTGGATGGCAAACTTGTCGCCTTTCGCCAGGAGTGAGGACCCAGTTTGCGTAGTAACGTAGCAAAGTAAAGGGGGAAAAGAGCCATGTTAATGCTTAACTAACGCCTGGGTACTCCGTACGCTGTAGAGTTAGCGCTGGGGCGTCTTTCAGGGACCAGTTGCTCTTGCTCTGCGGTAGAAAATAGGGGGCGTCCTTCGCCTCGCCTCGTGGGGATTTTCCCGAGAGAGCTATATTTTTGGATGCAACCTCGCGCACTTTACGAGCCTGTGGCGACTCCCAACCTTCATCAGGCCTGCGTTCCTGGCGCCCACGGACATGAGTTTTATAAAATCTGACTTATCCCAATAATACAATATAAGTTGACCGACTAGCGAAGAGGCCGTGAAAGAGGAAGATGTGGCGGGACCATGGAGGCCTGTGTTTATGAAGATTCGCCCTTGGCCGCTTACCTCGAAGGTCGGTATAATTATATCTCCATCTCCATCTCCCCGCAAAGGAGCCGCCGCCTGGATGGGAGCAGGGCTAGAAGACACAAGAAAAGCTGACGCAAGGTGACTTGCAGGTGAAGGCGAGGCCGAGCAGGACTGGACGCCGCAGGAGGTCGACTGGCCGCATACCGAGTACTCGGACTCCACGACCCTCGACTTCGCGCCCCAAGGGCCTCCGAAATTTCAGGACCGCATCAGAAACAAAATCCCCGAGCCCTTGAAACTGAAGCGGTCGAATAGACAAGAGGCTCTGGCTAGGATTCATGATACCTGCGCTGTTAGTTGTGTTCCCTTATCGGTGGAAGTTCCAGGTGGCCAGTTGGTTATCTGATGGGAGACGGGGGGTTAACAGCTGGCAAAAGGCCGCAATCAGTGCGAGAATAGGCAAGACCGACAACGAGCGATTCAGAGAACAGTTTGGATACACGATTATTGCATCGCAGTTGTTGAGCGAACCCAGCGCACCCTCCTACACCTCCGTCTCGAACCTGTTGAGCCACCCTGTCCAGAGCGATGATGACAAGGCAGCCTCCCGAGCCGCCATCTTCGGCGTGCGAGGAGCTGTATTCACGGCCGTGGCATCCTTCTCCGTCGTCTTACTATTACACTGGGCCCGATCCATACACAGGATAGGCTGGAGCATTGGAAGAGTCCTCCTTCTTGGTGTCCTGTTGGTTACGATCGTTGCAGCGTTCTACGTCTTTGCGAAACGCCAGTGGCTGAGATACCTGCGTAGCCAGGCTATCGAGACCGCCACTGCCTGCGTTGGGAATGCGCAGACGCTTGACTCTGCGGCTTCGGCATCCGTTGTGCTCATTCAGGAGGTCGAGCTCGTTTCACGCGGGTACAGAGTGTACGAATACATTATTTCCGTCCACCCCTATATTATACATAACTAACATGACTTGTCGAGTAGGAGCTCGCCTCTTCCACCAGTGAGCCGGCTGGAGGAGCAGTCGCAAACCCGGAGATGCTTGAAACTCCGCCGCATCCTGGCCAAATGCCTGGAGGAGATGCTGGAGAAATATCTCTATGTGAAACGAAAATTACGACCACTCGTAGATGATGCAAACTTGGAAAAATATTATGACATTTATGAAATTTCCCAGGTGGAACTCCAGGCCGCCGAGTCCACGGTGGTCGACCAGTCAGTGGATGAAAAGACATCCCTGAGATCGTTGCGGTCGTCATTCGCTCGGCTGTATACCGTGAGGAAGAGCGCCCTTTGTTGTCTCCTTGCACTCCCGGCAGACGGAGGTGAAGCCGATATTGCAAGATGGAGCGCTGCGACTGAAGAGATGCACAGCCTGGCTGACGCCAGCGCCGAGTGGATTGAGAAGCTGAGAGACGTCCTCAACGAACAAGACCGTACGCCTCCCTTCCATCCTTGCGTTTTCCATATGCCTAATCTAACTTACGTAGGAGATATAATATCGTCGTCCCCAATACAGAATCCAAACCCAAACCCCAACAGGGACCGCTATCGAGCCCAGCTTCGTCGGCTAAACTCGTTATCTCAGGGCATACGAGGACTTCATGCCAGAATGCAACTTATTCGCGAGGAGTCGGACGCCTGTCTCGATGGGTCCAACGAAGACGTAGACCTCGGCTCGACCCTTCTCGTCCAATACGAGGCTATCGGCGCTGAGCTGCGTGGGATACTCCAAGAATGGGAAGCCGGCAAATCGGCCATGCGAGCCAACATGGAGTCGTCCGATCGTCAGTCATCTTCTTCCCGACGCACGTCAAGCATGATCAAGTCACCGTCTTCACCCACTTTCAGCATCGGAGGCAGCACTGCTGTCGACGGCGGTCCGGCTGATGCCCTGCGTGCTTTGAACGGAGAGATGCAGAAATCTCTCAATCCAGATAGCAACATGGATGATGACGAGGTGTTTGAAGCTATTGCCATGCCCCGAACTCGAAGCTCGTTGACTCGCGTGGAACGAATCGCGCGGATGAAAGAAGACCGGGCCCGTCAGGCTGTTGCTCGAGAGAGAGCCGAAGCGAATACACATATGCTGAAGGAACTTGAGACTGTGATCAAGCTTCGTCCTCATAAGGGCGGCGCAAGAGTCTCCAGTCTCTAGTTCTCTGACTTTCTCTTAATCCTTTTCTTTTCGTCTTTATATCCGGATCTTCTATACTCGGGCGTTGATGGCTTTCTTTTTTGTGTTTTCTGGCATCACTTATATAGATGTGATGCTTTCCTGGTACCCGCGTTGCCCTAGTATGTACTATATTTATCGATATATATAGAACCCCCAAGTAATGACTTAATGGAATTATGACGGTATCCGCATTTTCTTCTGTTTGCCCGTCTGGTCTGGAGTATATGTAAAAGTCTTGCTGGTAAAAGCCTTGCTGTCCATAGATATCTTGTCGTCGGAGGCGTTGACGCGAAACTCGAGCTAAATTGGTTTCGTGACACGCGACGCGCATTTTCACCGCACACCAAAGAAAAAAGAACCGGCAGGTTTCCCTGGCTTCAAGAACATCCACCGTCGTGCTGAATTACGCTGAATACTTAACAAATTACCACACCCCGAGCTCTTTGGCTAAAGCAATCCTGTGCCGTCTCTCTCTGGTCTTACGCAGTATATCGTTTCATCCCTTCTCAGCGTCGTCAAATCTACCCCGCCATACTCTTGCAGCCTCTTAAGCGGTTCGTTGATATAAATCAGTCAAGAGTGCGTTACCCCGGCCAGCCAGCTGTGAAGAAGATGTAGAATCTAACGGATCACGCTGTATATAGTGTTGGAAGCACGATTGGAAGAAGCTGCTATGCTGAAGAAGGTATACCACCGGCGAACAGCAACTGAGAAAAGGCCATGGCTAACCACGGTACTATCAAACAGGTGGTCGATGCGGTAAAGGATCTCGTACATGACTGCAACTTCGACTGCAATGACTCTGGCATTGCCCTCCAGGCCATGGACAACTCCCATGTTGCGCTTGTCTCCATGATGTTGAAAGCAGAGGGCTTCTCCCCCTTCAGATGTGACCGCAACGTCGCCCTGGGAATCAACCTAGTCTCCCTCACCAAGGTCCTACGGGCTGCTCAGGATGGAGACGTGCTTACCCTCAAGGCCGACGACACGCCAGACGTAGTCAACCTGCTGTTCGAGAGCGTTGAGAAGGACCGTGTAAGCGAATATGATATCAAGCTCATGGACATTGACCAGGAGCATCTTGCTATCCCGGAGACGGACTACTCTGCCACGGTTGAGATGCCATCTGCTGAGTTTAGACGGATTTGCGGAGACTTGAACCAGCTTTCTGAGTCTGGTATGTTCCATTTGATTTTTATACCGACAATGTTATATGAGTATACTAATTGGGAATGCTAGTGTTGATCGAGGCAACCAAGGATGGTGTCCGATTCTCTTGCCAGGGTGAAATTGGCAATGGTGCTGTTACCATTCGTCAAAACACCAACGTTGACAAGCCAGAGCAGAACGTCTCCATCACCCTGACTGAGCCCGTTGCCCTTACATTCTCTATCAAATACCTCCTAAACTTCTGCAAGGCCACCAGTCTTTCGTCTAAGGTGCGACTGTCCCTTTCTGCTGAGGTTCCTCTGCTAGTCGAATATACCCTCGAGGGATCTGGTTATGTACGGTTCTATCTCGCTCCAAAGGTAAGTTCTTCACTTTCTAAGCCAGTCTTACATGAAAGTTCAACAGTGCTGACTCCATGGCAGATTGGCGAGGACGAATAAATGATATTTTTCTTCTTTTCCGTTTGGTAATTTTCCACTGGCCAGCCAGGGGAATATTTTTTTTTTTCTTTTTACCTTCTTATGATGAGGATTAAATAATGAAGCGTACAAATTCAGTAAAGATCCCTTTTTTTTTTAGCTTAGACCTCGTGGCACGGTGGTAGTTTATCGAAATTGCCCGAAAAAATAAAATAAAACAAGTAAAATGATATTCTCGTTCTATCTATAGATTTCTATAATTCTACATAGTTTCAGCGTCTAGTAGCCGAATATTAATCACTCACCTTATATCCCCAACACTACTCCATATCGGGGTTAAACGTTTTTGTCAAATGCGTCAGGTTCATATAAACAAAATGTTAGTACGTTATATCATAACCTGGAAGAGAAAACTCCATACCTAGGGGAAAAAGAAGGGTGAAGCATCGTCCTCGCCAGAGTAATCGGAATCGAATGATACCTGGTTCCCCTCTCAATGGAGGTAGCCATGATACGCTGCGTATTGCACTTAGGTGTCGTGACTCCCCGCAAGAAGACACACACAATCTTCGCAACGGCTCTCCCAAGGGGGCGAGGAATACAGAAGCGAGGCCCAGGATTTCTCCCAGGCCACCTCATCCGCACCCTTCCCCCGATGTTTCTGATGCCTAATTGCAGACACTTTTCATGCCAGGCCCTCACGGGCAGTACCGAGCTTCCTCACTGGAGGCGTGCAGAAGCTGGTTGAAAGGTTGAAGAATACTCCGAATTTCTCATTTGCAAGTGTAACTCCAGCGTGAACTGGCGGATGTAGCAAAGAAACGCAGCTTTGGCGAGGACGATGCTTGACCAAAGAGAAGGAGAAAGAAGAAAAGTCGCAGTCGCAGCTTTTTTGGTGTCTTTTTTTTTTTATTCTTCCGTTGTGTGGAAGGGTCACGTGCAGCCGACATCGCCCTTCTTTTTTGTTGTTATTTCGCTTTTCTTTTTCATCCTCAGCCTTTTTTTCGAGCTATCAATTCCGCCAGTCTCGGGACGGCAGCAGACAGGTGCTAGTTGGCTCTTGTCGTCCTCAGCTTTCTCCTAGCTCTTCAGCCCTGTTCAGCTGCGGGTTTCGGCATTTCGGCTTACTCTCGTCGTCTGGCAGCCAGGGATTGCGGCTTGAGTCAGAGAATATACGGAATTACCGCCCTAATAATACACCATGCAATCTCAAGACACGATGGAGTCGAGACAGGATAAACAACTAATCTTACGGGGGAGCAAGGGAGGACCAGGGGCCCGGGACTATGCTGCTATTGAATACGTAACTGCCACGGCCAGCCTTCTCAGCTCGCTCCTCCTGGGGGGCCTCCTGGCACTAGCCGCCCGCTGAGCCACAACAGGCGGTTTCCTCCCTTTCCAACCTGGTCCATGGTTGCTCCATCGCGGTAAAACACTGCCAGGCGGGATCCAGGGATCCAGGCGTGGGCGAACCACGGGAGAAACGTAGTCTTGTAGGGACATACCTAAGTCTAATATTTACAACCAGAGTTAGGGCAGCCTTAAGCCGTAGCCAGCCTCCAGCCTCCAGCCACAAACTGTCTGCGCCCGAAGAGAACGGGAGAAAAGCCCGCAGGCGGAGAAGGGGAGAAGAAGGAAAGAAAGAAAGAATTTTTGGCTGCTCCCTCTCATTCCCCGAGACTAACTATCACTTTGTTCCTTGGAAGGCCGTTGTGTTATTATTATTTAGTGCTAGCCAGCCCTCAAAAAAGGCGGCTCCGCCAAGCCGCCGAACTGCGCATTTTGATATTCCACCGCCGGGATCGACTTGCTCGTCTTTTTCCTCGTCTTCTGATTCTCTCCTCAGCCTCTCGCTTTCTCTCTCGCTCTCGCTCTCTCTCTCTCTTTTTCCTTCTCTTTCCCTTCACTCGCTTTCCAACTACTTTCTTTCTCTTGTCTCTCTCACCATCGCCATTCCCATCGACTAGACCTCCGTCTCCCACGCTCTCACTCTACAACCGTTGGCCCTCGTCTTCGCCCTATCTCAGCCGCCGTCACTCGTTTGGCCCTCTCTTTTCTCCCTCTCCTAGGACGCCCCTAGCCGCGGAGCCGCCTTGCACCGCCCTACACAAACACAATAGAGAAAAAGCTCGCGCAGGGACAGAGGACTCGCCTCTTTATCATATAACTCGCGTCTTGTGTCCCGTTGCCCATTGTTCTCTCTCGTCTTGCACAGCCATCCAGCGTCTACGTCGTCCTCCTTCGTCACCCACAAGCCTCGTCCCGATCGTGGCATCATACAGCCGCTACCACATTTAGCACTTACTGCTCTCATCCTCCCTCCCTTTTTTCCCTCACTTTCAATACGCCAAAAATAACGGAGAGCAAGGCTCCGGTGAGGAGCTTCTGGCCGCCAAAATTCGTCCATACTCAAGACGGACGTCTCTCTTGGGAGAGCCAGGAATAGACCCGCCGTTGCTTCCTCCGGGTCAGGGCTATAGGCCAAGAGAAGGGTACACGACTCGCGCAGAGTCATCGTGGAAGATGTATCTACCAAACACACGCTGGACGTGGTCGTTTGTCATTGTCACCACGATCCAGGCGGCATGTGTTCTTGCTTTTGAATCGTAAGTTTTGAGATATCTTCCGTTTCCTCCCTCTCATATACGAATAATACTGACACTTTTGATAGATATGTGTTTGCAAGATTCCAGCTGCAGCTTAAATCAGATGCATCGACGAATACCGAATCAAAAACGATACCAACATTCCTTACTCTCTACATCTTCGGTTTCGTGTACGAGCTTGTTTTGGTGTATGATGCACTTCGGCTGAAAAATACTATCCAAGTTATTGGACTATGTATCTGCAACTTTGGTCTGCTTATCTATGGTGCTGTGCAAATCGACCAGATCGATACTTCGGTGACACAACTCGGTGACCTTGGACTTATCCACCCAGAGGTAATAGACGAGATGAGGCCGTTCCTTATTGCGATTCCTTGCATCACTGCTCTTGGAACCGTGGGGATGAGTTTCCTTGCTTGGAAGTTATACGATGAATTTGCATGGACGATCTACAAGCATATCAGCGCTGATTTGCGGATGAAGCGCCGTTACCTTACCTATCAGGTTTGTATTCGTGCACTATATGACTTACCCTAGACGGTTTTACTAACCTGTCCTTTAGATCTACATTGCTCTGCTGAAGTTTGATTTCTTCTTCTTCCTTGGCTTCACTGTCCAGTTTGTCGTTATTGTGACAGACACTAAGACTGTCGAGTTTGCTCTTACTCTTGCTGCCATACCAGTCACTATCCTGATCTTGGTGATGGCTGCGTTCTGGACCCGACGTGAGAGTACAGTTGGCATGATCATTGTCATCGTAAGTTATATTTCCTCCACTGACCCTGAAACAAATGCCATAGGCTAACCTTTCACCGACAGTTGCTCTACTTTGGTGGTTTCGCCTACTTCCTTTTCAAGCTAATCCGCATGTACTCTCCCGCAAAAGAGAAGGCTTATCTCCCCGCTCGCCGATCTCTTACTTTCTTTGCCGTTGCAACCATCATCCTCATCATTATGACCATTATCAACGCCATAATGTGTACTCTCAACTTCAACAAGGGGCTGAAGCCACATATTACAAGCAAGAAGAGACCACGCGGTGCAGAGAAGGAAGGCACCGAGCTTCATGACCAGTTCTCACCACATCCTGTTCCCACCCGCATGACAATCGATTAAAAATTTCGCCACCTCGATAGTGAATGAATACAGCTTTGAACATTTTTCCTTTGAAAGGAAAAGGATGAAAAGAAAGAAGAAGAAAAAAAAAGTAAACTAATCTCAATCTGCAATTAACATTCCCAATGCCATATACCCCAAGGATATCTTCGCTTTTCTTTGTTTCCTTTCGCTTTCCTTACTATTTCTTGTTTACTTTTACGTACTTCTTTCTTTTTCATTCTTCTTCTTTTTTTTTTTTTTTTTTTTTTTTTTTTTTGGACTCGGTGCAACCCAGCAGTAACCGCTCGAATGCTTACCTCGAACTTGAATCTGGATGATAAAGGGAAACAGAAGCAATGTGAACGAGAAGCAATTTCGATATGGTTCAACGTTCAAATACCGCCTCATAGCAAGCTGACTTTTAATCCTGTTAGAATAGGGATTTTATTTGTTTCCCGCCTGAATTTGTTTTTTTTTCTCGAATGATACCTCATGTATTTCCTATGACTCCTTGCCCATTTTGTTTCCCTGTATCTATTTGTACTTCTGCGAGGCTATCTTTTGGCCCATCGCTTATCACTCTTTTGTGAGTTCTTTGAAAATTATTCAGCGTCTTAAATATACTTGGATTCTCGTCTCTGTCATGTCCACGTTGTTTATACCCATAGGGCTGATACTCCACTCTACAATATAGACAATTCAACCAACCATCATCCTAATAGCTCAATTCTTCTACTACTATCTCTTCCCTACTATCTATCTATCCATCCACCATACTTCTATCAAGTAACACCAGCGCAAAATACATATGATTACATAAGCTTCCCCGGCCCAAAGGCGGCGATGGATGGCAGAAAACACGTCGAGGCAACTGCTGACATAATCACAACCGCACCACTTGGGAAATCGTGGCCTCTTTCATGTTTCCAGCGCAAAGCAAGATCCAGATTTGGGGGATATCGATACCATAACGGACACATCTCTCATTCTTCAACGTGTCTAGTCTCACGGCGGATTTTCCCCTTTGTCTCTCCATAATACCAATTTCCGACACATCCTCTCACAATGGTAAGGAAAACAATCTCGTTCCCTCGTGTCATAATTTTCTTTCCCCCTTGACCCAAAACATCTATCCGAATGCACGAATATTTATGCTAACTATACTTCCTCCACTCAGGCTTCATCTCCAATGGCATCAGGTGCCGACTCCGGCGCTGAGGGATCCAAGCCTACCAGCCCATCTGGCCCAGCAGGCGGCTCAAGCTCTGCCCTGCGTCCATCTTCCCCTACACCTCCAGGAGGCCCACGAACAGCCCTCCGCCGCCGTGCTGCTGCAGACCACAAGGAGTCCGTACGAAATGCACGCCCAGCGTCAACCAGAGCTGCCGGAGCCGGCGGTTCGTCTGGTACCATGCTCAAGCTGTACACCGATGAGAGCCCAGGCCTGAAGGTTGACCCTGTTGTTGTATTGGTTTTGTCTCTTGGGTTCATTTTCTCTGTTGTCGGGCTTCATGGTACGTCTTTTCGGTTCTTGTGTGGATTCCTCAATATTGCGAGTTTGAAACTAACATGAGTTTGATGCAGTTATTGCAAAGATCACTCGCAAATTCTCTTCGTAAATTGGGCGCCCTTTCCACGGAGTCTTCTCATTTCCTTCTTTATCGTTTCCCGCTGTTCTCCATCGCCCTCCGCTGATTACCCACAAAAACACACGAGTTATGGCTTCCAACCGTATAAAGGTCGTTTCTTATCTTCATGGCTGGGAAGGATCCAAGCAAATGTACCGGATAGGATCCAGCTTCTACGACACAACCACAACTACTCAACATACTATAATCTATACCTTATGACACAGGGGCTGTTTGATCTCTACCTACTGGCTATCCTCCAAGATCAAATAGGTTCCAAGCAAACCTGTGATGAACATGCGCGTTGGTCAAAGCGGGATATTGATACAATGTCTTCCTTGATACCAGATGCTGCAACTTACACTATTTGCGCGTGTTTATTTCATCTTTATGCCTTGTTCTCTATCCACCTCCATCCCGTCCTCAATATCAGCTGTATATTTGGGACCTCAATATTCCGCAAAGTCTAGCTAGATTTTACTTCTCTTGTAACTTTATTGAACCTCATCTTTGGCATTGAATCACAATATTTTGATTATTGGATGCATTTGTAAGAATAACATGGAGTTGTTCTATAATCCTTGACGGGATGGTTTTATATGGAGTACAATTAAACTCCATTGGATTCGTCACGCTTATTGTCCCAATCCACTCTTTGCAAGCGCCATCTCTTCCTCCCACCATCCTCTGAATAGCTTGAGCCGGTTGGTTCTCTCCAACGCCAACCTTTTCCCTTCCGGGGTTTTCATCGAGGCCTCCAACCTTTCCAGCTTCTCGACGAAATAGGCCATCGTCTTATGCAGAGGCCTTCCCGTCTTAGAGATAGCACCGCCATACGTAAATGTGCGACCAATTCCTATACTGCCTATTGCGTCCAGACGATGTGCGTCCTGGATAATACCGAGCTCTGGAATTTCTTGGACTAGCTTCCGTACATACTCCCGGGTTTCTTCCGACTTTGTTTCTGTGGAGTACGAGACGTTGTTGACAACGATTTGAACCTGCTCTGCCACAGGCATTGGTGTTCCAAAGGTCAAAAGCAGCTGGTAAATCGTGACATCATGTTTCACGTTGGCCTCAGGTTTCTCGTTAGCCTTGGGGTGTTTCCCATCCCCGACATGGTGCAATAAAGCACCTAGCGTGAGGACTAGGGGGTTCCATGTGGATACTGCAGTTTTAGCTTTTGCAAGTCGTGACGAAGCGATAATCCGAGAAAGGCCGAGGACACGCATTACATGGTCAAAGTCATGAGAGCTGTTATACTCGGACATGTATTCCTTGACATAGCGGGTAACCTTTTTGACAATAGCAGCTTCTGAGAATGCCGACGAGCTAGCAGCCGCTATGGGGTCACTTGCATCCGCAGTATCTTCGCTCCGTGCACTGTCAGCCATGGCAACCTAGGTATTTCCCTGTTGTTAGCTAGGAGGCGGTTCTCTGTTGTAGCTACATAGAGCAGACCGGAGGACGTGAATCTACGAGGTAACTAGAGGACTGTCGTCGGTTGTTTTGGGAGATCTATGTAGCTCTAGGCTCGAGCCTTCCTCCAGTCAAAGCGCTCAGCCTCTCCACTTTTGCGGCAAGCGCTACCTTAGAACAACATCAACATCAACATCAACAATGACATTCAAATTGCAAGCCCAAGCCTCATAAGGAGTCGTTTGAGACATCTGGTACTGCCGCTTTCTTCTACTGATATCTTAGCTATAGGCCTGTGGATGGTCTTAGGCGCTTCAGGGTACAACTAGGTACTAGCTACTCTAGAGTCTTTTCCCTTCCCAGCACTTAGTTGACTAGTTAGTTCCATCATCTCAATCAATATCTTCTTTATCATACCACTGGCTTGAAAACGGAACATTGCCGCAATGTGGTACCTGTTCCTCGAGATTTTTGACCAGGCTTCCTAAACACGGAGTGGAACTAGGGTATCGTGGTGAGGCATTCTGGAGAAGTGAAAGATTCAGACGTGAATAGAAAGGTAGCATCGATGACCAGAACCTGGCTCATCTTGCTGCCTGGTATTCGATCCTTGGGTAGTCGATGTCGGAATCCTTTTGAAGGGTGAGAGTGGTTTGATTACTGTTGACGTCTTTGGGTCATCGTGTCGTTCGTAATGTCCACGGAAGGTTTAACTGGCTGACCCAATATCTGGTCAACTCTACCCAGAGGGTAAACAGCACATTTACAACATGTAATGAATAGGTATCTAAATGGCAATGGTGATTCTTGGAATTCATGTCTAACGGTATAATATGGGGGAATTGTGCTGCGTAGAGTAATACACACGTATGCATTGCGAGATGTCAACGTAACGAACATGAGGCTTGCAGCAGTGCATATGCAGTATCCCTGCCCCTCGCATTGTATTTCTATTGATATTGGGTGAATCCCCGCTTTCACACAAGGTCAATAGAGGAACAACCACAGTGGACACCAGTTGGCGATTTCTCTCCACAGTGTCCAGTGATATTTGCGGTTTTGAAAACAAAATAGTACTACCACAGCAAGGTTTGACATCCTGAGAACCATAAGTCCTTCGATAAGCTTATATTATCTAGAATGTGCGAATACCTCGTGTCGACGGTACATTACCGTGGGTGTCCAGCATCATGCAATAAAACTTCCAAAGCGTTCAACCGGTGCCCAGAAGCACGGCGGAGCGGCGTAACATGCCCTCAACCCAAGGATACGACACTTGGACAATCAACGTATCCTGAGAAATGTCCAAATCATCGAGACGAAGGATACAGCAGGCGTTAAGAGTTATATATTGACGAGGTTTCCGATAGCAGTTTGTACTTCTTGAGCAGAATTTATTTCTGACCGCCAACACTTTTCAATTATTTCGCCGCATGGAATATCGGTAACGCTTGGAAATTGCTGGGCCTCATAACGCGTTGTCACTTCATCACTTGGAATATCTTCAAAAGGACTATTGCCCTGGAAAATTTCATAGAGAGTCGAGCCTAGGGCAAAAAGATCTGTTGCTATAGTCGGTGGCTCTCTCCAGTCGCGTGGCAGATAGAATCGAGTTCCTTCACCTGAAGTGGGTTTAGAACCATCTAGAGATGAGCCGGAGAAATCGATAATTTTGATATTAAGTTCGTTATCCAGAAGAAGATTTCGTGGTTTTATGTCACAGTGGAGAATGTTGTTATTATGGAGAAGCTGGACCGCTTCCGATACTTGGTACGCCCAAGTTAATTTGAGACTTGTTGGAACTGAGCTCGACTCATGAGACTGTAAATATCTCTTGAGATCGCCATTTGGCATATACTCAAGTATAATCCCATCGCTTGAATGACTGACTAGTCTAACAAGCCTCTCATGGGGGCCGATTCGCCGATATATGACCGCCTCCTTAGCAATGTCTTGAACATGGTCTTCCATCATGGGGCCGGGGAAAGGTGACTTGATGACAGTGCCATTATCAAGCAGTTCAACTATTCCTGTCAAGCCGCCACAGATGAATTCGCCTTTTGCATCTCTCACGATTTCAATAATGTCATTGTTGTTCGACTCAGATTGGTTTTCCTGATATATGAGCCAAATGGTCAGCACTCTGTAAAAGCAAAGGGTAAATATATAAGGATAGGTTAAACAGCATATACCGATTTCACGCCCCAGGTTAACCAACGACTTAACAGAGTGGTAAGAGGTGAATGGCGACGCAAAAAGACAGCAGCCCAGTTCCTGAGTGTCGACCACAACGAAAGCAGCCTATCTCGTATCATGGAAAGCGCCATAGAAAGAAGAAAGATCGCCTGTTGTTATCGTGTCCGAAGTAGTGACCAGCTGGTGTGGATCAAACTGGCTGCTTGACTCCTTTTTCCTACCGAATCTTCAGTTTGACTTCCTGTTCCTGCGGCTGAAAAAAAAGAGCCGGCCTGGTTTCGCCGATCCTAGCCAAGTCTGGCGCTGCGTCATCTCGCTCTTCGTACTCCGTGCCAAACATAAGGAACTTCCAATCCTTTCGCTCTGCTTTCTCCCGTCGTTTACGAACAACACGACTCACGACTTTTTCGACCTTCAGACGAGGGTTTTTCACCTAACGACCACCATACCTTGAGTCGCATCCAAGCAACAGCCATGGCTATCTGCATAACCTTCGGTACTCACGGTACGTCTCGGGATATCTTGCCTGTTGATGACTGCCTAGTGATACAGCTTGAAAGAGGTCGCAGACTAATCCTGGAATACTTTCCCCTTACCAGAGTTCACCTCGCAGCTGCAAGGATATGAGAACGTCACTGCCCAATGCCAGAACTGTAAGATGCGATCCCTGATGCTGTGTATATGCAGCTATGCGCCTTGCGTCTAGACTGCCTTTCTCTAACCCGGTATACTACTTTGCTAGGCGGTAACTGGTCGGGTCGATGCATTACCAGATGGTCAGTCAACATCTCAACAGCTATTATGGGGAATATGAGGACTGCTCCTTATAATAAATAGAATGGCCAACTAACGCTTCTTCTGTATTCTAGGCCCTTTTTCACCGTCTGCTTCATTGTATGAGCTTCTGCCTGCACTTTATTTACTTGGAATACTAAACACCGTCTTTTCAAAGCCACTTATTCCACTGGCCATGCACAAATATAAAGTAAGTCTTGACTCTCTTAATAGTTACTAAATAAGCTCCTTTGCTAATAGAGTACTGCTTACAGGAAGTATACTGCCATATCTGCCGGTTCTCACAAGACATGTCGTGAGTGTCATACTCTTTACCATTAGTCAACACGGGCTACGGTGTTAATAACTTTATGCTAGAATGAGACCGGACGTCCAATCTCAGGGACCTGGTGGCCACGGGCAAGGGCCGCCACCAGGGGGTCCTCCGCAGCAATATCATGGCCCACCGCCCGGACAGCAAGGGCCATATCAACAATATCAACCACCACAACAGCCTGGTTATAAGTAACCACAAGTGTTATGCCACCTGATTGCTTCCACTTTTTGACATGAAGTTATGTTTAAGAGTGTTCTTTTGTTGTCTTCCATTACGATTAATACTCTTGTTTCCTCGGTTCTACTTTATTACACTTCTTTAGCCTTAATATCTTTGTTCCATATCTACCTTGGAATTGTCCTTCTTAGCTTAGATACCCTTTGCCTTTTCTGAGTTCTAAGACAACCTCAGGTGTATATTCAACCCATAGTACTTAATCAATTTATATTTCGCGAGATGCTTTAGCGTAATACATAAAAAAAGATTGTTAAGATACTTAAGAGGCGTAAGTCCGGGCTTCAAAAGCAGCCATAGACTCAACAGACGTTAGGAATGTTTGATAGCAATAAACCATATTCCATGCTTGCTTTAGAGAGTATCATTAACAAAAAAGCGGCATATATCCCTGAAGACAGGAACGACAACAATTCATTAACACAATCTCTCCCTCCAAATCACACCTTCTGCCCGAATACCCCGAGTCTGGCTCACAGCGGGGGCTGGGGCATCACCCGCTAAGAGGGGAAAGTAAAAGATGACACGCTCTGCTTGAGGAATCCAAAAAGGGTCCGAACACTTATTGTGTTTTAAATAGGAGGATGGCGCAGTGGCCGAGATAGAAGTATATGAAGTGCTTGGTTTCTGTCTGCAAGTCAGCTAGGTCAAACATTTCAAACGGCCCAAGCTTAGCATACCGTGAGTGACGAAGCTTCCAAAGTTCCTTCCGACAATGCAATGCCAGGTAGCGCCCTTTCGTGAGTCGAACTATCACCATTATTATCAGTATGTGACCCTCGCTATATCCGTGCACCAAAAAAAGGCCAACGAACCTCCTTCTTTATAAATTGCGCAATATCCTATGGTGGTCGCGGTTAGCTATATCTCGACAAACATAGCACAGTCGTCCCAGGTCGCTTCTTCACTTGCTTTTTCGATATGGTACTTCTCCATGGCCTCGGTAGCTAAATAATGGCGTGTTAGCTTGTTTGAGCCGGTAGCGCGCGCGGGGGGGGTAGTTAGAAACACGCTTACCAACTTCAATGGCTTCCTGCTGCATGTCTTCGCTCTATTCCGGTAATCGATTAGATGCTGATCCTCTTGTATACTGGGATAAACACTGTCTCACCATGTCCACAGACTTGATCTGGGCTGCCGTTATGTCACTCGTTAGCCCGCCCGTCCAAACCACAGAGGGGAAACCAATAAAAGGGGCAAGGGAACAAGGTACCTTCGAGCTTCTCGCGCTTCTCGGTGGCCATGGCGACTGACAGGAGGAATCAGGAGGAAGAGGGATATGAATTCGTGGTCGTCAGCGGGTATGTCAGAAGATCCTCTGGGTGGTGGCTTGCTGTCAGTGTCTGTCTGTTCTGTCGCTTTCGTCCTGTTGCTTCTCCCCGTCCGTTTTATTCGTTTGTTTTCCTTTTTCCTTTTGGTGACGAAAGGCTGACAGAGCGAGTTTGGTGCACAGACGTTTTCTTTTTCTCTTTATTTTCTTTGGGCGGGACTGATTATATAATACAAGCCCACTCACCGCCCTTGGCAGAAAAAAAAAGTCACGAAAAAAGACGAAAAAAAAAAAGATTTCTTAACAATGCAAGAAAGCAAAGAAAAGAAACAACATCCAGGATTGTGCGTTCTTCTTGTCTTCTGTTCAACTTGTCAACCTCCACGGGAGAATGTGAGGCGGCTTCCAAGAGCGTTTCTTTACCTAGAATAGAAGATGGAGGGCACTCGAGTGTTTGTGTCTGGGCTCCCGCCGTCGCTGACAAGTGACAAGCTGCGGAATCACTTTGCTCAGCGGTTCGAGGTTACAGATGCTCATGTTATTCCCAATCGGCGGATCGGTTTCGTGGGGTTCAAGGGACCGGATCTCGCTGAAAATGCCGTCAAATACTTTAATAAGACGTTCATCAACATGTCGAAGATATCCGTGGAAATGGCTAGACCTGTAAGTATTTCTGAACTTCCGTTCCAGAAGTGTCACATTGATTACTCGGTGTTTGGCTGTTGCGAGGCTAACAGGCCTTGAAGGACTCAATGGAAGAAAGCTGACCGCATCGTTTTCAAAGGTCGATGCCGATAACTCGGATGATTTACGTGCCAGGTATAGAAAACATTTAAATGCTAAGAAGGATCCCCCTTCTCTCAAGCGGAAACGTGACACACAGGATACAGAGGAGGATGAAAAACTGCAAGAATACCTGACTGCTATGCAGCCTCCAACGAAGTCTCGGACGTGGGCCGATAGCGGTGCAATTCCAACTGCACATCAAGAGCAGAAGCCTGCAACTGATGCTGCAAAGGAGCCCACTGAAGGCGAAGACGACGTTGAGATGCATAATGTTGAAACTGCAGTCACCGATATCCCCGTAACAGAACAAGAGGCCAAATCCGATGATGTGGATGCGGTGAATGTAAATGAGAATCCAGTACAACAGAACGACGATGACTGGCTACGATCTAAGACATCCCGTCTCCTGGGGCTCCTTGATGACGAGGATGAGATGGCAGCTGAAACTTGGAAAGGCAAGCCATTGGAAAATGCAACGGATCAGCCTCCGGTTCCTGCCAAAATTCCCAGTACAAAAGCTGCCGTTGAAGAGGGAGAGAGTGTGCCGGAGCCTCCTCCTGACGCTAATATTGAATCTATCCGACTCACCGGACGACTATTTATACGGAATCTACCTTATAATGCATCTGAGGATGATCTAAATGCCACGTTTTCTCGTTTTGGTAAAATTGAGGAGGTAAGATATCCCAATTCCCCCTTAATCCACCGTATAATCCACCCACAGTCTATATGATGATTATCCTGATAGGGACATCTGATGCTTTGCATATGATGTTACCAGGAAGAGTATTTTAGTAGATGCCTCTTTAATCTGATGACTGTATCCTTTCTTATTGCAGCTATCAACTATTGGTTTATGACATAAGATCAAAGCTAACTGAACCAGACTCATGTTGCTACAGATACTCGACATTCTACTAGCAAAGGTTTTGCCTACATTCAATATGTAGAAAGTGACGCCGCAATTGAAGCATATAAGCAATTAGATGGGAAAGACTTCCAAGGCCGTCTGATGCATATATTGCCTGCATCGTCAAAGAAAACGTATAAGCTCGATGAATTTGAGATCTCGAAGCTCCCTTTGAAGAAGCAACAGCAAATCAAAAGGAAAGCTGAGGCAGCTTCATCAACTTTCAGTTGGAATTCTCTATACATGAACGTTCGTCATCTCTTATGCTCAACCTCTTAATGTACGTCATAGCTAATGACTTGAACAGACTGATGCAGTAATGGCCTCCGTAGCAGACAGGTTGGGAGTCTCAAAGTCACAGCTTTTAGACCCCACCTCCTCGGATGCTGCTGTGAAGCAAGCTCATGCAGAGACTCATGTTATCCAGGAAACCAAAGCCTATTTCAGTGCTAACGGTGTTAACATAGAGTCCTTCAAGCAACGTGAAAGAGGAAACACTGCTCTCCTATTAAAGAATTTCACATACGGGGTATCATCTGAAGACATTAGAAAGCTCTGTGAACCCTTTGGACAGCTAACACGGCTTCTTATGCCACCAAGTGGCACCATTGCTATAGTTGAGTTTGCTATGCCCGATGAAGCCCTAAGGGCATTCAAGGGCCTTGCCTATAAGAGAATAGGCGACTCAATTCTCTATGTAGAGAAAGCTCCCAAGAACCTGTTCGAGGGTGGCCCTCCAGTCACAATGCCGTCCTTACTAAACCAGAAAGTCGTCTCCCAAGGCTTTTCTACATCAGATACCTTCAAGGCAGATGAGCCAGAGGCTCCCATGGAGAGCGCAACGTTATTCGTTCGCAATCTTAACTTTATTACTACTGATGCCGGCCTGAGTGATCTGTTCAGACCTCTTGACGGATTCATTTCTGCACAGGTGAAGACCAGACCAGACCCCAAGAAACCGGGTGAACGACTCAGCATGGGCTTTGGCTTCGTGGAATTTAAGAGTCGAGCCCAGGCTGAGGCAGCTCTCAAGGCTCTCAACGGGTATAAGCTTGATCAGCACGAGCTTGTCATTAAACCGTCTCACAAGGGCATGGATGCAGCTGAGCAACGACGAAGAGAAGACAATGCAAAGAAGGCCTCCGCCAAACGAACCAAGATCATCATCAAGAACTTGCCCTTCCAAGCCACCAAGAAGGATATCTGGTCTCTGTTCGCGGCGTATGGCCAGCTCCGATCTGTCCGTGTGCCGAAGAAGTTCGACCGGACTGCCCGGGGTTTCGCATTTGCCGACTTCGTCAGCTCAAGGGAGGCTGAGAATGCAATGGACGCGTTGCGCAATACTCATCTCCTCGGCCGACGGCTGGTTCTCGAGTTCGTCTCGGAAGAGGCCACTGATCCGGAAGATCAGATCAAGGAGATCGAGAAGAAGGTCGACGCGCAAGTGAACAAAGTCAAGATACAGAAACTTATGGGCCCTGGAAGGAAGAAGTTCCACGTTGACGCGGACCTTGAAGACTAGGCATATGCAGGTCCTATTTTCGTCGTCATTAATAGATAGCCGTTTGATAGAGGGCAATGCATCCCGTCTAGTGTTCTGAACAGTAGTTTACCCGACTCTCACCCCGGGCTCGTAGCACTGCCATCCCCTGTGCTCCCTTTCATGTCCTTTTACCACCCTGTAGGCACCAGAAGCGACGTCTGAACGCCATCCCGCGGGTCCACTGCCAAGTTGCCGGCCTCTCCAGCCCATTTTTATTTGTCGTCATCGTCTTGGTCGTGCAGTTGCCACCCGACGTGATGCTCGATCTCGGATCTCGGAGTTCAGTCGACTTCTCGAGTATAAGTACAAGAAGAGGCTCGAAGACCAACATTCCTAGATCCATAACTCCTGACCGATCGACCCCATACGCATCGTCGCAGATATTGACATCATCCAGAACGGTTCAATTGCACGTCCTCGTTAATAATACGCCGTACCCACTGATTGTCTTTTTTCCGCACGTTAACTTCCCAAGATCCATCGCCATCGAACCACCACGAATTTCTCTTCTTCCACTCAATTAGAATTGCAGTTTTCAGTTGCAGACAAAAATCGTACCCGCAGATAATATCCCAAACACAAAAAGAAGACATACCAAAATATGGCGTCAGCTACAGCTCCAAATCTAACGGCTCCCTCTGTGAAACTGAACAGCGGGTATGCCATGCCGATCGTGGGGTTTGGGCTATGGAAAGTCAATAAGGAGACCTGCGCTGACCAGGTCTACAATGCCATCAAGACTGGCTATCGACTGTTCGACGGTGCTTGTGGTACGTGATATTATGCATATATCTACCAATTCCATGATTTGTTGCTTATCTAGATCCCACAGACTATGGAAATGAACAAGAAGCCGGGCAGGGCGTGGCTCGGGCTATTAAAGAGGGAATCGTGAAACGAGAAGATCTCTTCATCGTCTCCAAGCTCTGGGGAACCTTTCATGATCCCAAACATGTTGAACCAGCTTGTCGTCGCCAGTTGTCTCACTGGGGTATTGACTACTTCGACCTGTACATTGTTCACTTCCCCATCTCTCTGAAATATGTTGATCCCGAGGTTCGATACCCCCCAGAGTGGTGTGCTCCCGGAGAGAAAGCCGAGGCTAGCGATGTACCAATGTACAAGACCTGGGGAGCAATGGAAGAGCTCGTTGACAAGAGACTCGTGCGCAGCATTGGAATCAGCAACTTCAGCTCTCAGTTGATCATGGACTTGCTGCGGTATGCTCGTATCAGACCTGCTACCCTGCAAATAGAGCATCACCCATACCTCACCCAGGAAGGCTTGATCAATTATGCCCAAAGTGAGGGATTGGCGGTTACAGCCTATTCATCTCTTGGTCCGCAGAGCTTCATTGAATTGGAGCACAAGGCGGCGACTGGAACCAAATTGCTGCTTGAACATCCAACCATCCGATCTTCTGCTGAGAAACATGGAAAGACACCTGCACAAGTGCTGCTGCGATGGGCAACCCAAAGGGGCATCGCTGTTATCCCAAAGAGCAACAACCCGGAGAGACTTGCGCAGAATCTTGATGCAACCAGCTTCAACCTTACCGCGAACGAACTTGCCACCATCAGTGCTCTCAACCAAGGATTACGGTTCAACGACCCTCCAAGCGTGAGTGATAATCAGCTCTTTCCAAAATTCACAGTTTCATAGCCAATGCTGACTTTGGTATCGTAGTATGGCCTCAATTTCCCCATCTTTGGATAAAATTTTGTTATTGGGATGTCATTCATCTGAATATGTATAAATTTAGTCTTGGAAAATATCATTGGTATAATAATGCTAGCAGAGTGTTGCTAAACACAAATTGCTGCAAATTACTTGTCATGGAATAATAAACATAGAGTGACCGCCAGCTATGCTTAATTGAAAATTGAACAACACAGTCCTAAATTTGGAACGAACGCCCTAGCACTTTGTAAGGTGCCCTGGAGTTATCTCGGAGGTCTAGTCGTATCGCATGACATCCACTCAGCCAAAGTTTCCTCCAAGGAAATGTCCGAAAGATGAACATATGTCAACTTTTGACAGGAGGACATTCATCTGTACCTTCAGATCACTCAACTCTATTCCAAGTGTGAGTAAGTGGAAAGATCCTGTAGCCACAAAGATTGGGTACCTATGGCCGTGGGTATCTACTTTCTATCCAATTCAGGTGCATTTATGCACTCGTTGTTCCGTCTGGGTAGAGAACAGACTTTAAAGGGAATAATAGGTGGTCATGGCCCAATATAGACTTATGATTATGCCCGGGACCGACGTCCAACGTGCCGCTTATCTGGAAACGACGATAGTTCAAAGGTTTGCCAAACGTGTAGACCAGACTCTCGGGTAAGATGAGTCTCAGCCAGAATCAGTATTTTGTTGAGGGCGTTCAGCATCGAGGCGTTTGGCATCTTCTTCCTTCTTCCTCTTTTCTTCCTCCAATCCTTGCTTCCACATCTGCATCAACGAGGTTCCTCCCGCCTTAACCGTGCTTTCAAAGTACCGGTCTTGAACTCGAAACGGCATCGAAAATTTCCGTTTCGTAAAACAATCCGCGTATTCAGCCAAAGGAACTCGGTTGTCTGGTGCGCGCATTAAATCCTGCACCTCCATCCAATGCCTTGAGATTTGAAACCCCATATTATATGGGTTTTTTCTCATGTTTGCTTTGTGGTCATACTCTGATTCTGCAATCGTGCATTGGATGACTTCGCCAGATGTGTCAGACGGGTGAAGCGTGGCATTCTCTGTAGGATTGGAGGAGCTTGGGTGTTCTTGGATATAGGAGTTGGAGGTGTTCGGTTTCGGGCTAGGCAGAGGAACTGTCAACGGCGAGGCCCTGATAGCATTGGAGGCGGATTCAGGTGATTCAAAGATCGCAAATGCCGTGCCCCCAGATGTCGACGTTCGAATTTTGAAATACTATTCTGCAGGTTAGAATTGCGGTTTCTGAACTGTAAGAGAATCGGTTGACCCTACCTTTGTATTAAGAAATGAGGATACTTCCCCAAACTGTTGCAATGATTTCAAAACCGCTCTGCTCTGGGAAAGAGTGCGAGGCGCCGGTTGCATTCGAATGTACACCTGGCGGCTGTTGATAGCAGTCCGAAGCGTAGAGGACGCCATTGTGCATTCCCAGTTTGGCTCAGGTATACAGCTGCTATGCTATTTCCTGCAGTTCGACGATGCTCCTGGAGGTTTGAAAGGAACCCTGGCTTATGTAATCAGCCGATGGCCGCTAGAGCAGAACTTTATCTGGAGCGCAGGATATCAACATCGGCGGGATTGAAGGATATGTGGTCAACAACTAGTTATTTGGTTGTGGATAGGTGCATATTTGGAAAAGATCTCGGTAGTGTATCTCGGGATATGATCGGATACAGAGTTTGCACAAGGACTACCTTATCGGCGATACCCTAGGTGGTCCCGCTAGTTACGATCATCAGGATGATACTGGCATAACATGTGGCCCATATCGTACTGAAGCTGAATTCAAAGGCAGAGTATTGGGGATATACAAGAGCGATTTGGACACATATGGGTAACGGAGATACTGAAGTAGAGTTGAGTTATGCTTTTGAAAAACAGCTACCATAATGAACTAGAGCCAGAGAAGCTACTTTGGATAGCAAAGCCTGTGTTTTGATAAACTGTCGGTACAATGGATCACTCTCTCCTCTCTCCTCTTCCGCTTCCACCTTACTGATTTTCTCCTTTTCATTAACTATAAATGATACCACGATCGCACGACAAACGAACTAATGAACTGTACGGTGAAAATAAAAATGATGGATCTCCTTACAATCCAGACGGTTCAAAGGGTACACTGATGACTATCCACGACGAGCTTTTGGTTGGAAAATAATGCGTCCGTCGCGATGTCGTTGGCCTCTTCCTCAATCTTCTTCATGATATCCCAGCTTGGCTCCATGCCGATAAACCCGCAGTTGGCAAGTTCATATATCGCCGCGAGGGCCCAGGTTCGACAAGTAAACTCGTCTCCTGGCACCTCAGTTGCCTGGATGCACTGTTTTATGGCGTCCATCCACTCAGCCGTAATGTCTGGGACCTCGCCGAGTTTTAAAACGACGAGCAATGCCGTGGATCTCGTAATATCCTCGAACTCAACTATATATCGCCAGACGGTTCCGTTGAGAGTCTGGTGGAAAATGACTCCTCCCAGTTCGTTAGAGGCGATGAGTATTCCCCAGTCGTACTTTCGTGGCAGCGCCGTCGACGAAAGAACCATATATACGTTCTTGGCTTCGACTCTCAGCCCATTGTCGTATTCCGCTGAGGTTGGCGGGGCTTTTGGGTTGGTACCTGAGGAGGAAGGTTTGGCGGGTGAGAGCCTGAACATTTTTCTCAGCTTCTAGTGAAAGTGAAGGGCAAATAGTATCCGATGACCGCAATATTTGCGTCTAAACGCTAGACCATTCAACCAAAAGGGTGAGCCCACGCAAGTGGAACGCGGGATGAAGTTGTCTTTTGACAGGTGGCCATGTCAATGTCGTTGGTTATATATAGAAAATGGTGAGAATTTAGGCTGCCTTCCTGCAAGACGGGAAGTACTCCCCCTGCTGGCCTATTATATCGAACCTCGCGATGCTGGGCCTGTCCCGTAAGTATACATCAGCAACCAGATACAAATAGTATGCTGATTACGAGACTAGATCTAGACGTAACTAGTCCAGTAAGTATAAGCTTAATATTATCGCGAAGCAAGTGGCGGTGATATTTCAATATAAGTAGGTTCTATAGCCAATTACCTCCACTACTTGAACTTGTTTGTCAAAACTGATAGTATATTTTCGTACATCAGAGCGTATTCGGGACTTGTTCAATGAGACTTGCTTCCCCGTGTGTGTCTTAAACTCCTTCAAACCACTTGTGTGCCAGCGCCTCATCGGCAGTGATTCTCCTCTCTGGATCTAAATTCGTCATGCCACAAATAAGGCTCTTAAAGTCCTCATCAACATCCTTCCAAAGAGCAAACGGCCTACGTGGGTTGTCGCTGTTGAAGCCATCTCGGATGACTTGGAAAATGTGGACCCAAGGACTGTCTCCTAGGTATTTCACAAGCCCATTTATTCCATCTTCATTTGCAAAGTATGAAATTTGCCGTTCTATTATAATAGACAATGGGTTTATCCTTTCCTCCAACTCCTCTTCCCCGACCGCGAAGATGACCCGTTTGTGTACTGCATAAATGCACTATTAAGATAAGCAGCTAGGCCTCTAAAGTCCTGGGATTTTTGGTGTAAAGACTTACGACAAGAGCAAAAGAGAAGATGTCAGATGGTTTATTCACAGGCCCTGATGCATGGGCTTCGGGACTCCTCCACATCTCGTTTCCTGCTTGCTTTCCAATCATCGCTGACCCGGGAGGAATGTAAGCAGCATCTTCAAGGTCTCCCAGCTGAACTCGCTCAACACTGGTATCCTTGCCATTGCCTTTCCAGTCGATGAATATGTTATCTGCCTTAATATCTGCCTAATATAAGTATTGGCTATCTCGGCCACAAAGGGCACTACATACCTGTATGGACAATATCCCGGGAATGGAGCTCCGCTAGCCCACGGAGGGCATCTTTAAGAATCCTTTTGGTGATTTGTAGAGGCGGATCGTTCTGAGCAAGCCGTAAGAGATGGCCAGTGAAATACTCAAAAGCGAACATTGATTTCTCTGGGAGTATGTCTGTGGGAGACGGACATGGCCAGCACCAAGTAGTTTACAGTTTAGTTCCCGAAGGTCACTGAAGTTAACTGGATGGATGTACTTCAGGATGAACTTGTCATTGGCAGCACTAAGAGCGTGGTGAGCAATTAGATGGTCATACGGAGTAGATGGGAGAACTCACTTAGCAAGGCAAACCCGGCGTGGAGGGAATGTCTCCTCCTGGAGTGTCCGTTCGATCTTGTAATTCCGGCCAGACTCGCCGATGTATTCCCCAGAGTTTATCGGGGCTGTCGATATTGTGCGGGTTTGGCCTGAAGAAGCTAGCCTGGAGTTTGAAAATTTCGGGCCCCGGAGGTTTAAACATGCCCAATTCTTGCAAGAACGGACGGCTAGAGAAAAGAGTGTACCTTGTGACTGCATTTTGAGATCCTCGCGGGATACTGTCAGGAAAGCTTGTCTTGCTCATATCTCGTAAATAATCTCTGTCTTCTACGATCAGCGCAAACAAGATACTTATGTCGAACCCCCTGCCCCATCGCCTTTCGTGTCTGGCTCGAGCCGCAAAAGGTCTTGGCTAGATCGGGGGCGAAACACGATGATCCAGATCGAGAGATATGCATCCAAAAAAAAGATAACTAAGTAGAATGGAAGGGAAAGCACGGAGTACTTCGTAGCTAAAAGCTCAATTTCCCACGTGCAAAACAGGACGATGCGCATGCCAGAGCCCCCAAGACCAGTCAAGGAGCTGGGAGGGAGCTGACCCCCCAAACTGTGGAGAACGCCTGCGGTCGTCCGGCAATCGCTTCTTGGTTATGTAACGTAAATATTTTGCTCCATCGAAGTCGAGCACCCGCAGAAGGTTCCGTCGAAGCTTGGCCGGGGTAGAAAATATCGACCCCCCTGGTCGGTCAGAGCAATGACCTTTCCATATCAATAACCTTTCCGGCAGCTGGAATGGGTGTCATGTCGAGGATGTGTCGAAAATCACGCGGCAACCATGAAGAGACGCCCCCCCCCGTCATGTCATGCGTAAAATCAAGAGAAGCTCCAGGCCCGGCATCGGTCCCCATATATGTAGCTACTGACCATCGTCCTCCCTTGTCATCCACCAGAGGTGTTAGTTATGTAACCTGAAGATCAGCAATAATGTGATGAGAATCCCAGCCCAATAACTGGAACCGACGCTCCGCCGTACATGGTACCATGTCGTCTGTACGCTGCACTCGGTTGTGTATGATTCCTGACTGACGCTGGGCGACGAGAATGGCCACACAACTGGTACTCCGTACCCCTTTGATGGGCCAGGCTGTGACCGGGAGCACTTGAGCGGCCTCCTAGTCCGCTGCAGACCAGCCGCTAGCGTGCTGTCGCCCCTGGCTCCCGCCAGTCAGCGCCGCAGATTGGCCACTGAGCAGACACCCTGGCCGCCTGGACTGTGATGAGGGCAGGTCATTGCCCAATAAGGCGGCCTCCAGAGGGGGCCATCACTCACCCTATATACCACCTTGCCTCTGCCTGACAAGGAGGCCGAACCAAGTCGAGTTCTCAAGCCTGTCGCCTCGAGACGGACAGCTGCACTAGTACATATATACTCCGTAGCCAGAGTGAGAGCCAGCACCGCGAAGAAGTGATGGTTTAGCTAGCTAGCGAACGAGGACGAAGTGAAAATAAAGTATTCCTTACCGGCCGTATCGAGCCCGTATCAATACCGCTCTGCCGGCCCCCCTTCGCCCCAAGTCGCCCCCCCTTGACCACCCGCTGGGCAGTGTCCTGTTACGGCCCCAATACCAAGGTTACCGCTTCCCTTTTCACCTTTTCTCGACCACCCAGCAAATCAGAGAGAGGCAGCCTTACGTAAGCCTACCCAGAACTTCTGGCGCTCCCAACTTCGACCTTTCGCTTTCCTCTTCCTCCTCCTGCCTCTGCTGCTTGCTCCAAGAGAGAGACCCGACCTGCACCGACGCCCGATCTCTCGACCACCGCTGCCGACGACCGCCCTCGACCCTCTGCTGCCCCCAGACACTGTCCAAGCTGCTGCCGGTGCCAGCCATCTGCCTCAGTGCCGCTTTGCGACTTCTATTAACCGCCGGTTTCGCTCGTCTGGACCGAGCAGGCGGTACTCTCTTGAAGCACGCTCCAAAGGGGGAGAGGAGTTCTCGACCTCCGACTCAACTTCTGCCGCCTCAAGATCAAGAGCAGGCGGGGAATAAGGAGAGACACTCCCGCAATAGGCTGCTGGACTCGAAGTATTCGGCCTTTCCTTATTTAATACCTTCAAAAGTGACTGCGACGATAGCTTTTTTGGGGGGGGTGTGCTTGTGATATCGTGAATCCTTCTAACACAAAAACGTTAACCCAACTTCAACGGTTCCTTGGTTTGAAATTGACGGTTAGAAGCCGTTGGGAACTATCGGTCGGCCCTACGACTCGCTCTTGTCGGTGACAAGGTGCTTAATTGACGGAGAGGGATCCATCCCACACGGCCACCTCGTTCCCCGAGCTAGCCCAAGCCTCTCCACGCTCCGGCGTCGTCGCTGAAATAATTATATCGCACGGTACCAATGTCCGCCCCTTCTGGAGTCTCAGGTATGTCGACAATCATGTTGCTCTATAACCGGGTGAATATCGAGAGATTAACCTCGTTGAAACTAGACTCGAGCGTAGCTCCTGCAAGTCACACAGGACCTTCCGACATGCCTCATAATGCATCCCCTTCCGCTCCAGAGACAACGGAACTGCCAAAGAAAAAGCGGTCTTTTCTCCGCATACCGTCTCGGTCCTCGTCAAAGAAGAATAAAGAACACTCGCAATCGGAAGACACCAACCGGGAAGGCACTGGAGCCTCGCTATCCACTTCGCAAACAAACCTGACGGGGAGCCACAGCAAGGCTAGTAGCACAAGGTCACGACACGCACAGCCTCTAGATCAAGCTGGTGCCCATATCGGCTCTAAAAATGGAGGTTCACGGGCCGAACATGATCCAAAGTCTGATAAGAGGCAAAGGGGATCACTATGGTCGTTTCTAAGCTGCTGCCGTGCGCCTAAGGACGATGATGGTGAAGACATGGCTTCACTCCCACCAAAGCAGACTGTCAAACCTCATTCACTCCGGACCACCCAACCAATATCCGAGAAAGCGGATGCTGGCGTTGCTGATTCGGGTAGTGCCGACAGGAAGGATGACGCTGATGCCACTACCGAAAAGCCAGCAATCAAAATATTCGATGAGCAAAGTGCCCCCATAGCTGAGAATAATGTCGGTGCTGCTGTAGATGAGAAAGCTGCTGTTACAACAAAGCAAGAAGACGAGGAAGAATCCACTCTTTCTGGCCGTGACAGTAACACTCACCACCAAACCGAGCCAGTCCTCCCGGAGAGTTCCAAACTTGACCCAGTACATGTTTTGTCAGAGGAATCTGGCGCATCAAACTCTCTAGCCGCCGGCCAAACCGAGAAACCCACAGAGACACCAGCTACCATTCCTGAGCAACAGAACCGGAGTGACGAAACCGACATGCATGACCAGTATCCTATCGCCAGCGCCGATGAGCCAGCCGCCGAAGCGAACCACCAAGTTGTCCATCAAACCCCTCTTCCACCTCCACCTCCCCTGGACCTCGCATATCCCCAAGCAGCTTCTGATAAACCGGTTCCTCCTGTACCATCTGTTCAAAGCGAAAAGCAAAAATGGCTATTGCCCCCCATTCAAGACCATTTCTCTGGCAGGAAATGCCTAGTCTTGGATCTCGACGAAACTCTTGTTCATAGCAGCTTTAAGGTATGATATACATACCATTTTTCTTTCCTTTCTAGATAAACGTATCGCTAACAATTTTATGCTCAGGTTCTTGATCGAGCTGATTTCACTATACCCGTCGAGATAGAGGGACAATATCACAATATATATGTGATCAAACGTCCTGGAGTAGACCAGTTCATGAAACGTGTTGGTGAACTCTACGAGGTTGTTGTTTTCACTGCATCTGTATCAAAGGTTTGTCGTCCTTTTCGGAAAGATTTATATTATGCCAATGACTAACCCCGTTACAGTATGGAGATCCATTACTAGATAAACTAGATATCCATAAAGTTGTCCATCATCGCCTCTTTAGAGATAGCTGCTACAACCACCAAGGAAACTATGTCAAGGTATGCCAAAAATTCGTCTAATATGCATTGCTAGATATCCTTTGCTAAATTATTTCCAGGACCTATCGCAAGTTGGCCGTGATCTTAAAGAAACGATTATTATCGATAACTCCCCGACTTCCTACATATTTCACCCAAAGCATGCAATCCCAATCAGCAGCTGGTTCTCAGACGCCCATGACAACGAGCTCCTCGACCTCATTCCAGTACTAGAAGACCTAGCTCACAGCCATGTGCGAGATGTGAGCTTGGTGCTGGACGTTGCCTTATAGCACCGGCATTCTCGAAAAAAACCAGCATTCAGCCTATGCTACTTTGACGTCTTTCTTACCTTTATCTAACCCCTGTTAATTAACTCCCAAAAATTCCGGAACCTGCCTGTGCACCTAAAAAAAGATGCTCTCTTAAACGAGCCACGTTCGCTTTAATACCCTGGTTGTTTTTATTAGTTTTTCCTTGTTTTATTTGTGATTACCCTTCAAGCACCCTTTCCTTAGTTTCCTTGACTTCTCCTTTCCGTATGTTTAACTCCATTCCCCCAATCGCCTTTTCTTTCTTCCGTTTGTTTGAAAAACAATTCCCCTGGCTGTCTTCGCACCTCTCTACCATCCCCCCCCCCCCCCTCCTATACGCTATCTAATTTCCTGCACGTACTTTACCTTCTACCCACTTCACTACATCTCCTTCTCCATCTACATTCTCTATCGACTCCTGAAGTCTCATGACCTTGACTTCCGGGTTTTTCCCTCCTGTCCCTGCCCTACCCCATATCTGCCCTACATTTAGTCCTGTACCTCCACCACAAACCCCGAATCTGCGAACAGTCGCCATACTGCACAACCTTTTTCCTTGACTCCTCTATTTCTCTTATCATATCTGTCCTCATTGCTTTTTTGATATTCCAGCTATCGAGTTATTTAAACCCACAGTTATACATCCATTGGCACAACATATTCAGTTATGCATCAGCTTTAGCTCTGAGCCTTACTTATTCGTTATTACCCTTTCATATTTCTTCAATTCTATTGACCTATTTATTCTTCGGCTTTGATATTCTATCCGTTTACCCTTCTCAAAGTCCCAAGGACCAACTCCATTCAATTTCGCACATTTTAACATCCCTCCTTTTTAGCCGGGCACCTAGTTTGCTCTATATATGCATCCTTCCTCGTCTTTCTTAGAACAAGATGTTCTTGTTTTCTCCCTCTTATTTATCTACTTCTCACCCAGCATGCATTTTCATATCTGAGACTTTTTTTTCTCCCCTTCATGTTGCATACGTTCTAGCAACGTTGTTTTTCCAACTTAAGGTACTTGATGTATTTTTCTATTCTATGTTTTAATAGATCGAAATTTAACCAACCTGTTGCATTCTGATGCACGTAGCATACCCATTTGATCCGTAGTATTTAACTGGCTAGGTTCGTGCTTGCAAGGGCGCCTGGCTGGGAGATGGTCACGTGGTGTCCATGACGCACCTACCTGCACACCCAAACAGCGGTTCCTGGCTGCCTAGGAGTTACACTAGCTTATTTATCGATAATAATATAAACTTGAATGCGAGACCAACATTATACCCATACCAGGTAGACTGTACCTCGAACAAGGTTATTGTTACGACACTATTTGATCCTGCTAAACACTACGCCTCGTGGCAACCACCTGAACCTCCACGTCCATTTCCCCTCCATGGCAGTATGAGCGATCAACAGACGGATCCAAACAAACCAGCCAAACCTCACGCTGTCCTCACAAACCCCGAGGTACTGAGTAACCCACATGCAGATACTGAAGGACCGCCTCCTGAAGAAATTGAAGCCGATGAAGGTATAGACTGGGTCATGATAGTCATATAGAGATACAAGGCATGCTAACTATGCCGTTCCCATAATAGATTTGCTAGTTGATCTAGAAGACGATGCGGACGTAAGTTCCCCTTGGAAGGGTACGCCATTATGGTGCATGGAGGTTAATTGAAGTTATTCTAGGAAATATACTTGGTTCACTCTAGAGTATCGTCCATGAAGAGCTTGAAGTTAGAACGGTTTATGAATATCGAGGTATCACTATTATTCTACCATCGTATGGTATGCTGTGTCTACCATGAACAAGTTCTAACTTGTACTCTTCTAGAAAATATGTCTTCGCCAGAACCAAATAACCCGCATATATCTTCCCGATAACCTCGCACCCACCTTAAAAGAACTTGACCTTTATGACAACAACATCTCACACGTGAAAGGCCTGGATCACGTCGTGAACTTGACAAGCCTCGACCTTAGTTTCAATGATATTAAACATATCAAGAATATCTCTACACTAGTACACCTAAGGGACCTATATTTCATTCAAAACCGAATTCAAACAATCGAAGGGCTGGAAGAGCTCAAAGAATTGCGGAATCTGGAGCTTGGTGCGAACAAGATAAGAGTATGGCCCAAAACTACCACCAAATACCTGTTCAGGCCGATTCAAAATATGACGGAATGTGTTTGGCTGAGAACTGACAAGATTTTCTTTTGGTAAATGACAGGAAATTGACAATCTTGACACATTGACAGCTCTTGAAGAGCTATGGCTGGGAAAGAACAAAATATCCGAAATTAAGGTGCCAACTACCAACTCCAAGCCCAAACGTTCTCCACCCACATAAAACTGATTATGTCCATTTTCTTTCAGAACATTTCGTCTCTTACCAATCTCAAAATACTTTCGATACCTTCTAATCGAATTGAAACACTCTCTGGGCTAGAGTCTCTTTCAAGCCTCGAGGAGCTCTACCTATCTGATAATCTCCTTACTGGGATATCTGGGCTTGAAAGCAACACAAATCTCCGTGTTTTAGACATATCTAACAACAAAGTGTCGCGGCTGGAGAATCTGTCGCATCTTACCAAGTTAGAGGAGCTTTGGGCATCAAATAACCAGCTCTCTAGTTTTGAAGAAGTGGAGCGTGAGCTGAAAGACAAAGAAGAGTTAAATACAGTGTACTTTGAAGGGAACCCCTTACAGAAGGCGGCGCCTGCTCTGTATCGGAATAAAGTACGGCTTGCCCTGCCTCAAATTAAGCAAATTGATGCTAGTAAGTACCTCGTATTAACAGTTATTTGTTCGTCCTTTGGGTATGTTATGACTGTCGCTGATCAATTTGTCTCTTATAGCGTTTGTGAGAGTATAGTTACAAATTTGATGAATCTCCGGACACTTATAAGCTAATATTTAAAATATTTCTTTTGTGCGGAGTACTTCTTTTCTTATAGGATCGAAGGCCATCATCTTTCTAGGGAGCGGGGAGATGGACTATAAGGATCATAATTCCTCGAACTCCTTTGTTTGAAGCCAGTATCATTGAATGTCGTAGTGCATCCAACCACCGTTGTACTTAGAGGAGCTAATATTAGTAACAAAGTGTTATATCTTGGCAAAAATTAGCCTCGGCAAAACATGGTCACGTGGATGAGAGTTCACATGCTGCAATGTCGACCAACTTTCAACGGGGAATCTGGGGTTAAATTCAACTTGCTCAACCTCATCTCAGGACAACGCTAGTATACGGTGTAGCTGCTGTGGTTTATAGGAGACGAATTTGATACCTTCTGAACGATCTCTAGGCTTTCCCCCTCCTGTTTTGCTTCCCAGTGGCGGCTGCCCGGATTAGTCGCGGGACCATGGGATTCAGATCAAGATAACCAGTGAATGAAAACGGCCTATGGTCCTAGAGTGAAGACAGTATGGCAGCTCAATCTACTCTTCGGCGACCGGAAGATCCGCTGGTCATACTATTTCGGCATTATTCCCAACTACTTCTCTCCCGCGTCCGAAATTCGTCAAGAACGGTAAAGCTAGCTGCCACCGTTGCTTTACTTCTGTCTATTATTGGAACAGGTTATGGAGGATATAGCTGGTGGAAGGATTGGTCAAAGGAAAGGGTACAAGGGAGACAGCTGTTGCGCAAGAATTCCGGGTTACGAGGGAAAGATGGGTCAAGGATTATATACGTTCCTTACAAGTCGAGCCTTACCTCCTCCAGTACCTCCAAGGTCACCATCCACCCTACAAAATCAACGACATTTGATGCCCACAGACGACTGTTCTTGAACCCACCAAGAGCAGCTGGACTACGGGATGGGTATGGAGGAGCGCCACCGCCATCCACCAAGCCTGGTTTGAATTTAGCCTTTTTGCACCAACTGCTTAGCTTATTGAGCATCATGATTCCCCGATGGAACAGCAAGGAAACGGGCCTACTTCTGAGCCATGGAGTTTTTCTCATGCTAAGAACATACCTGTCTTTGGTGGTGGCTAGGCTGGATGGTGAGATTGTACGGGATCTGGTGGCCGGAAAAGGAAGAGCTTTCATTTGGGGCATCATCAAGTGGTGCAGCATCGGCACCTTCGCTTCATACACAAACGCTATGATCAAGTTTCTGAAATCAAAGGTTTCTATTGCTTTCCGAACACGACTGACTCGCTATGTACACGACCTTTATTTGAATGACAACATGAATTACTACAAGTTGGGTAATCTTGATGGAGCTATTGGCCAAGGGGTTGACCAGTTCATTACCCAAGATCTCACCCTTTTCTGCAGCGCTGTTGCATCATTATATTCTTCACTTGGAAAACCACTGGTTGACCTTATCGTTTTCAACTACCAGCTTTATCGTTCGTTGGGTCCACTGGCTCTAACTGGTATACTAAGTGGGTATATTGGCACTGCATCACTTCTCCGTGGCCATTCCCCTCCATTCGGGAAACTCAAGGCAGTGGAAGGGAAGAAGGAAGGCGATTTCCGTAGCCTACATTCTAGGCTATTGGCGAATGCCGAGGAGATCGCGTTCTATGGTGGTGCTGATATCGAACGGGTATTCCTTTCGAAGAGCTTTGCCAACCTTCAACGATGGATGGAAGGTATATATAAGTTGAAGATACGATATAACATGTTCGAAGACATGTTATTGAAGTATTCGTGGTCAGCTTTTGGGTATTTAATCACATCACTACCAATTTTCCTTCCAGCATGGGGTGGAGCTGGCGGAATTCTTGAGATGGCTACCCCTGGAGCAGGTATCAATCGAGAACGGGGCCGTATGAAGGAGTTCATAACAAATAAACGACTAATGTTGTCCTTGGCTGATGCGGGTGGCCGTATGATGTATAGCATCAAGGATTTATCGGAGCTCGCTGGATATACCTCGCGCGTATACACATTGATATCGACCCTTCATCGTGTTCATGCCAACTCATACCACCAGCCCCGTGGGAGCCAGATAGAACTTTACTCACTCTCTGATGTCCAAGGAACAATTCACAGTGGGTTCGATGGGGTGCGCCTAGAGAATGTTCCCATTGTTGCACCTGGCCTGTTCCCGCAAGGCGGAGATGAACTTATCGAATCCTTGTCTTTTATTGTCCACTCAGGCGAACACCTGCTCATATCTGGGCCGAATGGGGCTGGTAAATCTGCCATTGCTCGGATCATCGCTGGACTATGGCCTGTGTATAGGGGACTTGTAAGCCGACCAAGAAATTTTGGGCAGGACGGCATCATGTTCCTACCACAGCGACCTTATCTGAGCACTGGGACACTACGTGACCAAGTTATATATCCTCACAATGAACTTGACATGCGAGAGAGCGGGCGCACGGATAACCACCTGATGGAGATCCTCGAGGCAGTTCATTTGGGCTACCTCCCAGCTCGTGAAGGTGGTTGGAACGGGCGCAAGGAATGGAAAGATGTTTTGAGTGGCGGAGAAAAGCAGCGTATGGCCATAGCCCGGCTATTCTACCATGACCCGCGCTACGTATTCCTGGATGAGGCAACTTCCGCAGTGTCTTCTGATGTGGAGGGCTTACTGTACGAACGTGCAAAGGAGCGAGGCATTACCCTGATCACGATCTCGACCCGGGCTTCCCTAAAGAAGTACCACACTTTCAACCTTACTGTGGGTCTTGGAGCCGATGGAATGAGTTGGGAGATTGATCGCATTGGAACAGAGAAGGAGAAGATGGGTGTTGAGAAAGAACTACAAGAGCTTAGGCGACAGCTGGATAATGTTGACTCTCTCAAGGCTCGCCGGCAAGAGATTGAAGATGAACTGCAGAGGGTGTGGGAGGGTGAACAAGAGACTGTCGCCCTTGCTTCAGCAGCCTAATCGTGCACATAATTACTGCGAGACCCGCATCTTAACAAAATCTTTATCAATCTGTATGTAAATAGACATGGGAGATCATGGGATCCTGTCATTGGTTCCTATAGATTTTTTTTTTTGCAAAACTTCAATACCAGTCAGGTTTTTTGGTGGCCCCTTGAAGGTTTACAAGGCGATGCGGTAGATAACTTGATCTATCTCAGGAGGTGTATATATATAGCTAACGGCCCATTCAAATATGCCTTTTGTCAGACGTAACCGACTTCAACTTCTGCTGAGCGACCAAGTAGCTAAGTTAGCTGACCAATTATATTCGACCCCAGGTACCTGTCTCAGCTGTGAAGACTGAAAGGGACGGCCCAGCCAATCAACCTCTTTGTCTCTTTGTCTTCTTGTTGGAAACCCGAGAGCCCCCGGGCCCGGGCCCGAGTAGGTCACGTGAATAACTTTATTTAAAGCACACGGCTCTCGTCCTCAGCTTTTTGTTTTGACTGTCCAGATAAAACAACCTCGCAGCACTCTCTTCATCTGTTATATACGTCCTCGAACTTCACCGGCTCGAGCCTAGCAAGTGAGATAGCTAACAATAACCAGTGAACCGCATCTGAACTCGAAGTGAAGCCTAACAAGCTGCCTACCTGTGCCAAGCCCTTGAGATTAACTAGCTCAGCTCACTTCACTCTTGGATCAACATCCAGCAGCTTTCGAAGTCGCGTTAAGAAGAGCTACCGCCCTCTAGGACGGCCTGTATATCAACATGGGACCACAGGGATATGAAGTCGATCAAAAGGGCCGGGTAGTCGTCCCGATAAATAGCTTTTCTGATGGTGACCCTAGCGCCTGGCCCCAGCATTCTAACTGTGTGGAAACCGATGCTACCGTCTATCTCGAGAAGCTAGGGATGCAATGGATGAAAGAAAGAGGCGAGTGTCAGCAAGGTCAGTACCCATTTAGATTTCCTTCCATTGGATACCGGGAAAAAAGCAGTAGCTATATTGATACGGCTCCCTATCCGTCAAGCTAGCCAGAGTATCAAGTTTGAGTAGTGTCTCTATACTCTGGTGCTCGGCAATTGCCGTGAAATGGCTCATGTGCATGGAATAAAGTGAAAATTTTTCCTTGTGCCCATTTATGAAAAAAATTCCTACAATAAAAAGGGTACTAATACGCGCTTTGTTGTTTACTTTCTAGACAAAACATATATTCTTGACCAACTTCCAGAAGGGTACGTCTACTGGGCTCGACCACGCCAAAGCAGGCCTGAACTGGTACGTTTGATTTCATATCATATCATGTCATTGATCAAATACAGTTTCTTGGTTAACATACTCGTTTGCAGGTAGATAAATTTCTCTGGGGCCATCCTTCTGGCAAATATTTTTTTTCACCAAATAGGTTTTGGCCTCATTTTCTCTACTTGATGAACGGTGGCTCAGAGCCTTGCGAGTGTGAGCATTGCGGCTCAGTTCGAAAGGTATCAACCTCTCGTGGATTACCGACTTCGACTCAAAGGAGGCCTGCACGCGCTTCTGGTGTTTCTCGCAGCGCGTTGAGTGACCGTATAGGACAGACACAGCCAGTGCCTAGCAGTTCAAGTATTAACCCCCCCCCACCAACCACAACCACAACTATGATAGTGATTACAAGATTCTAACTCGTGGCTTAGGGCGTACTAGAAGAAAGAAATTCTTGGCCGTAGATGCCGAAGGGAACCAAGACGTTTTTAAGGAATTGATATACCATCTCAAGACCGACGGCAAACTAGAAAGGCCCGTCTTAGAGGACTCCAACATGGACTGGCGAGCGGAGAGAAAACTACTAAAAAATCATCTTACCCGCGTTCGCATGCAGTACTCCTTTTTTCCTAGGCTCGGTGAATTGGTGCTCTGGTACGCCGGGCCATCAAACGGAGAGATCAAATTCCACTGGCAGACCCAGACCTACCAGGTCTATTTGGCTAAGGAGAAGAAGTTCGTCGGCACTCCCACATGGTATGGCGGTGTCGTTACTCAAGTACCGGAGGAACCCCTAAACCTACATGATGCTATCCTAGAAACTAATAAGGGGTATGCACTCAACAAATCCGGTTTTCGAATTGAGCTATTCCCAGACCCAAATAGCTCTAATAAGAATATGTCGACCCACTACAAGTACGTCCCCCTGAGCCAGATTCGACCCTTGAACTTCTGGTCTATTTACCTTCAGGGGGTAAAGAGTATGGACTTTCACCCTTCTATACCCCATGCATTGACTATTATGTCCTCGTTTAGTATACTCGATAAATACTACTTCGAGGGCATATGGCCAAATGCATCTGTGCTCTGTAGGGGGTTGTACCTTGGAGCCGAGCTACTGATTCCTGGTGACGGAGTTCGACTTATGCCACTGGACCGAGATGGAGCGATCGATATTAACGGAAAGGTCACGGATATTTTAGTTATCAATACAATCGAGTTGAGACTGATGGAGTGCGATGCAAATCTTCAGTCTCCTATCCTTAGCCAGACAACAACCGCACGGCTAATAGGAAAAGTCTATACCTTAGACCCTCAACTCGCCTTTGATCAAAGCACTCCGTTAACCGATACCGAGATTTCTAAATCGTTCGAATGTACAGGCATGAGAGAATATGGGCTATGGTACCTTCGCCACGAGCCAGACAAGGTTACTGAGATTTCATTGGACCGTGTTATTGGACGATGCTTTGAGTCTGAATACATGGACATTATGTTTGAGAATGTCGTCCTTGATCTCGATCTGGTGGGTATAAGGGATGCCCGTCTCTTTGGCCGTAAGGCAGATGAACGTATCGCTCCTGGCAAGGAATGGTTTTGCGGTGATAACCGCCTAGAACAACTTGGACTTGAGTCTATCAACGGAATCGAACACAGCAGATGCGATGACTCAAGAGATCCGCGAATGTATAGAGCAATCATGAACATTATCAATGATGAGGCTGTCGACGCGGATCACCGAGATTCTAAAATCGTTCGCCAACTCGGACGTGCGCATGAGGGACTGATCGGAAGTAGATCCGGCTACACAACATTTGATAATGCTGGAAAACATAGCTCAATGGTTGCGACGGCACTTGGCGGCGAGGCAGCGACTCCCCATATCAACACTGAACTGGTTGAGATTGATGAAACCGAAGAGGGAGACGCAGGCAGTTCAAGAGAAGTTGCGCCGTCTACGTATAGCGGGGATGAGCTTGTTGTAGTGCCAGTGCATAAGCGACGGCGTCAACATTGAGCTATCTACTCTGATGTTCCAATTGCCGGATACCGGATACCTGTCTTGGATGACTTGGGTTCTTTTAGGTCGACTGGTGGTTTCCTTCTTTCTTCCCTCTCCGTTCTTCCTTTTCTTTATTCATATGATACCCTTTCCTGGTTGCCATCACATTCGGTTTTATGATACCCCTTTCTAGTTCAAGTTGCATTCAGATTCATGATACCCCTTTTCTGTTTCCCCTTGCATTCTGTAGCATTAAGCGGATGTGTATAGATTAGATTTTCTTTCAATATCCCACTCGAGCATCAATAGCATATGGCCCTAAATAACGAGCGCTACTTCAAAAAATACTACTACGGTGAGGATGAATTAAATTATACCCGTGAGTGTTGATATGCAGTTATTATATTCTTGGCTCATGTATGTGGAAGGTTGCCGAAATAGCATGAATTTATACAAATGATAAGCCATAAAATATCCTCAATGGTTCCTCTCCACGACCTCGCGGGCGAAGTCTGCGAAAGTCTTTCCAGCCGTTACTTCTTCAGACAAGTTTGGCTGGGTGAACACGGCTAAAGTATTCCTTGCAATTTTACCTCCTGTTTTAGCGCCTTTAACAAAGTGCGGTACAGCCTTGAATTTTCCCTGAGTAATAAGCTCAAGAGCTTCACCGGTTTGGAATGCAATACAATCCTTTGGTATATTGACCTTGACTACCTCACCAGTCCTAGATCGTATGTATAAACCAGCCTTTGGATCGGGGGATGTTGGAAGTTCAGGCAAGGGGGTCAAGTCAGCGGATTGTTTGGGTTCATTCTCAGCTTCGTCAACGAACATGGCGGATGTCAGGCCAGTAAGGCAGCCATGGTCAAGATGAGTTGCACACCAATCGTCGTCGCCCTTCTCTTTACCACTAGCGTCTGTCTCCGGAGCAGGGAAGTAGTGCAATAGCCGGGCCTTGGTCGTTAAACTAGTCTTCACAACGTGTTCCAAATATCCCTTTTTGTAGCCTTCAATGTTGGCTAGGGCGTATCGATCACAGGCCCTTGCCACAAGAGCCGCCGTGTCAATAATCAACGTGCATAGTTCAGTCAAGCTTGGGCGAAAGTTAGGCAGTTTTGCAGCAGGGGGCCAGATATTAGCTGCGGTGTACTGGGGAAAGTCTGGGAATTCGCTTGCGGGGGCATTTTGTAGGTCAGGGTTTTGGTAAAAGGCACAATTGATATAGTACGATCCCTTCAGGGTATCATAATGACCAGAGCGAAGTGTCTCTTTTCCGCAAGACCAGCCGACAAGATACTTGGACTCAGCGGAAGTGAGGGACTCTGAGATATTACTTATTATTATAATGCCATTTTATGCCTCAGAAGGTGAATTACACTGGCGTACCTAACTCCTCTGGTGACAGTGATGCAACATATGATGCATTGGAAAGTGCCTGGGCTCTAAGGTCCTTGAACTTGGCAGGTAGGTCCTTTACAACGATAATCCCCAATGATGCCGGTCCAAAGGCTTCTGAGAGGGTCTCGAACGAAACGGTGCCTGTACTGCTGTTAGAAGATACATTTGTGCATTGGGGAGGTGTATGCTAGATAGGGGGTAGCATGTAGAATCACTCGCTTACCTGCTCGGAGCTCCTCCAGGGACACAGTAACAGGGTTTGCAAGAGTAACTTCAGCCATGTTTGTCTGAGAGGTATATTCGAAAATAGTTGGTTTATGTGGTGGTGGAAGAGCAGTGTAGAGCACGGCTATTCGGTATATATAACGTCTTGCTCCTGATCTCCAATTCTATTGTGGTTCTCCTCAGTTACATCTTCACCCACTCGGAGAGCTCCGATAGTCATCCAACTTAGCTTCGGCATTTGTCCTGCGGCTAAATTTTGCATCGAGGTCGCCTATTATTAGCCGGGTGTAAACGCTGTAGATCTAGATAACCCCCTCATCATGAAACGGTAGTTAGGCTGTCACTGTCACTGTCACTGCTACTACTAACTGTCACTCTCTCCTCTCCTCACTTTGCTTTCATCCTCGACTTCCGTTCACTCATTTTTGACTTTCACAGTGAAGAAGGGAAGTGACTAAGCAGAAACTCTAATTTCACGTGATATCGAATTCGCAACGTCGTCGTCGAGATGCGAGATGGAAACGACGACGACGAAAGGGAAAAAGGGCAAAGAAGATGCAATCAGCCGTCAAGCAAACGACTTGACTCGGAGACTTGCATTTTGAACACGTATTGCTGATCAAATTGCGAGAACTTTTGCATGGAAGAGGAGGATAACTGGTTCTTGGAAAACGTCCTTAAGGGAGAGAGGGGTAGCCCGAGGCACTGTTCAAGTGACTGATATCGGAAGCTTGACAGTTGCTGTAGTTATTCCCTGATATACCTTGTTGCTGTCTGCTCAGCGTTTGATGATGCCTAATGAAGTGACTCTAGTAGTACTTCACTAAGGAGATTCAAATTTGCAGACTAAAGAGGCAGGCCCCTTTCCGGTTACGTTACCAACTTGACTTTGGTAGCATTGAGATATCCACGCCTCTTTCTACTCTGTACACTTTTGTATTTGCTAAAGCTTGACACGTGCAGAATACACCAGAGGCCAAGGATAAGAAGTGTTCAATATGGACTCGGTGAAATCTTCTGATGGACTTGGTGGTGACCACGCGTCGGCGCCTCTATCTAAATTCCAGCAGCTCGTGCAGCAGAGGACCGAGCAGGTATTGGCTGAAAGAAGGGCTCAAGAAGCCCACCGCGCAGAAATGGAGCGCGCTCGACTCAATTATAAACCTCAACAATCCCAACGTTTCCAGCAGATGCTAAAGGATAGGATTCAAAAAGCATTGGCTGAGCGAAGAGTTCAGCCATCCTTTCGATTACCCATTTCTACCGAGTCTGACTATAGAGGGGATAGTGAGAGGGTTGCCAGCTCTAGTCCGCTTAGCCTTGAAAATGGCACGCTAGAGGAAAAAAGTTCTACTATCAACGCGGTGGAGGGACACAGTATTAGCCCTGAAATTGTTGCAACCTCAGTCACGGAAGCTATTTTGCCGACTAGAGGACACAAAGAACCGGAAGAAAGCAACCAAGGCCCACAAAGCCCACAAACTCAACAGGACAAACCATCAACAATTCTTTTGCAGCAGCAAACTTCTAACCAACAACGAGCTCGAGTCCCTCACATCCAACCACGGTCCGCGACAGATCCAAGAGAACTCGAACAATTACCGTCGCCTCACCAGAAAACTCTAGGAACAAAAAAGAGAATGGATTCTCTAACTACGGTAGCTATCTATCAGCACTCTAACGGAGACTCCAATGGGGCAATAATGCAACTTGCAGTTCCGGAAACTCAAGAGGCCCAATGCACCAAAGCGACGCCAGAAGCTCAGGAGACTTTGGAGGCTCCTACGAAGAGAATAAAAAAATCTACTTCACCAAAAAACAACCCTGCTTGTACCTGTTCGATCTCTACGAAATGTGAGGTTGCGGCTGCCAACGGGGTTAAGGACTGTCGTGCAATTGCACGGGGTGTAATTCAAAAGAGCATCTCCAGATCGAAATCTGCGTAAGTAAAAGTCGCTCTCATACTAATTGCCATGACTTAATACTGACAGCTATCTAATAACAGGGGCACGCGTCATGAGTATATTTCGAAAAGAAAGAGAACGGAGATTAGCCGGTCGAACTCAGAGATACTTGAAATTCTATCACTGATTAAGAAGATTGAAGCAAGAACCGATCTCGAGAGGACCATTCCCCGTCTAAGAGACCGAATCCACTTCCTTGAGCTCTACGAGATACCCGAATCATCTATCGAGTCCATGAAAGCTAAATTTCTCGATCCAAATAATGGGCTACCTGCCATCATCAGAAACCATAACTCAATTCCATGGGACATCAGGCTCGATTGCTCGGCAATTCTAAAGCGAATGGAGGAAGGAAACTTCCACGTCGACCTTTCACGTGGCATTCTAACAAAGCGAACTTTTAGAGAAAACGGAAAAAGCTCAGTCTCTCGAGTTCTTGACAAAAATTACCCTTTTAAACAGTCTGCCTTTGTTGTCGGAGATAGACACCTACGCAATGGCCAATGGTTTCCTTGGCAAATTTGTGCTTTACGCGATGGCGCACATGGAGAGATTGAGGGCGGAATTTCTGGAAATAAAGTAACTGGCGCTGTCTCCATTGTTCTCAGTTCCTCTGGTGGAGGTGGAAACCAGATGTATGCGGATGTTGACCAGGGAGATACCGTATGGTACTGTGGAACGAGAGGCAAGAATGGAGAAGTCTCTGCAAACACAGCACTGCTTCTCCAGGCTGCTGGTAGGAAGAGTGACATCCGTGTTCTTCGAAGCTCCAAGCTTCCCAAGGTGAACCCCTACAGACCCTCTGAAGGAATGAGGTATGATGGTCTGTACAAAATCTGCAGCTACGAGATTCTCGATCAAGAGACTGCACTACATCGGTTCAAGCTTGAGCGTGTTGAAGGTCAAACCCCCATTCGATACAAGGGGCCTGAAGTTCGTCCCACTGCCCGTGAAGTCGAAGAGCTGCGCAAAGCTTACAGACACAATGCTGAATCCAAGCCAGCGAAGGAACCCAAGATGAAGCAGCCTGCTGCTGCACCACCAGTGGTTGAACAGAAAGCATAATTCATCGACAAGTTCTTTTTTTTTTTTTTTTTTTTTTTCTATTTTTTTGTTCTCTTGAGATTTTCCGTTTTTGCATTGACTGGATGGGTGGTTTAGTAGTTTCTTTCATGCGTTTTTGACATTTTCTTCTACTGACTGTGTTGTATTAAAATTAATTGCTAGCATCGATAATAATAATAATAATAATAGTAATAAAACTCCAATGCGTTTATTTGTTTTCCGGTTTGCTTACATTGACTTGCACTTGATTATTACAAGCAACTGTAGCATTTAATGGGGAAAGTAGACAAATTCCCCAAAGTTCAAGAAAGCAAACCCCTAAACTCATATGATTCCCCGAGAGAAACTCCATAGCGCCTGTAAACTCCTAAATCCCGTGTGCCCATAGCTAAAGATGGCGAGGACTAATAAACGATAACAGTAAAGAGAAACAAGAAGAGGGTATGAAGATAACTACACCGGGATAATGCGAGGCCGAAAAGAGATGGTTACAAGAGAAGCTTTCTAGCATCTTTAGCATGGCTTTCAGTTGGACAGTAGGGGCATTTAAATTTGTTGCCTTTACTAATTCTCATGAGTGATTGATGGGCAATGACATGTCCGCATGGCATTAGCATCGGGGGGTTTGCGTCTGTTGTCTGTTCCTTGGATACAGGACACACAAAGATAGAATGATACTGGTATGAGTGTGGAAGAGGGATTTCAACCTATAGGACTGGTTAAGACATGTACTTTGTATGAAAACGGAAACGGGAAAGAAAGCAAGCTGTCACTTACCGGTAGTTCGTTCTGGCTGGTCCATTCGGTTCGCTTTTCTTTCATGATTGTCTGGAGTTTTAGAAGGGTCGGTAAAGCGATTGCTCCTGCTGTGGCAGCGACGTATAAAGGTGATTCAGCTGAGAGGTTTAGTAAAGCGCAGAATTCGCCTTTAAAGGAGGTTGCAACCCTATCCCAGGAATCGGGATTGTTAAATATGGTGTTATAGGGAGAGTCTCCAAGGTTAGGCGCAAAAGCCATGGCACCCAAAAGTTGTTGAATTTCCGGAAGATAACGTCCCTGAAAGCCAGAGAACTCGCGTCTGGCGTATTCCAACGCCTTTAGCCTTCCATCTTGTACGGAAATGCCGGCTTCACCTCCTCCATGAAAGAGCCATACAAACTGAAGTTGGCAAAGTTCGAATTCAAGGTTACTCCCTCGAACATATAGGGCTTCGCGATGGTTCCGAGCCCATTCAATAGCGGGAAGAAGGTTTCGATTTTCTGTGAGTTCATGGAGCAACTCGTGCATGAGGAGGAACTGGCTTCGGATTTCACCAGACCGTAGACCTTCGATGTCTGGAATAGATTCGGACGCCTGTTGTTCGGCTTGTCCCATGGCTGTATCTAACTCTGATTCTGCATGTGTTCTCGATACTTCAGCTAGAAACGTGTCTGCCGTGGAAAATGCCCCCTCTCGTAGAAGGTGCATGGCCACCGCCCGGTTGACCAAAGCCGGCTGCGATAGGGAGTCATATTCGGTAGTGGGCAAAGGCTTGTCCTTGAATAGCTTTAGAATAAGACAATTAGCATTCCTCTGCATAATTCTAAATACGTAGACAGCCTAATCGAGTATTCCCAACCTTGTCCAGTGCTTTTGTATATTTATTCAATCCGCTATACCCTTCCTTTAGGTCGTTATTTGTGGCTTCAAACGAGGCTTTGATCGGATTTTGAAGCTTTGCAAGAGTGATAGAGGCGGAATTCGGATCTATAGATAACGGAATCAAGCGTCAGACAACTGTACAATAGCTAGGTACACCCAGCGGGGTAAGACATGGGGGTAAAGGAAGAACCAACCGTTCTCTATGGTCCTTCGAGCTTCCAGCAGCAAGTCAATAGTTGCCTGAACATCGTTGATGCACTTGGAGGCCTGGGCCTTCTTCCAGAGGCGCTGATGTTCTTTCTGGACCTGGTCCATCGTGAGTGTGGTCGTCCTCTGGCTAACTGCGGAGAAAGGTACTCATGTTCGCCTGGGGACCTCGAGACTCAAAGCACATATAATCCCAACTCGGCCAGATTGCTGAACTGCACTGCAAGATACCGTCAAAGGCTTATGGATAACAGCAAATGTCTGGAGGAAGCGTTGAGAGCAAAGAAGAGGGAGAAAGCAGCTGGAAATGTTTGGCAGCAGGTCGTTTCTTTTCGACGGGAAAGCCAGGCCTGCAGGGCCCGAAGCATGTCACATGGTCAACACTAACTAAAGGCAACTATTTATTCAAACTAAGGCAACCTTCAGCTATTGACTTTATGCACACCGAGTTATGCAGCCGTCTTGAATATCGAAGACCGCCAGCTCCGTCCAGGGAATGAGATTAGCCGGCTGATCCTATGGGTTGTCTCTTAGATACCGGCCATCTCCCTGCATATTCGCCGTCTTCGCCCTTTTTTTCTTCGCCTTAGAAAATGCTCCTACAAGTGACATCATCGGCCTTGCCTTAGCTTCTTCCCACCAGCATCTCAAGGACAACAAACAAACGCAGGAGAAATAGCGGCAGCTTGGAGGATGGCCTGCTATCGTCGCTGCTGCTTCGACTTGTCTGCCAACTCGTTCGTCTCAGCAAAGGGCCGACTGAAACAGCGACTGTACGTTGATCAGGGGGGGAAATAAAATAGAACATAAAAACACACCCTGGCTGCAGACCGGGAGTACGTCACCGAGAGGCGCATTTGTGCAGTTGTTTTCGGGCCGTCTGACAGGTAATACTTAAAAGATAAAAGGGGGAAATCCAAAGGGCAATATGAGCATGGATCCTGCTGGAACGACCAGCATCGCTTTAGTTGATGAGCGGTTGGAGCAATATGCTGCCCGTCAAGCCGCCGAAGCGCAGCAGTCCGAGCCTGGGACACCAACACAGCAGCCGACGTCTAGCAAGAGTGCCCAGCGTGTTTCATCGAAAGCATCTTTCCAGCGTTTGGTCCTTACAGACCCTGTTGCTTTCAAATATCTAGAGGAAGATCCTTGTGCAGTCACTATCAGCAGAAGATTGAGCATATCTGGATACCAAGTTTACATTGTTGAGCAGTGGGTTTGCTCGAGGGCACACCCCACATTTGTTATCAACACATACACCGGTGACAAATCCCACACGGTCATTGCCGGTGTGCTCAGTGTGCCGACGGATGAAAAGAAATGGAGTGAGCGGATGAGAGTTTACTTCAATGCAATGGACCAGTTCCATACCCGGAAGCAGGAGTCTAGCTTTGGAACTGTGATGGTCACGAATCTAAGCACATTTCCATCAATGCTTACTACAATTCCTGTTCAAGATGGAGATGTCGGACTTCACCTGGATGATTTCATTGTTAATGAGAACCTGAAGCGTCTAGGATGCTCTGGCAGAGCTGGTCTTACTGTCAAACCACCCGCGGCAGATACGCAAGCCAAGTTCCACCAGCTTTATCAAACGTGCGACAAAATTGAACTAAATACCTCTGTCAAGGAGCTGATACGTTTTTGTCAGCTGGCACTCGTAATGTTTCTTAAACTAGCACCTGAATACGCGGATGGGCTTCTCTGCAATCACACAGAACGAGCCATCCACGAGTGGTGGGCCGAAACTGGTTCTTTCCTTTATGGTATCGAACCCCTTGATGGAATCCTTGGCCCTACCACAGTAGCCGCGATTCTTGGAACTTTTATGGGTGCAAGAAACCGCTTACATGCATACGGAGCACCGGTATCCAAGGACCCATTTGATATCCATGGTTTTGAAAAAGGTATATACAGCTTTCAAAAAGCCCAGAGCCTCGAGAGGACACGGAGACTTGATAGTGTCACCTTGGAAAAACTGCATCGGGTTACGGCCAAAGCGGCTAGTGGGGAGGTGGGAGGTTTGCAGCGGGCGGTAAAGTCAACAGTAGCGGAACTTAGCGGTAAAGGAGGAGAAATGGTCATGGAGATGGTGGGAGGAGGCAAGGACAAAGCTGGCATTTCAGAGATTGAAACATACGAGATCGAACGGTTCATACAACTCATTACTGGAGACCATGCGAGATGGTTATGGCGTGGAAAGCCTAAGCCCCCATACGAAGCACGATACGACATTGGAGATGAAAGAATCTTTACACCAGACAGAGGCGGCGGTTATATCTGGACCCGAAGAAAAAAAGACGATTACCCTTCAAATCGCCCCAGTATTGAAGGAGATCAGAGGAAGCAAACAGACTCTCTAACTGCTGTTGATGACAAGGATCAGCTAAGGGTTACGCTCAAGCGTTCAGTTACCAACAAGGTGTCTGATGCTCGTGCTGGTCTCGGTAGGTTCAGGGATGCCGTTGGACTACCAACTTTACGCCCACACCACCACAAACATTCCAAGGAAAGCGTGGATTTAGACGCAAACCTATCCCCACAGCTCTTCATGGGGGAGACTCCGACAAGCACGAATTCTAAAGATGGAGGAGGGCCTGAGGGTTCTGCTCAGATGGATAGTGTGGCGTTATCAGAAGCTTGCCGACTTGAGCCCATAATAGACCAAAAAGGTTACAGCCCTTTGACTCCTCCAGAGCTTGGTCGTGCAAGGACATATGAATCCCTTCTTGGCAAAGAAATATCTCCTCCTGACAAAGCCCTCGACCTCAGGGAGGCCGAAGGGGTACTAGGAGGATCCGAAGTAACCGAACGAAAGCAAGACGGTGAATACCATGGCCTGATCCCTGTTACTAGGATCCGTCAACGCGCTCAAAGTGTGGGTTTACCAGAGCTGGATCGTCTGGTCTCGAAAGATAAAGCCTATCCACGCCGTTTATCCTCTAGCTACGCTGAAGAATACCTACTCCGCTGGGATGAGATAGGAGATATCTACTCCGAGGCAATTGACCCAACAGTGGGTCTTGCTGATGCTATCTTATATGAAGACATGATATTTTCTGATAATCAGGAGATTACCAAAAGGATTCGTGAAGTGGGAAGTACCGAAGTAAATTGGGTTGATGAAAAAGTGACGGTGGCGGAGAAGATTGAAAAAGCCGTCAAAGCCCGGGCATTAGAAACTCAAGCAGAGTATCAAAGAAAGCTGGTGGAGTTGAGGGAAATGTATGGAGCTTCCCGCGGGGCAATGGCCGAAGAAGAAGACGCATACATGCAAGTAGCGAAGAATGTTGAGATGATGAGTGAAAAGCTTGACTATGATGTTGATACCCTTCGTTCAAGAATTGAAGATGCAGAGGCTGTCTTGCGTGATTATGAACATGTCATCTCTAATCTTGAAAAAAGGACTGCATCCGTCCTAGATGGTCAAGAAGCTGAGAAGATATCTTGGATGCAATGGGTGCATGAGCTCTGGAACCGCCAACGAAACGGATTCCAAACCCAGACACTCAAAGACTATAACAAGGACAATTCTGCGAACTTCACTGGCGACAATGCAAGGTAACAGACAGCACGTATTCCCTTGGACGACTTTGTAAATACCTATAAAAATTTGCATATTATCATCTATAGATTAAATTTTAATGTTAACGTGGATTGAGCTCGTTATAGAGCCGATGAACCCAAAGAGAACCATATAACTGCATGCGTCCATGTCGTTAAAATATATTATAGCAAAGTATCACCACACACACATAGTATACATGGTCCCATCTGGTAACTGGGACTCCCCAAAAATGCTGTACCCTCCGCATCGTAGAAAAGAACCGTATTCATGACTAAACCAATCCAATGTTGCGCCATTCGTAGAGGAGAGCCTTGAAATATGATGAATGATGCAAGGAAGACCGAAGAGAGCTTATTCGCTGTTGAACACCTAGAGACCACCACCCATTCCAGCTGCCTGTTGCTGTTGCTGCTGCTGCATCTTCTCGGAGATTTTGATGTTCACTTCGAAGTATTTGCCGACGCATCGATCGAGACAGACGGATTCACCCTTGTTTAGGTCTCCTTCACGGTAGTCGGTTGGAATGCACTTCTTGATACAGCCGTTGGTAAGACTATATAGACAAATTAGTACTTTTTCAAGAAATTGGTAATGTAGGCAACGGGGACAAGCAAATGTCATTAACCCGTAGCAAAGGTAATAAGAATATATACATACCGGGTCATCATGTCTGTGACCATCTCGACCTCCAACTCGGCCTGTCTTATCTTCTCTTCGGAAGAGATCTGGGGACGACCGCCGAACAAGTAAGACATTTTCGCAGGGAGTTAATGGCGGTAGATAACGGTAGGAAGAGAAATGGCCCGAATCCGAGATGAAGCTGAAGAAGTGCTAACTGATGCTTTAATTGACGGTTGAGATGCCTTGATTGTTTTCTTTCTGCGAAGTTCAAAACTTTTTTTTGGCTTCGACGTCAGAAAGCCGCAAGGACGCTAAACCGGATTCAGCTGCCAGCCGCAGCTCTGCTGGAAGCTCGGGATAGAAAAAAAAGACATACAAATTCGATCTCACGTCCAAACCCACTGTCGACGTTCGTTTGATTTCTTGTATATACTTCGTTGGAATGCAGACCTGATGAGCTGATGCTATCCATCTGCTCTAACCCTCTATCCCAGGTATGCCTGGATAGGTTTCTTGCAAGGTACGTACCACAGTTATTTACTTATTCGCTTGCGGGAGAGAGGATGTAGCTGATATAAAGACCTAGGGGTGTTCGCCTGTCCTCGCTGCAATTGGGGAAGCAAGCGGCATGGAAACCAATCCGCACATTTACGAGCCATAGACAACTGCTCGAACAACAGGCCGCAAGCCCAACTCAGCAAACTCCGCAAGCTAGAGTCAGCGATATCCAGAAGACCTGGTCGAGCCCATATCCCAGGATAGGCCGCAGCTCATTGTCACTCACATGTGCGGAATTCCGGTCTAAATATGACGTTATACAGCCGGATGAGACGGTAGAAGAGGATACCGTGGTATTACATGGTATGATAATAAGTGCAAACGGGTCTGATAGTGATATTTCGTGCTAACACACACCTGTAGGGAGGATACGCTCTCAAAGAACTGCCGGAAAGAAGTTGGTATTCTTCGACCTTGTTCATAATGGACACAAGGTGCAGGTGCTCTGCAACCAGCGCGTGGTAGGAGAAGCTGGAATATCCCCGGAGAAGTTTAAGGAGTTCTACCATCTACTCCGCCGTGGTGACTCTTTCTGTAAGCACGCCATTGCGGTCCAACTTCTGCGTTTATTACAAGCAGCCCTCAAACTAACATGGGATTGACTCATAGCTGTGACCGGCAAACCACATCGAACTGGCCGAGGAGAATTAACTGTCAAGACGACGGAGCTCCCAAAGCTCATATCGCCGTGTCTGCATGATGTGCCCGTCCACCAAAAGGAGCTTGAGATATCTCCATATGAGCGCCATGTTGAACTGCTTTCCAGTCCTAGTGCCGCCAACATTCTTCGAGCTCGATCGCTGATAACACATTCCATGAGAAACTTCTTCGCCAACAGGGAATTCATGGAAGTTAACACCCCAATCCTTGCGTCAAAGTCAGGCGGTGCCATTGCCCAGCCCTTTGTCACGAGTGCTACCGAATTCCCTGATCGACCATTGTCACTTAGGATAGCTCCCGAGCTGTGGCTTAAACGACTAGTAGTTGGAGGGTTCGACAGGGTGTTTGAAATCGGGCCTTCATTCCGCAACGAGGGTGAGTGGTGGCCTGGTATATGGCGGCAGATAAATCGTTGGGAGAAGTGAGTCACAGCTGACAGCATGTCCATGTAGGCCTTGACAAAACGCATAACCCGGAGTTTACCACGTGTGAATTCTACCAAGCCTTTGCAGATCTTGAATCCCTGATCGAGACCACAGAGTCACTGCTCTCAACCCTAGCCTTGGAGGTCCAACAACTGAACAAGAAATTGAACAACTCACTAAGCCCGACAACAGTGAGCTTTACAGGGCCGTATCGACGGGTTGATTTTATCCCTGCCATCGAGGAGGCGATTGGTAGGAAATTACCCGACCTGCAGTCCGATAATGCTCTATCACAAGTCAAGGAGATATTTGCAAACCTCTCGCTCCCTCTACCGGCCCACGAGACTCTTCCCCGGCTTCTCGACAAACTCTGTTCAACTTATGTCGAATCGCAGCTGATCGAGCCTACTTTCATCATGAACCACCCTGAATGCATGTCCCCGCTATCTAAATCATACCGCCATCCAGAAAGTGGACAGATTGTGTCAGCACGAGCCGAGCTGTTTGTCGAGGGTAAGGAGATAATGAACATGTATGAGGAGGAAAACTCTCCCTTTGAGCAGCGACGGAAGTTCCAGCAGCAGTTATCCTTCCGAGACCCTGAGAATGCAGGCGAGCTTGACGAGGGATACCTCCAGACACTTGAGTGGGGGTTACCACCTACTGGAGGTTGGGGGTGTGGCATCGACCGTCTTTGTATGCTGTTCACAGGTGCCCGACGGATCAGTGATGTGCTGAGCTTTGGCAACCTCCGGAGTGTGACAGCCACGTCCGAGCCTGGGCCTTCCTCGAGGCAGTGACGGATGCAAGCTGCCTTTTCCCCGTTTACCGGGACTCGTCTGAAATACCTTGACCAGACATGTATTTATATAATTTTGATACAGACTCTTGATGTTGACAGGCCGAATGTTAGCTATCACAACGGCTACCCGCATCCCTGTACATTGCCACTCACTTCCACATGCAGTCAATAACCCCCGTCAAGTATAGGCCCATCAGCCAGGAACGGTGAAGAATGAAACACCTTGGAATACGAGTAACCATCCGCCTAGTAGTCGTATACAAGTGGTTCTCTTGAGGATGGACAAGTGATCTCCACACACACTGCTGCAGCCTCTTCCAACTATCCATGCCTCCGGAACCATCCCACCTCTCGCCATCCATGTAACGAAATTGAGTTCCGACCACTTCGTACATGATAGTCTGACCTGTCGCTCCGCTTGATGTGTTGGATATGGCGTAAGTAAAAGCTGTCGGCCTAGTTTGCTCACCATGTAACACCAGGAGGCCGCCTGTGATGTGTTATAGTTATGTAATACACTATATGTGCAAGGATCATCCCGCCCGTTCCCCTTCCTGGGCAAAGTGGATCCACCCTCCACCTCTTACTGGCTGCAAAAAGTGGACCAATTTAAGTCATGTGACTTCGTGTGAGTCACGCGTGGCTGCAACGCGTCTTTGACCTCATTCGTCGCGTCGTCGGAGCTATGCAGAAGTTGACTTCCTTGCAAAGAGTAATAAGTAGGGAATATAAAAAGACGTCGCAGGCAAAAAAGGGGGGCCAAAAGCAAGGAAAGGAAAAGGATGCAGATTAGACGCAGTTTGGATACGCCTAGCTGGCCCTGTAACGGCTGGTTTCCTTGTCGTTCGGCCGGTGGAGGTATCAAAGACGAAAAACCTGCTGCACATCCTGGCATAGACTATCCTTTTTTCCCATTGAGGCATGGAGACGTCGCAGCTATATAAGTGGCCCTCGCCCACTCTGATCTCAGTCTGCTTTTCTCTCTTCAACTGTCGGGCACTCGAAGGGTTTCTGGATGTTGCTAACCAGAATTTAGGCAGCAAGGCAGCCAAGTTTGCCACTCGGGGACAGAGAGTAAACAGAGGATATCTACCGGGGTATTGAGTACTGCTTTCGATATCAGACGGAACTTCATCTGTAAACCGACAAAGGAATCATGTTTGTCAAACGGTCTCACAGCAATGCCGAGAGCTTCTCAAAGTATCGAGCTGGCAAGTCCTCGAGTCGGTCGAAGAGATCATTCAAAGATTCCTCTCTTAGTACCTCGAGGAGGTCTGAGTCTGCCCGCCATTCAGACTCCTCTCCGATTACCGAGTAAGTGACCAACGGTACATTTTGTCTCTTTATATATTAGGTCCAAAGACTCATTCGTTCTTTCAACTACTAGTAACCTCAATTCCGCCATCATCACCATTTGTGTCGGGCCTGACCAGCGTCTCTTTGCTGCCCATGAGGATGTGCTCTGTGTATCCCCCTACTTCTCTGCCTGTTGTCGTGGCCAGTTCTATGAATCCCATACCAAACGCATAAACTTGCCAAATGAGCAACCAGAGATACTTTCATCCATCCTCGAGTATCTTTACAAGGGGGATTATTACCCTCGCTTGATGCATAACAAGCGTCGGGATACTTGGCTGCTGGAGGACACTGATACCACAGGCTCAAGGCCTTCAGCTGAGTCTACCATTGTCAACCAGGCCGATGGCACCTTGATACTAAAGGACACTGCTATATAGTCAGTTATATTTCCCTTCGACTGTCTATATATGTTTTTGGTCTTCCTTTTGTTACTAACTTAATGTATCTAGCTGTGCTGCTGAACGATACGGGCTAGACGAACTGAAGAGGCTGGCTCTTCGAAAGCAAGGCCTCCAGACAGCTATACAATGCAGCACCATCCTATCCAGTGCTCGGTACGCCTATGCAAATACCCCTGACAGTGACTCGAAGCTCAGAGCCCATTATCTTGCGTTGATTATCCGCTCGCGGTCAACATTCAAGCGTAGCGGTACCATGCAACTGGAGATGGAAGAGGGAGGGAAACTATTCTTTGACCTCTTTGTTGCCATGTGTAATCATATGGTATGTCTATAGCCTTTGCCGTTCCGTCTTGAATAGTGCTAACATCCATTTCTAGGATGACCTTACAAATGCCTCGAAGTCACCCTTCTCTCGTTAGCTCCTGAGCCCTCCCCCCCCCCCCCCCCCCCCTCCCCCATTTCGAGGCCTCCACTCATTACTCACTATTATGCATCGACCGGCTCACTCATACTAACTGTACGATACCATCTCTTGATCAGTTGCCATCTAAGATGACAATATCTTTTCCCCGTTTTCTCTACCAATACCCAGAATTATACTACTGAAGCCCAAGTGAGCTTCTTCATACAATTTAATATGTACAATATTCATTTCCTGTCGCTCTCTTTTTCTCCATTTCTTCGTGATGCGTTTGTTACCCATTCTATCTCTATAAAATTGGACCGACCAGGTATGTCGATGACTGTATTGCTTACTCCATTCTTTTCCACCATCTCCTATGTTTACCTTATACCAGGCTTTGGCGCATTAGTGTTTCTATATTATCCATGTTCCTTTATAACGTTTCCTGTTTCTCAGGCTCGGGTTTAGGGTCTTTCTTGTCGTGGTGCTTTCTTGGTTATCTCATCAAATTGTCAAGTGTCTAGGTCTTGCTTGATTTCGATTATCATGCGCAAACAGTTGTCCATTCCTCTTATATGATCGGGGATTATCTCGACTGGATTGGACAGGTTGTATGTTCTTTCTCAGCTTTTTAATGCAATTCTCTCTTAACTCTTAAACACATTTCACAGGTTCTGTTGTCACTACGGGTTTTCGAGTTAGAGTATCTGTATAGGATAATAAGGGCCGTAGATATGTGGAATAAATTTATTTCTGCTGATTTTTATAAGAATATCTATTGTCATTAATTATATTAACGGGCAGCTAAGTAAGTTATACGCCAGTGCCAGGGAATGCTGTGCCACCCTTACTTAACACCACTATTCCTCGCTCACGGGCGATGTATCCCTTCATAAGGTTCTACAACAAGCGTTAGCAAATTCCAGATCCGTAAATATCAAAGTCTCAAGGCTTGTACATACCTTGTAAATCATATTTGAGAGGTAACACTCAACTTCATCCAAGTCCACCTTGGATTTCTGCTGCGTGTTTCCTGTGCCTAGTCTCATTGCAGCTGCGAACTCTTTAACTGGCACTCTCGTCCGTCTGATCGGTGGCTGACCGTTTACTGGCGGATCATACCCACCGGCAATGAATACTTTTCTAAATAAGTTTCTAATAGCGAGATCCCGACCTCGTTCAATGGGGAGGTAGATCCGTCGCTTGACAAATTCGTTTTCACTGCCGGCCATAGCTGCATCGACGCCAGCCAGGTCTCCTTTACGGATGCATTTGCTGAGTGGGCCAAACAGTCTTTCTATACGGGGGTATCTGGACAGCAGACGGGCTGATGGGAGGGTATTTGTATTAACAATATGGCAGGGTATAAGGTATGTCAGGATGAGTCTACGCCTGGTCAGTGACGAGGATATCTTAAAATTGAGCAAAGTTTTATTTATACGTACTCTCTGTTTCGATGTGAATCCGCGCGGCAAAGTTCCCAGGCAGCTGTTAGGTGTTCCTCGGCCTATTGCTCGTTAGCAGGGATATAAGTGTGAATGATAGCCTGGAATGATGGCACTTTACCTCTACATAACCTTCTTCTAGGAAGCAGATGACACCGAGATAGTACTTGAAGGTGACGATGTGAGACTTAGGAAAGGCTTCCATTGGCGGTAGTTCGGCCTGGGATGCTTTCATTGCGGAGAGCAAGTTCCTACAAGGTGGTATGGAGCCCAGCTACAGGAAAGACAAGTAAGGTTGTTAGGTAAAGATAGAGAAAAAAAAAAGGGGGGCAGCCAATGTCAGGTTAGAGTGCATCGCCCGCATACCTTGAAGTACGTCTTAAACGCAAGATTGATGGTGTTATAAACTCCCCATTTACGAGATTCTTCGATAGGGGCCCTATTAGATACAAAGAGAAAACTCAGAATACAACCAGACGATGGAAGGACAATAAGACGAACAACATCTAATGCATACCTGTCATGGAGACACACAGTGTACATTCTGCTGATTATCCGTGAAGTCTCTTCCAGCTTTGCATTCTTGCTCACGTCTCCAACGATGTCGTCTTGGAATCCATCGTTAAAAGTAGAAGCGGGATCCTGCGCGGCCTCTGCATCGGCCTTGATAGCGAATATCCGCAGATACTTGCCAACCACGTATAAAACAGGCAGAGTCCAGGCTTCCAGAGTGGAACTTGAGTAGTTTGTATTCAGCAGGACTGCGATGTCCTTCCAGTGGCCAAAGAGAGCTGTCCAGGTTCCCCTGCCACTCAGGGCGAAGTTGGGGTCATCGAGCTTTACCAGCTCTCCGGCAGCTTTCCAGAAGGCAATGTAAATGTCGACCCAGGCATTGCCTTCCTGCTTGGGCAGTTTTGTTCCCGTCACTCGGTCCTGAAGGAGGCCGTATCTGATATCTGAGGCGACGCTGAGGCTGTTGGTGGTATTGTAGAACGCCCGCAGACGCGGTATGTCGACGGGGTTCAGCGTTGCCGCCAGCGCCTCGCCTGAGCCCGTAGACTGAGCCTTCTTGAACTCTGCAAATAGCGACGTCATCTTGTCATCTTTTCTCTTCCTTCGTCTCTCCTCACTCTGTCCTCACTCTGCCCTTGCTTCTCATCTATCTAGATCGCCGTTCGCTGTTCGCCGTCGCCGTCACCCTCCAGGTCGCCCTTGAAGTCGCTCAGTTGGAAGGTTCCGCGATGCCAAGACCAGCATCCCAAAAGCGGACTAGCGCATCGCCTCGCCCTTCTAAGCGAAACCCACAGCCCTAAAGAAGAACCACGAAAAAGCGACAATTTCTCGATCTTCAACCGCGAACTCTCGTTGAAGACCACAGCAACGACAATATCTCAAGGTAAGAGGCCTCTGTACTGTTCTGCCGCCCGTGGAATCGCTGCTAACTGTTTTTTTCCAGATGGGTAAGTCATGTTCTTCCAGCAATCGCGACTCCGAATCCCTCGACTTCATACAAAATTATCCATAGAAAGAAAAAAAATAAAAAGACCTGAATGCGCACTCTCTCACCAGCGGAATGCACACTGCAACATTGATCTGACCATGGAAATGTAGGGCGTCTCAACGAATACCAGGTGATCGGGCGCCATTTGCCCACCGAAACCCAGCCCACCCCCAAGCTGTACCGCATGAGGATTTTCGCACCCAACACTGTCGTGGCCAAGTCAAGATTCTGGTACTTCCTCGGCAAGATGCGCAAGGTCAAGAAGGCCAGCGGTGAGATCGTTGCTGTCAACGTGGTATGAACGAGCAAGAACCCAGATAAAAAAACCTCCCAGCCCAAAGACTGGCGGGAAGTTGAGAATCCAGAGGAGAGTTGTGATTGCTAAGATGGTTGCCATTGGAATAGATCCACGAGAAGCGACCACTCAAGGTCAAGAACTTCGGTATCTGGATTGTCTACGACTCTCGCTCCGGCACACACAACATGTACAAGGAGTACCGAGAGATGTCTAGAACCGATGCCGTCGAGTCCATGTACCAGGACATGGCCGCCCGCCACCGTGCCCGATTCAGATCCATCCACGTATGTTACACGGACTTTCAACGGGGAGAAGCAGAGAAAGAGAGAATACTGACTTTTCTGCAATAGATCCTCAAGGTCGTCGAGATTGACAAGACCGAGAGCATCCGCCGCCCATACATCAAACAACTGCTCAGCAAGGGCCTCAAGTTCCCTCTCCCTCACCGTGTCGCCAAGCCCACCAACAAGAAGCTCTTCTCTGCCTCGAGACCATCTACTTTTGCTTAAACGGGTTTTTTTCTTTGTTTATGAAGCGCGGATCAAAATCAGAGGGAGTTAAAGCTGTTGACGGTGGTGGAAAGGGGAAATCTTTCTTTCTTTTTCTTACAAAAGAGAGATCGGAAAAAAAGGACACGGACTGTATTATGATGATAGACCTTGGCGAGATGTCATGCCGTTGGAAGCAGATGAGAGAGAAAGAATCCCCCAAGTCCGACGGGACAACATGGCATCTGGGTCTAGATAGTTATGGTGCAGGTATCGACCGTTGTGGCCCTGGATCGATGAACGGCTGCTATGTTGTAGCTTAATGAACAACAAACTTTTACTCATGTTCACCTTGCGGTCTGTAACTTGTCGTCTGTAGAGAGATGTCATCGTCGATATCATTTGCTGCCGTGTATTTCTTTTCCAGCAGTTTAGTTACTTAGCTGTAACGGCAGGGATGGCGTCATGGGGTCAGGTTCTGCCTTTTATTATTAATGATGGATTGCTTTTAATTCCCACCTTTCAACCTCCGTCTGCCGTTCCTGACAACTACACCATCAACCAAAGACGGCATCAGCGCATCCCCATTGCCATCCAAGAACATCTCAATTGCACTTGGTGTCCATCTCTCATCACAATGTTTGCTCGATTCAGCCGAACGGCCGGCCCGTTGAGACAGGTATGCATCCCTCCTAGAGCCCCCGCTGAGAGAGAGAGAGAGAGTATAATTAAGTATATGAAAGAAAAAAAAGCTAATCAAAGGAACTGAGTAGGGTATCAGAAAGTACTCGACAGAGGCGCCCAAGTCCTCGTCGCAGGCTCCGCTGTTTGCCGGTCTTGCGGTGGCTGCTGGTGCAGGATACTACTACTGGCAGATGCAGCAGATGCCCGGCGCGGCGATTAAGAAGGACCGCAAGCCAACGTTTACCGGTGGTGATCAGGGATGGGTCGACCTGAAGCTTTCGGCGGTTGAGGAGGTCAGCCATAACGTTAAGAAGCTTCGGTTCGAGCTGCCTGACAGCGAGAGCGTCTCTGGCCTTCACATTGCTTGTACGTACATACGCAGAGAAACGAAACCCAGAGATATGTATAGTCATGCTAATGGTTTAACAGCGGCCCTGTTGACCAAGTTCAAGGGCGAAGGAGACGCTAAGGCGACCATCCGGCCGTACACGCCCGTGAGCGACGAGGACGAGCCCGGCCACCTGGACCTGCTGGTGAAGAAGTACCCCGGGGGCCCGATGTCGACGCACATCCACGAACTGAACGTGGGCGAGCCGCTCTCGTTCAAGGGGCCGATCCCCAAGTACGAGTGGGAGGCCAACAAGCACAGCCACGTCTGCATGGTGGCCGGCGGCACGGGCATCACGCCCATGTACCAGCTCATCCGCAAGATCTTCAGCAACCCCGCGGACAAGACGCAGGTGACGCTGATTTACGGCAATGTGGGCGAGGAGGACATCCTGCTGCGCCGGGAGCTGGAGCACCTGGAGAACATGCACCCGCGACAGCTCAAGGTGCTCTACCTGCTGGACAAGCCGGGCGAGGGCTGGACGGGCGGCAAGGGCTACGTGACGAAGGAGCTGGTGAAGATGGCCTTCCCGGAGCCCAAGACGGAAGGGATCAAGCTGTTTGTGTGCGGGCCGCCGGGCCTGTACAAGGCGGTCAGCGGCAACAAGGTGAGCCCCAAGGACCAGGGCGAGCTGACTGGTATCCTGAAGGAGCTGGGCTACACCGAGGAGCAGGTGTATAAGTTTTAAGACTTGGAAAGACCGAGCAGGCCTATCGGCTACTGTATGATTCCTGGTAGACTGCAGTGTATGTATAGATAGAAACTGAATAGACTATCACTTTGTATCTATTTGTGGTGGATGTACTATGTATATCTGTCTATCGCTGCTTATATTAATTAGGGTGTGAGTTCAGGCCTGCTGTCCCCTTCGGGCTTGCCACCCCCCTAAGGGGCACGCCTGTCGCCTGATCTCTAGTTAAAGCCTGCCCCCCGAGGCGTCCCCAGCCTCAGTTAAAGCCAGCTACAAGCTAGTTAAAGCCAGTTACAGCCACTGCAGCCCGGTTAAAGGCCACGCAGCCCCCCTGTTAGGCTAGGCCAGGCTAGGCTAGGCTTCCCCCCAAAGCAGCGACCGGCAGGCCCTGCACGCCTAGAAGTTACACCTGCGGGCGCCTGACTCCAGCTAAGCCAGTTAAAGCCAGCAGCCAGAGCCAGCAGCCAGTAGCCAGTAGCCAGTAGCCAGTTAAAGCCAGCTGAAGCCAGTTAAGCCAGTTAAAAAGCCAGTTAAAGGCCCCCCAGCTGGCCCTTAAGCGTCGCCTGCCTGGCCTTTTCTCTTTCTTCCCCCCCCCCAAGACGCTGCCGCCTGGCCCGTCGCTTCCTTGTCTTTCGCCCGCCGGAAAAAAGTATTTAGGGGCGCCCTGCTGCCGCCCCCGAGGCCGCCGACCCTTCGCGCCCCCCAGAGAGAAAGAAAACTCTTCCCTCCAACTAACTCCAGCGCTGAGCAGAGAGAATCACCGCAGAGAACAGCGATGGCGTCGCGCAAGGAGGACAAGAAGGAGCGCAAGCAGAAGAAGGAGAAGAAGCCGGCCGCAGAGGGCGACGGCACGACCACGCTCGTCGTCAGCATCGACGACTTCACGCGCACCCGAGACAGCGTAAGTCCTCTCTTCCTTTTATCTGTCCTCTTGCTGTCGCCTGCTGTCGCCCGTTGGTGTTGTTGGCGTTGTTGTTGTTGTTGTGATGCCGGTCGCTGCCCGCAACAACAACACCAGCAGCAACACGCCCGCGCGCTGGGCGCCCCCCCCAAGAGCTGCTGGCCCCCTTAGTTAGCCCACGCCGCCTGTCTGTCAGTCAGTCAGTCTGTCTGTCCTTGACGCTACACCACCAGCCCCTTGTCTTGTCCTCTACTACTATTATTACACTCTCTCTGTTCTGCTCCGTACATCCAATACACCTCTACGCTGCCAGAGTACGCCCTCGCGATGCCTGCGCGGAGTCACAGCCGTGCCACGACGCCTGGGCCCGGCCGCGGTCGCACTGCAACGCCGGGCCTGTTGGCGCAGGACACAGCAGCATCAGCAGCAGCATCACCAGCAGCTCCCCTCGACCTCGTCCAGGCCATCGCCCTGCTCACGTACCGCATCAACTCGACGGCGCAGGACCTCTTCCTGGGCGCGCAGCAGCCGGGTCTCTTCTCTGCAGAGCTAACCTGCGAACAGGTCATCGTCGGTCTCGCCGCGCTCCAGTCGGCCGTCTCGGACCTGTCGCGCGCCTACATCAACCACGCCAACACGGTGCTCAACCGCGGGCCCTCGTCCATCGACATCGGCGGCCTCAACTCGCTGCTCGAGAACGGCCTCTTCCCGTCGAGCGTCACGGCCGGCGGCGGTGCAGATGCCGACGGCGGTGTTTCTGCTGCCGAGGGCGCTGGCCGGGCAGCGAGCCCGGGAGCTCGCTCGGTAGCGGGCACCAAGCGCAAGCGAGTGCATGACCCCAATGCGCCGAAGAGGGCGCTGACCGCGTACTTCCTGTACATGAAGCACGAGCGAGCCAACATCGCGGCCGAGCTGGGTGCGAATGCCCGGCCAAAGGAGGTGGCCGACGAGGGCACCCGTCGCTGGGGGAGGATGCCTCCCCAGGAGAAGCAGGTAGACCATCTCTCTCTCTCTCTCTCTCTGTATATCTTGTCTTATCCTGGTGTATGCTGATGACTGGATAGAAATGGAAAGATCTGTATGCTCAGAATCTGGCCGTCTACAACGAGGAGATGAGCGCGTACAAGGCCAGCCTGCCGCCGGGACATAAAGTCGACAGCACCGTGCCAGCCACCCCCAAGCCGGCCAAGGCAGCAAAGACGTCAAAGTCCAGCAAGCCATCGACCAAGGAGGCCGCCCGGCACGAGGACGATCACGACGCCGCCGCCGAGCAGCAGCTCCAGCAGGCCGTCCGCGAAGCCACCACCGAAGACACCTCCTCCTCTGAGTCCGCAGGCTCGTCAGAGAGCGAGGCAGAGGCGACTCCCACCCCGTCCCCGCCCAAGCCAACGCCCAAGTCGTCGAAACGTCGCCAGTCCAAGGCTGCTGCTCCAGCACCGGCTCCAGCACCGGCACCGGCGCCGCCTGTCATCGAGACGCCTACGCCAGCCACCAAGAAGTCGTCGCCCGAGAAGAAGGAGAAGAAGAGCAAGAGCAAGGACAAGGATAGACGGGCCTCTGCTGCGAATGCTGCTGCTGCCGAAGTGGCCTCGCCTGTCCCTGAGCCGCCCAAGTCCGAGAAGAAGGCTCGAAAGAAGCGCAAGAGCGCCGTTGACGAGTGACGAGCAAGAGAGACGCCAGCCCTCAAACCTGTTTTTCTCCTCCTTTCCGTTCCCTGTCTGTAATCTTTGGCTTTTCTTCCCCCGTTTATCTTCCCTGGCTTGTTCCTGTGTTTGTTATATTCCAGCTGTCGGCCGTTGGTTCTGCTTGTCTTATCTATCAGTCCGTTATCTGTATCATCCGCAAGTCCCAATAAAAAGTCTTCTTCTCAAGCCCCATCTCGGCCTCCCTCCTAAGTATATAACTATACGTAAACACCTGCACCCGCTGCCCTGAGCCGGCTACAGCTGGGACTTTTGCTCTCAAACTAGCGGCAGCAGGCCTCGGCAGGCAAACAGCCAGCCAGCGCGGGGAGTCGGCAGGATCTGCTGGGCCCGTCTTGTTCCTCCTTGCGCGTCATCGACAACTCCTCGATATCCCCAGATCATACTCAGAAAGAAGACGAAGAAGACGACGAAGAACAGCTAGAAAAAAGACTCCAGGCCGACCAGGAACCAGCAGCTCGATCGTGCCTTGGCTTGCAAGATGCGCCTCGTCCCCCGAGAGGTGCGTTAACGCTGACTGGCCGCTGCCTCGTCGCCAATGCTTGGGGCTGCTCCATCCCATCCTTTGCCCCGGGCGAGACGAACAGCGGCCGGCTCGCTCCATGAACTCCATGAACTCCATGAACTCCATCCAGAGACTCAATTGACTGACTGTGTTTACGGCTGCAGCTCGATAAACTCACCATCTCGCAGCTGGGCTTCCTGGCGCAGCGGCGGTTGGCAAGAGGCGTCCGTCTCAACCATGCAGAAGCCACGGCATTGATATCCTCCAACCTCCACGAGGTGAGTACGAGAGAGCCATCTATATATATATACCCCATCATAGCTGATAAAAGACCAGTTGATACGCGATGGAAACCATACAGTGGCCGACCTGATGGCCATCGGCAAGACGATGCTCGGGCGTCGCCATGTCCTGCCCTCCGTCGTGTCCAGCTTGACCCAGCTGCAGGTCGAGGGCACCTTCGTCTGCGGATCGTACCTCGTCACCGTCCACAATCCCATCTGCTCGGACGACGGAGACCTCGAGAAGGCGTTGTACGGCAGCTTCCTGCCCGTGCCACCAAAGGACCTCTTCCCGGACCCGGACCCGGAGGAGTACCTGCCCGAACGCATGCCGGGAGCCGTCGTCGTGGTCAAAGATTCCAGGATCGAGCTCAGTCCCGGACGCAGGAGAATCAAGCTGCGTGTCACCAGCAAGGGAGACAGGCCCATACAGGTCGGCTCGCACTACCATTTCATCGAGACCAACCCCCAGCTCGAGTTCGACCGGGCCCAGGCATACGGCTTCCGTCTGGACATACCCGCCGGAGCATCCCATCGATTCGAGCCCGGAGAGTCCAAGACCGTCCAGCTCGTCGAGATCGCGGGCCACAAGGTCATCAAGGGCGGCAACTTCCTGGCCACAGGTGAAGTCGACCATGGTCGCAGGGACAGGATTCTCAGCCGTATCGCCCAGGCCGGCTTCATGCATACCCCGGAGCCCATGGCTGATGCCAGCTTGGTCAAGCCCTATACCATGACCCGCGAGGCTTATGCGCGCACGTTTGGCCCCACGACCGGCGACCTGATCAAGTTGGCTGCTACAGATCTGTGGGTGAAGGTCGAGAAGGATCTCACCACTTACGGCGATGAATGCACCTTTGGCGGAGGCAAGTCGCTGAGAGAAGGCATGGGACAGGCCACCGGCAGACATGCCCATGAGGTGCTCGACAGCTGCGTTACCAACGCCGTCATCCTCGACTGGTCCGGCATCTACAAGGCGGACATCGGGATCAAGGACGGCATCATCGTCGGAATCGGCAAAGCTGGGAACCCAGATGTCATGGATGGCATCACCCCCGGAATGGTCATCGGCTCATCTACCGACATCATCGCCGCCGAGAGGATGATCGTCACGGCCGGCGGCATCGATACCCACGTCCACTTCATCTGTCCCCAGCAGGTAGACGAAGCGCTCTCGTCCGGCATCACCACCATGCTCGGGGGCGGTACAGGTCCCTCCGAGGGCAGCAATGCAACTACCTGCACCCCGTCTCCAAACTCCATTCGCCAGATGATACAGTCCTCCGACGGGTTCCCCATGAACTTTGCTTTCACCGGTAAAGGCAACGATAGTGAACCGCGCGGCCTCAGAGACCAGATTCGTGCCGGCGCCGCTGGGCTCAAGATACACGAGGACTGGGGAGCTACTCCCGCCGCCATCGACAGCTGTCTTTCTGTCTGCGACGAGCTAGACGTCCAATGCCTGATTCACACCGATACCCTCAACGAATCCGGCTTCGTTGAGCAGACCATCAAAGCTCTCAAGGGCAGAGTAATCCACACCTACCATACCGAGGGTGCTGGAGGCGGCCATGCCCCCGACATCATCTCCGTCTGCGAACACCCTAACGTCTTACCGTCCAGCACCAACCCAAGCAGACCATACACTCTCAACACTCTAGACGAGCATCTGGACATGGTAATGGTCTGCCACCACTTGTCAAAGGATATACCAGAGGACGTGGCCTTCGCCGAATCACGTATTCGCGCCGAAACAATCGCTGCCGAAGACGTCCTTCATGACATCGGCGCTATCAGCATGATGTCCTCGGACTCTCAGGCCATGGGCCGCTGCGGAGAAGTCGTTCTTCGAACATGGCATACCGCTCACAAGAATAAGCTGCAGCGTGGCGTCCTGCCTGAAGACGAAGGTACGGGATGCGACAACTTCAGAGCCAAGCGCTACGTGAGCAAATATACCATCAACCCAGCCATTGCCCAGGGCATGAGCCATGTCATTGGCAGCGTCGAAGTAGGCAAGGTAGCAGACCTGGTGCTGTGGAAGTTTGCCCAGTTCGGCGTCAAGCCTAATCTCATCCTCAAGAGCGGCATGATTGCCAGAGCACAGATGGTATTTACTTACCCCTTTCCCTCCGGTTCCCACACGATCTAACTATTCTACAGGGCGATGCAAATGGCTCTATTCCAACCATTGAACCGATTCTGTCAAGACCTATGTGGGCTGTACGTCCCTCTTCCACCCTCCCATTTTGCTAGAAAGTCCATTCATCTCCTTATTAACGTCTCTTTAGAGCTGTCTGCCAAATACATCCATTATCTTCGTTTCTCAGTCGTCTGTTGACGACGGCGTGATTGACACCTACGACATCAAGAAACGAGTCGAACCAGTCAAGAACTGCAGAAACATAGGCAAAGAAGACATGAAGTTCAACGACACCATGCCGAAAATGCACGTCGATCCAGAAAGCTACGTAAGTTCCCTCCAAACCACATGCATGCATGCTCTGACTGATGTACATTGGCTAATGCTGTACAGACCGTCGAGGCAAATGGAATGGTATGCGATGCGGATCCAATCGATACCCTCCCCCTATGCCAGGATTATTTCATATACTAGGCTCCAATCAAGCCAAGGGCGGTAATCTGAATGAAGCAGGCGGCGGACGTGAAGAATCTTTCCAGCGAGTTTTTATCTTATATCATTCATTTATATATATTTTATACGTATATCGTATTAGTTATGTTATATCAGCTTTTTCGGCTTTGTTAGGAAATATCAAGAATGTCACTGCATATACATACGCGTGTAAAAGGGGGGGGTATCATATAAAAAACACTAGAAGCATAAGCATGTATGTATGTGCGTGCCTATCACAACTCTATCTCCGGATGAGTATGGTTATCCACACTTATCAACGGACACGTATTTGTCCAGGCCTGGTATGTTCCTTTCTTCGCGGCTCGATACGCAGCCACCCGCAGCTCTTTCCTGGCACGCAAGCTGGCTTCGGATTTGCAGGGTCCATGAGGACCAGAGTCAAGATCCGTCTCCGGGCCGGGGGCCGATGAAGGAACTAAGACGGTATCTGCCGCATCTCCATTGCAATTCTCCGCCGGTTTCACAATTACAACTTGAGGCTGAGACTGCGGCTGAGGTTGGGAGTAGAATGCAGAGGACGATAGAGAAACGATGCTTTCGCCGTCGTTATTAGTATTTTCATCCTCCTCCTCCTCTTCCTCCTCCAGATCTTCTTCGTTAGTAGTCGTGGTGAATGTGCGAGAAACACACAAGCTAAGCTGCAAGTCTAGCTCTTCCTGCTCTATTTGCAGTTCTCGCTGAGAAACCGAGGACTGCGAATGTATTTGGGCCTCCTCCGAATCCTTAGATACATGCAGCTGGTGCGAAGTCGGCTCAACATCCGGCTGTGAATCGGTAAAAGAAGGCAAGAGAAAGTTGATTTCGTCATCCTGGTAGTCTTCAAGCATAGCTTGCTTTAATGCCTTGAACCTTGTTGCGGGAGACTCTGATGATTGCGCAGTCAACTGCGTTGGGAACGAGGTGGGATAGTCTGCTAGGGAATCTTCGAGGTCTTCCTGCTCGCCGGTTTGAGAAGGATGGTTGATGTCCTCCTGCGGCTGGCTTGAGGATAGCTGCAGCTCAAGTTTGTGCTGTGAGTCTATGGTTGATGGCTGGCTGGAGGGTACTTCGGATTGAGCATCACTTGCGCGTCTTTGACGCTTTGAGGGCCGAGGGTTTCCTTCTCGCATCATATTGTCATGACGGAATGTGTTGCTTGAGCACAAATGGCCGAACAGGGACCGCATGGAGACTCCCTCGGTCCAGGTAAGGGGGTCAACTGTACATGGGTATATGTCCCTAGGCCTAAATGCTCCCACGAGCTGGCATAGTTCAGAGTAGCAGGAGTGGCGGGAGTAAGGAAACTTCTGCATTGCGAAGGTTAGTTGTAATTGCTTGTGAACGGGGGTAGGTAAGACAGGTAAACCATGCATGCTTACAATGGTATTTGGCAGGGACTCCTTTTCCTTCTGCTTCAGGCCGTGTCCTATGGTGGTGACAAGCTTTGCAAGGGTGATCTCTTCTTCATCTTTCAATCCGTATTCACCCAAGGAGATAGCTGCTCTCGTAGACTCGTACGCCCTGGATAGAGTTGAGACTACCAAGTCTCTTGTGTCTGGCTCCTTTATCTGCTCCTTACACAGGTCTAGAAAACGCTGAAAGGTTGCGTCGTCTGGCAGTTCGAGTTCGTGGCTCTGCTCAAGGTCTCCTTTTCCACCTCCAGCCCCAACCTCGGGTATTTCATAACCGTCTTTAGTTCGTGTAACAATGGGGGTAATGTCGACTGATTTTCCAGATGTTATCCGTGAGCACATCACCCCCGGTTCGCAGCTGTGGACACGGGCGGACGGATCGTTTGTCAAACACCCCGGAACAGAGGAGTTGCCGAGTCTGAAGCCACAAAGGTAGAGAGAGTCGTCTACCCCAAAGCCGGTTCCTGGTCTAGAACTCAGCGAGTTATATAATCTATATTGGTACCTGTCGACATGTATCTGTCAACGTAAATGTCAGCGGCGAGGCCTAGAATAATCGATTAGTGAGGGTCTACGCAGCCTACCTTTGTGCCCAGGGCTGCGGAGAGAGCCAGCCATACGTCCTCGTAGCCAAATGTCCAGCTACGAAGGTAGAATATAGTGTCTTCGGGATACCCCTTAATTTTACTAAGTAGTTCCCGTATGCCTTCTGCCTTGGAGGGGAAGACCTGGTGGATATCTGACTTTGTAGCAAAGGTGGTATCAAGATATATAGTGTCCAGACGGCGGTCCCCCATGGTGTACGGTATCAACACTGGATTTCTAATAAGGCTCTGTACCCACCATGATTCAGCTAGAGAGACGGTCAGCAAAAATACCGAACGAGAATAGAGCCTATAAGCCTGAGTTATTGTGGCCTTACCCCTGATGTCACCTGTATATAGTATTGCCTTGCCATCTCCTTCTATGAGGAACATGACAGATCCAGGACAGTGATTAGCATCGAACAGGGTGACTCTTATAGTGTTTCCAGGCATAAGCTCTATTTCCGTTGGGACCTGCAACGGAATTGGTCTCTATAGTGGTACTATTAGAACCAATATCAAATAGCCGTCACCCAACGGCATAAAAACATTCTTACCAGTAGCTTTGCCAGATGTTTGTAATGCTGCTTTCTAGACTCTAGAATACCCTTGGCAAAGTTCATCCGATGAGGGTACTTTTCAATACGTAAGAGAATCTACGGCCGTTAATAATGGGATATATCAAGCGGTTAGCCAGTGCCAAACATGGCCGCTTACTTCTCTGGTGGCCGCGGAGCAGTAGACAAACGGGGCCCTGAGGGATTCCAGCCCCACGAGATGGTCACTGTGGACATGGCTGAGGAAACAGGCCAGCGGTGCAGGCCACTCCGGGTGCTTGCGGAAGCTGTCGACTATCAGCTTGTCAGTCAGATCTCGCCTTTCCCTCAGCTGACGATGTTGGAGCTATCACTTCTTATATACGGAAATTCTGCAGGCAGTATCAGTCAGCAGCTACGAAGTGAGCAGAAGAGTGAGAAGAGGCCAAACCTTCGACGATGCCGTTGAACGTCGACATTTCGGCGACGTCTCAGCAGTGTCTCCTCGATGCTTCTTCTATCCATGCATCTTCATGGTATTATACACGAGTGTGGTTGCTCTGCTCTGGCTGGAGGTCGCTGCCTGGCGGTCGTTTTTTTGGTTCAGCTTCACGCCAAGCCACGCCTCGACCTCTAAGTTAAGTAACTAACTGTCAACTTCACTGCTTCAACAACAAACTACGGCTGCTGCTACTGTTACTACATCTTGCCAGAGTTATAGAACGAATTGCTAACACTGACGTCTAGGTAACCGTCGAATGCTACTCCATGTACCCCGTATCACAATGCTTATCGCTGATCAAAGCCTCTGGGCCGGGCAGAAGGGCGGGTTGGACAACCATCCAAACCGTCACACACCAACAAGGGGAAAAGGAAGACGAGGAAGCCAGAGCGAGGCCAAAGAAGAAAAGGGGAAGGAAGAGCAGATAAACGGGCAGGGACTAGACCTCGGCTGCTTAATTAATTAGATTGGCATAAAAGTCCTGGCGGAACATTTTTACCCACCCTTGAGTGAGGGCGCAGGAGATCAGACCTCAGTCGCTTCAAAGAAAATTAAGGTGTGCTCGTATATCGGACCGTCGAGCGTCGATGAGCGTCGATGAGCGTCGATGATAGGGCTGCGGCCACCTCCATTTGCCACGAATCTGATGCCTCACCCAAGGTGCCAGTCGGACAGTCAGACGCCAGAAGAAAAAGAGCTCACGACACAAGAAAAAAGAGGGTCAGCCAGTGAACTAGCGACCCGGTCAGTTAGTCAACAAGGACCCAACCAGCTAACGAGTTCACTAGTGACTGACTGACTTGCTTGCTGGCATGGGGCATGCACCTGGGTGCTGCTGGTCTTTTCCCCCTTCACTTCTTCTCCACTGCAGAATCTGCAGGCCAACCGCAGCTCGAGAAAGCAGGAAAAGGAAAGGCAGCACAGGCTGCTAGAGAGCCCACGTCTGCCGGTCGACGGGGGTTTGTTCGGTGGGAGACTCTCTTGGTCTGGCTTCTTATTCACGCTCTCCACGGCGAGTTAGCCCAAGTAGATGTAGCCACGAAGCTGCTGCTGTGCATGGTGGACCGGGGCAGATTTTATATAAACCCCCAATTCTTTGGACAGGGCGATTACCCACGGATAATTAACTATATAAATGGGGACACGCCGTAGACCATCTCCGTCTTTTTCTTCTTCTTCTTCTTCTTCTTCTTCTTCTTCTTTCTTCTTTTTGTCTTGGAGAGATCACGGCTCGACTGACCCTGAGTATAACTAAATGGACTGAGCAGCTGGGTAGTTAGAAGTGTGGAGTGTTGTATACAGCAGCATCCTCGTCCTCAGATGACCTTTTTCTTCGTTTCACTGACCAGTGCCACCCGAGCTCGACTCCAGGCCTCTTCCTCTTATTATCCTTCTTATTCTCCTGCTTCCTCCCCTTCTTCTTCTTCTTCATCTTCTTCTGTCTTCTCTGCCTTTCTCTTGTGCGCAGACGACGTGTGATCCCTCGTCAGCAGCAGCAGCAGCAGCAAACGTCAAACACCGCCAGCAGCAGCCATCTTAATAACTGCAGGACAGGAGAAGAGGCCCCCAACAGGACGGCTGTCGATAACTAGTCAGCCTGTTGTCAGCTCTGTCTTCTTTGACCTTGTTTGCTTTTTCCTCTGCGTGTCTATCGATCTTCGACTCTTGGGCTAGTTATATTTTGCTTGGACCCCCAGACAGCCCCGGCGCACTTTAGTTATATAACCAAACGCTATATCCCGATCATCCCTCAGAGAGAGCCAGGACAGACAGCTCCGGCTGCCATATAAGAAGCACAGGAGCTTCCTTTTTGCCGCCTGCTCAGCAAGATCAGCCTTGTCAAAGAGGCCTGTCAAAAAAAAATTAAAAAATAAATAAATAAAAGCAGAACCCAGCAGAAGAAAGGCTCTCTCATCTCGTCCTGCTTAAATTACTTTTACTCTGCCCTCTCTACATCCCATCTCTTCTGCCTCCTCCATCCCCCTGGAAGGAAAAAAGAAAGAAAGACGACGGAAACGCAGAAAAATAGCGAGAAGGAAAAGGAATAATAAAAAAGGAGACGCCAGCGAATAGTCTGAGCAGCTCGATCGTCTGGCTGGAGCATCTCGGGAAGACATAAATACTCCTCCTGCTCGCTCGCCGGCCTGCTGGGTTTGTTTGGCTTCTACTGGTCTGCCCACCCCCCTGACTCTCTCTGCCTCTGTCTCTCCCGCCTACATCGAGGCTGAGCTGCAACTAAACAGCGATCATAGCGGCAGACGGGACAGCTCAGCTTCTCCTCACTCTGCAGGTCTGCAAGGGAGAAGACTTCCTTTCGCATCCATCTGTCTCGCTGCTCCTTTTTTTGAGACCGTCCTGAGAGTGGCAGAAGAATCAAGCAAGCTCCGGCCCAGCAAGCTCCCGTCACCTCCTGGTCAAAGTCCGAAGAAATTCGCCGAAACGCTACCAGCATCACCAGCAGCAGCACCAGCAGCAGCGCAGCCATGCATAAGCCCTCGCTCACCCACCTGGTGTACAACGCCCTCTTCAGCAAGCCTCGCGGCAATGACCCGTCCTCCTTCTCCTCGCACATCACCAGAAACCTCGTCCCCGAAGTGCGAGTAGAGACGTCGACCTTCTATGGAACGCTCGACTGCATTGAAGCTCAGTATCCCGGCCTAGACTACTCGTATGGCCCTCATCGCATGAGACTAGGCCGCTTCCACCACCACAAGAAGCTGTTCAAGGTCTTTGACGAGCTCGGGCTGACCGAGGCCGAGATCTCGTCTCTCTGTCGCTGGGAGGGCACAAAGTCGGCCAGAGAACGGTACGAACGAGATACCGGCATCAAAGTGCGAGACACCACCGCAGACGAGATCAAGCCTGCTGCTCCGTCGATGCCGCCTACGCTCCACGTCCATGCTGCACCCGTACGAGAGGCGAGCGAAGCCGAAGAAGCAGAGGTGGCAGCGGTTGAAGCGGACGACGAGTGCTGCTCCTCCTCTTCTTCCTGTCGCTCACAGATCATTGACGGACCCATATTGCCCAGCAACGCCGGATCAGACACCAACGGACCCATTACCGGTGAGAGCGGGACTGAGGATAGCAGCAGCGACGAAGACCTGGAGAGCTATGGAGTGGCCCTGAACGAGCACCTCCTGGAAGCCACTGCAGCCCGGGAGCGTGGGATCAACGTTGCCCTTGATGAGATATGGGAGCAGTGGCTCAAGGAGGCTATCGAACGGGGTGGTTATACCGACATGCTCGATGCCATTCGTGAAGGACGAGCCATCGACTTTACACAGAGAGGTGTGGCCGTACACCAGCACCACCAGCACCACCAGAGCCACCAGAGCCACCACCATCATCAGCACCAATACCATCATCCCCATCTTGCAGGGCCAGGGTCACCCAGTCCTGCGTATCGCAGCTACTCTGCCGGCTCACCAGCCATAAACAGTGACATTGTTCACTCCATAGCACCAATCTCAACCCCTTCTACGACCGTCTCAGCCCAACCATCAAGAGACCTCCACCACCACAGCTGAAAAAGCCTCGTTTCTTTCTTTTTTTTTTTTTTTCTACGGCTTTCGTTTTATCCAGGCATTTTACCGGCGCATTGATACAGGAGACTTTTCCCCTTATTATTTTACTGTCTCTCTCTCTCTCTCTCTCTTCTCTTCTATTCAATTTCGATTAATGGCGTTTATGGGACTGCTTCTTCTCGACACTACTAGCGTTCAAGCGAGCATCTCGCTCTCTGCAGTCCCGTACCCCTTATCCTCGTCCCATCTCAGCTCTTCTCGTCGCAGAACCTTTTTACGTATTCCCCAAGACCTTACGGCTATGGATAGATCTGTTCTCCTGTTTCTATTACGCCTTGTTATCTCCGCTGCTCGCTTTTTCTCCCTGAAGCTTCATATAACGACTCCCTTTTTCAGCTTCCTTCGGCATATATTCTCGTTCCTTTTATGATATCCCTGAGCGCAAGCATGCGATGCTCCTATTTATATGTTCCTATTCATATTTCTATTTACTTCCTTGATAGTGGCCTTTGCATTTTTAATCTTTGTTCATTGCATTTTTATGCTCTAGCAAGGCTTCTTTAATATTGTATTTAGCCTGTTTGCAATCAGGGGAACAACAGTTCATTCTCACCTTCGTACGTTTATTGTAGAAGAACTGACTACGTCAATTATATATCTCACTTAGCGTTCCATCTGACTTGTTTAAGTGCTTGTATGTCGATGTAGTTGGAGTTGATCAAGTAAATGAGAATTTAGTTAGCCGGTCCTGTGGTTCATAGGTAACTACCTAGGTAAACTTGTAAGCACGTGACAATAGTCCTTGGCAAACATTTTCCATCGCGTTTAAGTGATATATATACAAGTATACATGACAAGAAAGTTTGAGTACATGATAAGCGCCTGTCTTATTGATCAAGATACCCCCATGAGAGAGTAGCTTTCGGTTGATATTCGCTCACTCGGCTCAAAGATTGAATAATCCCAGACATCAGTGCCACCATGGAAACAGTCCCGCAAGAGATCTTTCTATCTATCCTTGATTACATTGGAAAAGAGAAACACCATTTAAAGCCATATCTGACCGTTTCTCGTCGCTGGCAGCGCGTTATTGAACGGTTCTTCTTCAGGCGTCTCAGGATTAAGAACACTAGGCTATCTACGTTTGCAAGTCTCTTCCGTGAAACCGAGGCCCATCGCAAAGCTCTGGTTGAGTCACTTGATTTCCAGGTTCTTCTACCAACCTACGACGGGAATAATTACCATCAGCATGAAGAGGCCAACAATCAAGTATTCTCCACTGCTATTCTTGAGCTATTCCAGATGCTTGAGACCTTTAATGAGGATGAGAATGTCAAGAGAAATATTAGAAGGGGTGATGGGTTGGATTTATCTATAAGCTATATATTTTCGCCGAGCGATAACTTCTATGATCTGGACCATATCGCTGGAATTAGGGGGAGATATATCAAACTCCTGAACCACGAAAGGTTGCCTACCCTCTCATGTGTATCTGACTTTTTTTCTCGCCATGGGTCTGAATCACGTGTTTTAGACCCTGCATCAGGCATTCTTATTTCAAGCAAGCTTAAGGGTTTACAAGTCTCTGCTAACCAATATGATGACCATCGAGAGTATATTGGTGACGAAACCCGGAAGATAATTCGGCCTGGTATGTACAATATGCTTATACATCAGATAAAATTCACAATTTATACTAATACCTGGTTTAATAGCCTTTACAAATGCCCTCTCTCTGTATACTCATTCCTTAAGGAAGTTTAAGCTTGAAATGGAGTACTCCGACCCACCTGATGAAGCAATTGACCCTCCGAATTATATCCCATCTTCCTCGCCAGTGGATCCAATGAATCTTGCATTCCACGAGTTTATTCAGCGAACAGGCGTTTCAATATTATATATTAACGGAAGTCACATTATCTCACCAGAGTTCTTCTGGCCTTATGATAACCTCAAGGCGGCTCCGACACCGTTTTGGCCAAACTTAAAGGATTTATATATTTCGATATCGCCAGCTACTCCCAATGGGGAGTGGTACTTTATGGGTGATTCAAAAATTGCTTCCCACTCTGAGTTTATAGGGGCTACTAGGAAGAATGATACCCAGGAATCTTATAGCAACGAGGATTCTGAAAACACATTTCGCAGTATTCCAAACCCTGAGAGGATGGACCCCCTTTTAATAGCCATGGCACAGGCTATCCGTTATGCACCCTCCATTGAGCGAGTTGACCTATGTTGTACCAACCCAGCGTTATCCCCAAAATATATCAAAGTCGCAGGCTTTAAACGGCAATTTGACATTTATTATCGTACTAGTGGCATGGAGAGCCCATTCCTCCATGGTCCACAACAAATACAGAAGCCTAGCTTTATATGTGATGTACAAGACTGGCGCCCTAATAAGGATGTCGAGAGGTATTGGATGGAGGCATTGGGGCCCGACGGAGAGATAGTTTATCGATAATAACCCCCCACTATCTAACTCCTTGGACAAGACCTGATATCTTTGGATTTACTTCATTCCCTATTCTCAAATGTTATTGTAAAGGAGACGAGGATAAAATTGAGGATGGATGTTTTTAGCATGCTATACAGGTATATGATTTAGATATATGGAATCCGTTATAAGCTTTATTTGGGACATACACCTTTACTAACTCCAAAGTACATATTGAATATAAAACAGGGCTCCAGGTCAAGGAAGCCGCTAAAAGATAACTAAAGCTAAGTAGGACTCATCGAGAACTTATTTAATATATTAGATACCTGGTGCAAGGGTGTAACTTATCTTTATACCTGGGTGCTATCAACTGGTAAAGTGCCTATAACTAGACCCTAAGTAAAAACTGAAAAGGTGCATGATGAGATAGTATTAAGATAGCTTAATTAACTAGTCATCTAGCTATAATAGTTACATAGCCCCTAAATTTCCTAAATCTACAAAATCCTAATTACATTTTAGAAAGGATTTCTCCATTCCACTTTCTTCAAATACCTGTACGCTTTTTCTGCGCTTTTATGATACTGAATAACCTTCTCATATCTCTTTCTGTGATCTTTGCTCATCTTCGACTTATCCACCTTTTCCAACTCCTTCCTTGCTGCTACCATATCATCATAGTTGGCGGCAAAAAACTTATTGGTCCTGGCTATGGTGTCGTCCGTGTGTTTTTTGATCCATTCTTCCCATTTCGTATGCAGGTTCTGGGAATCGTAATTCCGCCAAATTTTTTTCGTGGTGCCGTGACGTTCAAAGTCCAGATTTTTGAGGCTTTTCTCGACTTCCTCAAGCGTTTTCGATATGCGTCCAACCTGCAGCTTAAGGACATCCACCACGGCGGAGTCGTGGTGGTATTTATACATAGACATCACATCCTTAAACTTCATAATTGCTTTCACATGTTTGGACTTTTGAAGGTCTCCTTTCAGGAAATCCTTATCCAGATCAGCTTTTAAACCATCTTTTACAATAGTTTTGTCGCCCCACACCTTTGTGTAAAGCAGTTAGCTATAGAACTTATAATAAAGGGCAAATGACTTACAACTCCTTTTAGCCCATTAACACCCTTAGGCAATAGAAAGAATTCCTCTTGCCATTTTGACTTTGTTGGGTACTGATCAGCAATCAACTGAGGGCCATTTTTAGTTACTTTATTCACAGTTGGCAGCGGATTGTTATTATTCATGTCCCAATAGGGGGTGATGTATTTGCAGAGATCCACCTTGTCTTTGGGCGACATCTCGTATGGGTCGGCATATTTTTTGGGCAGTGTCATTGACATATTCCGGAAGAAGATATCAATTATCTGGCTCTCCAGTACATGCTCCGTTTCAAGCAACTGGTTCCCACTCACTTTCTTACCCTTAGAGGAGTAAGTGGTATCATACTTTTTATTTGGGCGTTTTCCGAAGTCGAAGTCTCCACATGAATTCGGATTTGCTAGGGCGAAGATGATATCATTCGAAATACCAGAAGTCTAAAGTCGCGAACAGGTTAGTAACTTGGGTGTATTTCTCAATGCATAGCTCTAGCATACCTTTGTTAGCTGGCCTCCAGGCGGATAAGCATCGGTGTACACTTGAAGACCACATATCTTGACACTTTTGCCACCACTCTTTGCTCTCTTTTCCATGCCGAACAAGCCGGTCCCTCGGATGGCCAGCTCTTCTCGGTCATCATCTTCAAATGTCCCTGGCTCCCAAACTTCAATATTGGGGCAATCGTCCAAACAGTCTTGTCCTCCCTTTTTTCCATTGCCATTCTCACAAGTAGAAGTGGATGATGGCTCCGGATTTTTGGTAGATGAGGACTTGGAGAGTGTTGTAGATGTTGGCTTGGGGGCATCTTCAGTAGTTCTAGGGATCGTCGTGGAAGTCGGTTTGGAGAATGTTGTAGCAGTTGACGTGGTGGTATTTTTAGTAGGCCGAGTGGACGTGGGCTTAGGCTCCTCTTTTGTTGGCTTGGGACTGTCCTTTGTAGTATGTTCATTCCCCTTTCCATCATTCTTTTTCCCATTACCTTTGTTCCCACCACCCTTCTTCCCGAATATCCTCTTCCCTATCCCACTTAGCAGGCCTCTTTTATCAAGACAATCTTTTCTATCTTTCGTCTCGTCGCAACCGCCTGTCTTCTTGCACCCGTCGCTAATTCCATAATCGACCGACGCCCCGGGCAAGCCATTGAGGCCGGCGTCAATGACCGATGTCGAAGGCTGGTCAATGGGTAACTCTCCACACACAGGGGTATCCCGATCTCCAAGGAATGAAGTTGCGTCTAGCCCATTTTCAGAGAAGGTCTTAGCTCCTTTAACAAGTTTTCCGAGCTTCAGGATGATGCTAAAAAGCAGAAGTAAGAAGGCAGCTTTCATTTTGAAGAATCAAGAGCGAGGTAATCCGTAAATCTCATGCGGTCCTAGAGCTTCAATTCAATTGGGAGGGTACCAACTCAGGCTGATATCTGGCTCTGGTTTGAAGAGCATCTTACGGGTGGACTTCGACGGACTATAAGTAGGTAAATCCTTTCGAAAGCGACGCCCATGCCATCGCCATCATAGGGCAAAATACAAGACATTGGAATCAGCCCCCATAATGGGCATTGGTAATCGCATAGAGAAATTGGATATGCATCGTAATCCTATAGTAATCCTATAGCTTATACATTATAATCACTCATGCGTTGATCAACTTGTCAGCACCTTTGAAGGAGATCCCAAAGCGCGAATTCACATAATTCCAGCTCGAGCGAACAAATCGAGCTGCTAATTGGGTATCATGCCGGCCGGGAGAGCACTGGCAAGTTCGATTGAAACACCGCCGCCAGGCATAATGGTATATATAAGCCTAGCTTGCGCGAAGCTGGGCAGTCCATGACTAACTAATTGGCATGCTGAGGCGTCCTGCTTATACAGAAGGGCGTGAAAGCCCACTCACTATTGGCTGTGGAGGAGTCCTGTCTCTCCATTTTGAAATGAGCTGAAGCTCGATATGCAGTTCTAATCGTTGGCAGCAGGCTGGGATGTAGCGTTGGAACAGGCTAGGCAGCCGTAGTTAACTGGGGGCGGCTCTACTCTGGAACCATTTGTCAGTGGGATTATCAAGCGTGGTGCGAGCGTCATCCTCTCGTCATATTGGATATTTGACATTTGCAATAAAGGGGCGTAAATGCCTGCTGCCCAATCAGTTCGGCGTGGTTGAATAGTTATCAGTGGTTAGGACGATATCCATTAGCTAGTTATGTGTTATGGTTGGTTGTGTTTGTTGGCTGTCAACGTAAAACACAGACCTTTCCTTCAATGACTAACAACTCGCTGACCGTACCTTGACTAACGAGCTCGAACGATGCAACAGGTTGACAGCTACAACTCACTGGAAGGCTGAAACAACCAGGAGAGAGTTATGTCGCCCTTATCGGGTCGTTCTCTTTCCTCTACGTCAGGAACCGCGATTGAATCATGATCAAAGCCATCTTCTACAGCCGATTCGACACTCAGTCAGGCATGCCAACGCCCCCCGTCACCATCACCATCACCATCACCCTTCATACATCAATTAGACATATACTAACACAAGCGGTACAGGGCCCAAAGTCGTTCACCAGGTGCCTGATGGAGCTATCGTTCCCTCTCCAACCGCACCGCCGGGATCTTCTCCCCTCTTTAGCTTCTCAGACGTCTCTTTCTTCGTCATCCCTCGACAGGAGCTGTGCGGGAATCTCATCCACGTCTGCACAGGCGGACACAGAATACTCGGATCCCCCGTCTGCATGAAGTCGCCTCGCTACGATCGGAATGAATTCATATTCAACTTCTGCATTGTGCTGAGCGAAGAGGACGAATGGGGGACCTACAAGAGTGTGGTGCAGAAGTTGGCGCATCTGATGTGCGGGCTCGAAGAGCAGTCTGGCTTCTTGTCAAAAGATACGTCCAAGGACGGAGAAGGCAAGGTATATAGCCTGTGCGAAACGCTGATGGAGGATCTGAATAATTATTACGAGTGCATGATTCCAATTGGTACGCTATCCTCAAACTTGGCTACCCGGTTAGGCCATCAGATGCTGTATGCTGACTGCTTCACCAGATGAATTGAATACCCTTAATGTCAAGCTGTTTCCTCTATACCCTTCGCCACCTATCGTCAAAGCATGGCATGTTCCCCTTTTCACTGTTCGGTGTGAGACCTTCATGGATGAGAACTGGGACCTGACTATGAGAAGGGTATGATACCATCTTCCTATGCCTTATATCATTTGAATCCTACTAATATTCAACGCAGATCGTTCCGTATATCAATGGTATCAATAGCGTTCGGAAAATATCCATTCTATCTGATGCTGATTTCACCCTTACCTGCCGCGCAATACGCCATCTGATATACTACGGATGTGCATTCCTTCTGGATATATTCTCATTCTCCGCCATCTATGCTCCAACTGCGGAGTTTAGTTCTACTATCGTCACAGACAAAAAGATGCAGTGTGAATGTGCACGGTACGTTAACATACGGTTTTCACCCATTAGTGAATCTTCGCCTGTGACTAGACCTACTTCTACCCTGGGTACATCTTCATCTGCATCCAATCTTCAAAGGGCTTCGCTATCACACTCGAGCCATAAGGTATCTGTACCCAATGACGATCCTTGGGTGGAACATGACAGCATCTGGCCAAAGATCGATACTTCCATCCCGTCTACTTCCGGCGAGGGCTCAAGTAAATTTAACTCGAGAACAATCGTCGATGGAGTCGGTCTCATAGAGCTATACTCGAGTTTAAAACAAGGCCAGACCGTCAAACAATGGTACCTAAAGCATATGCGCGAGCTTGCAAATATTGACGTCCGCCGTTTTATCACCTTTGGTGTCATCAAGGGCTTTTTGTACCGAGTGCATAAATATCCCTTTGCTACAGGAAGGGTTATACAGAACACCCACCAAAGAAGGCAGTCAAACCACTTCCCTTCAACTTCTCCTATTGCGGGATATTCCATTGGCGCAGCAACTGACCGGGGCGTCCACCCGTTCACCCGTAACCGCCTAGGCTCTACAGCTAGTGGTATTGACCCCCTGTCAACCAGCAAACCACTATCGAAAAATACATCTACCCTCTCCCCTCGAAGCCGAGCACGTAACCGTCGCTCGCTTCATCGCTACGATGACGAGGGTAACGATGGTGATGACGATGGGTTTGGGGATGATGATTCCGAGGGGGAGGAGGACGGCGAGGCAGGGGACTATGGTATAGACAACAAGACTCTTGCCAAGTACCTGGATGGAACTCATTGCTTTGATGAAATATGCACGGAACTTGAGATCACCGATAAGGAGCTCACAGCTAGACTAAAGCGATACCCACGAGAGGTTGTGATCATCCACTCGTAAAATATATACACCATCTCAGTTGATTAACCAATCTCCATAAAAACTACTATGCATCTTCATGTTGTTTCGTTATACTCTCTGCCGGCGAGGTTTTCATCTTCATACCCCACGAGACGCCAACCCTACATCTATTCCACCCTATGTATGACTTACAGTTGATCCCAAAAAAAAAAAAAAAAAAAAAAAAAAAAAGATAAAAACACAGAGAAGAGAGAACGCCGCGTAAGGTGATGCGTTATTTTTCACTCTTGCTCTTCATCCCAGCCTTCCAATTCTGCTTTCTCTAAATCTGCCATGGCCGTAGGCTCCCAGACAGTCTCGTCTTTACCAGGCACAGTGGACTTGCAGTCCTTAAAGACCGGACCAATGCAATCGATCCATCTCTTGCGACGATCCATAAGGGTACGGGCCATGTCACCAATCCCAGGCCTGCCAACACCAGCCGTGCTAACAGGATGACTGCCTCCACCTGCACCACCAGGCCTATGTTTCGCATGAGAGCCTTTCTTGCTCTTGCCCAGAGTACGTGTTCGTTTAAGATATGCCTGTTGTACCTGAGTGTCAAGGTCGTCGAGTATGGTGCTGTATTCCTGATAAGCCAACCGCTCGCGAGCAATATCTAGTAAGCGAGTTTTCCGTGCGCCGTTAATGATCATTTGTTTCTTAAGCTCTGATTGAAGGATGCGGAGACGTTCGGCGATATCGTCATCATAGTGGGCATCATAGTCTGGATTGTCCTCAGGCCCCAGGAAGCCGATATACCGAAGCTCTGCCTTTAATCGTTCGTCAAGCTGGGCATGGTCTAGCTTGGCGGCTGGAACCTTGAACCCGCTTAAGGAAGATTCAGGGAATGAGGTGGCTGAACTTAGCTGCTTTGGCTCTGTGTCTCCATTTTGCTGGTCAATATCCATTGAGCCGTCAGCATTTGTGTTTCCATTTGCAGTTGACTCTTCGTTCCCAGGTTGACCTGCATCATCAGGAAGGGTACGATGCTCGTAACGTAAAAGAGAGTATAATCGACTGAGCATAGGAGGAACTGAAACTTGGTCCGTCTCACAGGTCTCATCTGTTATCTGGTCAATACTACCCCTGCCTTGATTTAGGGGTAACTTGTCTCGGTCCTGGTTTATTGAGTCTATATTTATACCATCCTCTTCAGCCCAAATGTCACTATAATGTTTTTTCCCACGACGGGGCATTAGGAAGGGAGTAGCACGATCGCCCTGTACAGTCAGATTTACTGTGGAATTAAAAAAGAATTCACGGTGCAAGGTTCGTACCTTTTCCTTTAAGAAAGCTATGTCCTCCTCCGTAAGGGGTCGGACATATGGTTCTAGGTATGTTGCAAAAGTATTGGCGCTGACTTGGTTCGTGGGTTTCGCATTGCTAAAATCCTTATCCGGTGGTTCCCCAGCCATCAAATGCTTCAAGTCGGATTCAGGGAAGCTTGCAACACTATATATCTTTTTCTTCTCTTCAACTGACATATTGGGTGTGACTTCTCGAATATGGTATACCGTAGGGTCGTCAAACTGTAAAGGGTCGGGCCCAAAAACTTGATATTGATGGACGGCGGGAGCAGGTTCTGGTTGATGGGATTCTGAACTGTCCACGGACTCGGGACTTCCTGCGGTTGAACCAGCAGTAGCAGGGGGAGGCGAATGGAAAGACGGTGGAGACAGAGATGATGCGCTTGACGGTTGATTTCGTACCCTTTTAGGTGAGCCAACAGGGGCGTCTTTACTCCCTCTTTTTACGGACGCTATAGGCCGTACGTTAATAATCCGGGTGGACTCATAAAGCTACAGAAGCAAGCTTATAGCTCCATTGACATCGCTGGACTCAACTTACCATCAACTTTCCCTTCAGGGCCATCCTGTCTTGCAACACCATGGGCACCATGGGAGAGCGGTCTCTCCTCCTTCGGGACGATTTTTTCTTTCCGCTTTTTTATTCTACCTCCCTTAAGAATCCGTGAATCCTCTTCATCATCATCTGCCTCCCTTTTCATTCGTAGTTTCTCTTCAGCGTCCCGGTCCACTTGTTCCCGTTCTCTCTGCTCTTCTAGCACCTCTTTTCGCTTTTGCGACAGCTCTCTCATGCCAGCATTGCATGCATCTTCTCTGGTCTCTGCAAGCTGCCCTAAAGTCTTCAATTGTTCTACCAGGGATTCGAGTGTTCTCTGATCCGGAATCTGACCTACTCCTCCAAATTTCTCAAGAACGTCGGAATACTGCACGCCAGTCGGCACGAGCAGCTTGGAGACATCAGTATCGAGGTAGCCCGTGGATAGGCCAATTCCGGTAACTGTGCTGGCGCTTGTGCTGAGCGCAGAGCTGGGTGTGGTATTCCGGCTTCTGGAACCTCTAGGCTCGCGGCCTTTGCCCTTGTTCTTATTCCCGAGACCTGGTGGCATCGCGGTGCTGAAGCTTGGAGGTGGCGATCGGAGAAGTGAAGAAAGCTCGGGAAACGCAGCAAATCTTCCACTGAGCCTAGATTGTCTTTCAGCAGGAAGGTAGAGACGTATGACAGGTACCGATGGGTAAATAGCAGGCTGCGCTGCATCGATATCAAGTTCAGCGTGCGGCTTCGCGTTCTGCTTTGGATGTCGTTGAACAAACTTGCCGCACTGACGCCTCTATGCCCCGTTTTCTGGAACTGGCCCGTGCTGAACGTTATTAGTAATCATTCTATCTTACATAACACACAACCTTATTCTGACACGAGAAAAAACGATCGCTTCTCAAGCCACCGTCTGACACGACAAAGCGAGCACCAAAATGCGAATATAGTTACACGAAAGAGGCAGATAATCCGTGTTGCTCCAAGGGTGCTTGTGAGAGATGAAGATGCTGAGACAGACCGCTTTACTTGACAGTTTAGGGATTTTTCTTACGGCTAACATGCTCAAGCTCCCCTCTGTTTCTCGACACCTGGTTGATGGTTCGCTGGAATGATCAATACTCTCTCCATGCTCGCTTGAAAATGACAAATCCATACCTTTCTAAGGGCGTTGTCGATTGCGGTTCCAAAGGAGGTAAAATTCCACCTGAAACCAGGGTAGGGAGTCATGCTGTGGCTTAGACCCCTTCGGGCTTCGACTGTTTGACGGAACACTTCATTACCAAATCATAGTGATCAACCATGGCAACAGCTCCGTGTTGCCGAAAATCCCGAAATTCACACACATCGAACTGGCAATACTTAAGTCATTGAGCGTCGATGAACACGGAAAACCTGAGTGATTTGGAAACAAATGCGCCCACCTGGTGGCGTGAACACGCCATGTATGGAGTAAGCGTGGCATGCTTGTAACCGAGCGCTTGCAGCCATCTTAACAGAAAAAAGACCCGACCGTATTCAATGGACTCACTGTCTTTGCGAATCAATGACTAGCAAGCGAACATCTTGTTTCTGAAACATTGAGGAGTGGCAATTCTCACAGGCAAATACTGCTGTTATTGGAGTTGAAGCTGCTGCTACTCCTATTATCGCCTGGATAAGTGCACTACATACTCCTGGATCGCTTCATCCTGTCCGAAAGTGTCTGGTACGGCTGGTGATCTAGAGCTTGATAAATATAGCTCTCGTCACCCTCAAGTCTCGTGGGTCTGCGAGCCAAGCTTTAAACGCTGATCAGGCTGGGTGTTGGAGCAGTCCGTCTGGGGCATATCGTCTAGCGCTCTCCACGTCTCAGTCCCGGCTTTATCACTCGGATGACCAGAATCTGTCCCGCATCACTTAATAATAGCTGCCATGGCCGCTTGCTTGTGAAAGATATATGGACAAGTTGATCGCCACCCTCCTTGCTCGTTTCGTACCTGAGTGCTCTGTACCAGCCTCGAGGGTGACACCATCCTTGAATTTGATTAGCGCTGAGGATTAGATTTTGTCATCGTATTCAAGCGAGGGAATCCTAGCCCCAGTATAAAGTGCGCAGGCTGGATGGTGTTTGGGCAAAATGATTTGCGGCTGGAGACGGGGCGACTTATAAATTGCTTAATCACATCCCCAAGATCCGCCCACCCGTGCTGGATATATTTCTTATGATAAAATAATATTTCCTCTGCTGCAACTCTCGGATTCTATCGGTGGGAAAGTTATTCGTGAAATCGAGCCGAAACCGGAGTGCTCCCTTCAACATCGTACCTGGGCCCCAGCCCTGGTGTTATATCCTGATATCTCATGGGTAAGTCTGGTCTGGTCGGCCTGGCTCTCCCATGGACTTTCGCTCACGCAATGCCACTTAGCATCGAGCTCCTTTCGAGTCGGCACTCTGGTTTTACCAGGAGAAACATGCGACTCCCCACTACCTCTTAATGTATGGTCATCTCCAGGTTCATCACGGGGCCGCTGAACATTTAAACGCTTACATGAGCCCTGATTTAGGATACCGTCTCTTATCAACTCGATCTTGGTGACAATCTTGTGACGCTTTCTTCAAATGGACCTGGAGAGTCTATAAGTGGGTTACTATATGTGCCCGAGCTCTCTAACGATGCTTGCAATGAGGAGGCGAAGAGCCTGATTCCGCCCAATGTTACCCGACGTTCTGATTTCCCTAAACCCCCATGTGCGCTCATGGCAATCGCTCCTTGGATATCGCCGAACTGTACTCTTGCATTCTTGGATGCAGCAAACGATGATCGTGTAGTTGGTACTGTTCTTTATATCCCCAACAACTCAACAAGCAAACTGCCGATGGGAAATGGTACTATATGGAAGTTGGACGAGGACGATACTTGGAAGTTGAACCACCCATTTCCGGTATATGCTATTCCTGGAGCATACGGAAAGCAACTAGTAAATGAAATCTCCCTATATTCTGGAAATTTGTCATCTGTACCACATGGAGATGCACTTAGCAGCGAATACGGTCCGAACGCACGCGCAAGGATTTTTGCCCGGGTTGATGTCGGTAAGGGAACTCTGTCGTTTATGTCCCGAGCTGAATATATTTACTCACATCCTCCTAGCACGAGGCCGGAGTTTGATGCCAAACCTGTGGATATTTCTTCTGGCAGTTCTCGGAGTACTTATTGTCATTATAATCATATCGTCGATTTTAATGCGGTACATCCAAAGACGACGTCGTCTGTCATTACAGCGCAGGATTCAAGCAGGGGAGGTGGATTTGGAGATGCTGGGCATCAAAAGAATGACTGTTCCTCAGCATATCCTCGACAAAATGCCCCTTTACACTTACTCTAATGACGGGAATATTATGACTCCTGCACCAGCCGTCACAACGGTCTCACAAAACATTGACCAAGCACCGTCACCTACCACTCCAGATAGCAAGAAGCCTGCTGCTATACGGAGCTTTGTTTCGCACCTGTTTGGTAACTCTCGAGGGTCTACTACACTTGCGCAAGCCAAAGGAGGAAAAAGAACGGATGCTCGGACTCAAGCTTTGCCTTCCAATCAGGATGTCGGCCAACTCACATTCTCGCAGTGCACATGCCCCATTTGTCTCGAAGATTATGTCTCTGGAGAAACTACTGTTCGGGAACTTCCATGTCGACACTTATTCCATCCAGGGTGTATTGATACGTTCCTACTGCAAAATAGCAGTTTATGTCCGGTGTGCAAGATCAGTGTCCTTCCAGTTGGGTATTTTCCGGAAACGGTAACAAACTTGATGGTTCGTCAAGAACGACTTGCCAGAAGAATACAAGAAGAACGGGAGCGACAACGAACCAATCCGAGGAATAATACACCGAATATTCCGTTAATCAATCTTCCACAAAACTTGCGCAATAATACGGCGGATAGTACAGAGCGGCAAGAGGCAATGCGTCAGAGAGCAGTTGCTATGCTCGGTAACGAAAGGATGGCCGAAGATGAAGAGCGAGAACGAGCTGCTGCCAGGCCAAAATGTAAGAGCTTAAGTTTCCATTCTTATCATTCATGCTCTCCCTTTCCTTCCTCATCCTGTCAGAATCTAACTTTCTTGATTAGGGCTTAAAGTTGTACACCGATTGTTCCCCATTCTCAGATGACTTCATTGCTATGCCATTACCCCCGACTTTTTATACCAGGAATTCTTCCCTTATTCTTTCTTTTCTTTTTTTTTTTTTTTTTTTTTTGGTTTTTCACATCCTGTTACGTCTCCTTGTATATGCATGCGTCAGGGATGCTTACCGGGGTTATGGCGTTGGGTGGCTGTTCACGGAGCCGGGGTAGTTTATGAGGATTTTTGTATATCTGACATGAGCATTTCTCTCGTTGACGAGTGGAAAGGTATATACGATATGATTGCGGCGTTCCACATACGCTAATGACGATTTAATGATATTTTGTGATCTATGTTATTATTCCTTTGAGCCTTATTATAGATCGTGTTACTCTCTACGAGGGTATTGCTTATTATGGGGGTTCAACATCCTGGAATGCTTGGAGGTTATTGATGGAGAGGTTCCCACCTTGTGAACAACTAACGCCATGGTATAGTTGCACACTTTTGGCCTCAAAGCTTTTCATTATTGGTCATTATAGCACCTGGCGGTACGGCGCGTTGTTTTAAGGCGTAGATAGGCTAGGCAAACTTATCGTGTTTACCTTGAACCCTAACATCCAGGATTTCTTCATGATAATTCCCTTTTCTCCGTGCCTTCCTCAGTCGCTTTACTTCACTGTCATTCAGCCTCCTACCTACAGCTTCCTCTAATTCTTTCCGGCTAATCTTCTCCAACGCCTTGCTTTCTTTTGCGGCTGCAGACTTTGTTGTTGGTTTGAAACGCGCCTGCATCCGGACCCTGAGAGAAGTATTGAATGAAATTTCAGTGGCATCACCCCGGATTTCAATAGACGGCTTGGAAGCAGCTGAAGGAGTTTCCTTGGAGGAAATGAACGCTTCAATATCACCACCACATATCTGAAGTGATATCATGCCTGGGGAGTTCGGACAAGAAATTGGGACAAAGGACTCGAGAGCTGATATCGCGGACGAGTTGGCGCTTAAAATACCATACTTATCGCAGCTAAGATACCTTTTCAAAGGGGCTTCCAGTTAGTTTGTTCTATCCAAATATATGCTAGTAAATCAAAGTAGCCCGTACCTTCCGTGATGTCCTTTAAAACTGATTCCTTCACTCCCTACAACCTTTGTTGCTACCCATACCTGGCGGACGTCATGTGGTTCCGCGGTACCTGGATTCCCTTCTACAATATTCTCCAACTCGCTGGCGAATACCTTTCCGTTGACATCACAAGCAATGCATGACGGTGGAGTTGATGGCAACACAAGTAAAACAGGCCCTGCTATCTCAGCTGGTATATCGGCAGAGACCCAATTCTGGCCATCATCGTCGGCTGGAGCTTCAATATCCGCAGCGGAGGTTTTGTAAGGTTCGGTTGTGGCACTCCCTTCGTTATCATCAGGCTGCCGCTTTCTCTTCTTCGTCTTTTTATCTCCTTTGAAAGATAGAGGCTTGACCATTGCGATTCAGTTCATTGAGAATATGCTCTCTAAAAGCGATTAAAACTCGCCTTTGACGGATCTCATAGTCTCCATTTTGATGTCACTTAGTGGCCTTAAGAGGTCATGGATGGCGCCGCCCGGGCCGCGTCGTCGGTGTCGGAATAACATATATCCTTATTTACCCGCATTGCCCAGGTTGGGGACCTTGCAAGTATGAGATCTACCTTATAAAGAGGGACGACATTCGACTTCATCTTTCGTCTGATCAACATCACGAGAGCGATACAGCACTTTTTAGCCTTAGAGCTACAAGTTCAGATGCCAAATCCGAGCAATAGAGAGCTGAGGTGGTGTTGGTATTCTATCCATTACTGCGATACTAGCTAATGATGATGTCGCGATTGACCACAACAGCCGACGGCGAAAACCTCCAAGGATTGATCCAAACACCTTCCAATACCGTCATGATACCCGATACCTTGATCCAGAAAAAGGCCGATTTTTCTCCGTTGAATCTGGTGAAAAAAGAAAAAAACAATAGGAAAAAGCCCATGTATCTCTTTTTGGTATTGGAAACGAAAGAGCGTCATCCATGAAAGGGCACCACCAAAGAATTAACGATCAACAAAACCAAGCGGCCCGACTCCAAAGTAAAAAGAGGTCGTGAATATGGTTCATTAAGATGATGGCGCCGAATCAAAATTGCATCGGCTGATTTAGTCGAAGGTGATGGCAGCCTTGATGGCAGACTTGTTCTTCATGGACTCGAGACATTCGGCCCACTGCTCAATCTTGAAGGTCTTGTTGACGATACCATTGACTCTGACCTTTCCAGAGTCAAGGTAGTCAATGGCGGCAGGGAACTTGTAGGTTTCACTGAAACTTCCGATGATGGTAATTTCGTCGCCGACTGAGTTGAGAATTAAATTGTTAACAAAGTTGATCCAACATTACCAGGGCAAAGTTTTCAAAAAGCCTGTCAGGAAAAGGATCGACTTACAGATCTTGGAGGGAGCCCAGCTGACACGGTCCTTGTTGGCATAAACGCCATAGACAACCAGCTTTCCACCACGACGGCAGTAGTTGATAGCATCCTCGAGGATTCGGACGCTTCCAGTGGCTTCAACAACGATGTCGAAACCGTATGGGTTGGCAGCTTTCAGGGCATCAAACTGAGCGCTAGGGTCCTCGCGGGAAAGCTCAACGTACTCATCCGCAGCATCAAGGCGTTTGGCAAGGTCCATCTTGAGACCCTTTGGTGCGGCAATGACGACCTTACAGCCACCGTTCAATCTGAGCATCTGAGCAAGAACCTGTTCCAAATTTCGTTATCAGTAACTATACCATGCACCTACATGGGCTGAAAGTCTGGGTGGACATACAAGGCCAGTTGGGCCAGCACCGAACATGAGAACAGTGGAACCCATCTTGGGGCTGATCTTGTCAAGACCGTGAGCAGCACAGGAAGCAGGCTCAAGGAGGGTAGCATCAACGTCCGAGAGGTTTTGGATTTTGAAAACACGGCCAGCTATGAGTCCAAGGAGTCAGAAGGTGGCAATTTCACAGGAACACTCAACTTACCAGGATAAGCGCAGTATTCGGCAAATCCGCCATTCATAGTGACACCATGGGCCTCGAAGTGCTCACAAAGGAGCTCCTCACCACGGCGGCAGTAGAAGCATTCTCCGCAGAGTTCAGAGTTGTCTGCAACAACTCTGTCTCCAATACTGAACCCTTTGACCTTTGGGCCGACAGCAGCAACGACACCGACGGTCTCATGTCCTGGAACCAGAGGGAACTAAGGAAATTAGAAGCTGCTTTGAATTTATTTCAACCGGAAGTTACTAACCTTGGCCAGAAATTCACCCTCATGGATATGGAGATCAGTGCCACAGACACCACATGCCTTGACTTTGATCTACAGAAATTTGTCAGCGGCTTCCCTGTTCCGATCGCTTCCGTACCTGGAAACACGTGCAAGCTTACCATAACATCATTCTCTCTGAGCTCTGGAAGTGGAATGTTGACGATGCTGAACTCCTCAGGCTTGGAGTATCTGCCATTGTGCAAGATAACTTAGCAAGCTGACCTTGAAGTCCCTTAGAGAAGGGGATTGACCCAGGGACGGAAGTTTACCTGAGGGCCTTCATGCTATTTGGGAGTTGAGCGGCCATTTTGATGAGGGATAAAGTTGCTGTATGCGGTACTATCAGCTTGTGGACTTTGCAGAAGGTAAGAGGCGGATGATGATGATGATTATGATAACGATGAAAAGAGCAGGAAGATGACGCTGCTTATAACTCACCTTCTGGAAAGGTTTCTTTTGGCGATGGAGGGGCAGTTGCTGTTGAATGAAGCAGAGGACAAAGGAGAGAGGTCAACCGAGCCGAGAAGAAGATGAGAACTATTTATACCGGAGACAATTTAGTGAAAACAAACATTAAAAACTGGAGGCAGGACAGGAAGATACACTATACCATACGCATACGTGGTACTGACTCTCAACACCAGTGGAGAGAACGGAATCAGGGAGAACCCAATGGAGCTAGTTTATCCACCAACGCACTGGCACACCTCCTATGAACAGTATTAATTGCCAAAGCAGAGGATAGCGAAGGAAAAAGAAACGAGACGAGACAGCTAGCTCCTATACACTGCCGGAGTACTGAGTACAATACGACTAATTCGACATGGGGAAAGCTACGATGTATAAGAGCGGTGAAAACGCACCAGTTCAATTAACTTTTGCCTCCAAGAAGCCCTGGGGTGAGGGGATGATTCGGCTACCTGGGACATATATTATTAAAAGGCGCGTTAGAGGCACAGCGTTTTCGGACAGCTATCTAGATCGGAATCCTTGCCAGTCAACAGATCAACAGAGGACACTCTGGAACTGGACCCTCAACCCAATACAAGCCTTGATGCTCCTTTTTTTCTTCTTCCCCTTTGCCCTTTTTCAACACCTGATTGGCCTCCGTCATACGCAACACAGGCAGAAGTGGTTGGATGTGTGCCCGAATGGGCCGAAGGCGAGCGAGGAACGGCCGCTACAATCTTCAACAGTGGGAAAACATGTGGCTCCTGCTGCTGAAACCCACCAGGCCACATATTGGTGTATCTTATCTCTCGCCCCTCCCCCTCCTCTCCCCACAGAACTGCTCACTAAGTCAGCGACTATACATGAAGCTAGGAGGTATGGACTTAGAAAGGAGGGAGCTGCCGGTAGCCCTGGGAGCCACCGCAGGGAAGTTATTCCAGGGCGAGATTTAACCTGTCTATATATTTCTATCGCCTCCACCATTCGTAAACGAAGGGACCAAAGGAGCATCCCCCCAACAAATCAATGTCCCTGGGGCTTACTATATTTTTACAGAGACTGAATATAACAGATGGCCAACGCATCCTTCTCAAGGCATGACAATCCTGGTCAGTAAGATATACGAGACATTGAGCACCAGTGGTATCCGCATGCAGGCCTTGGGCTCCTTCGACTCTGGTCCAGCCGCCGCCCGTTTCTTCTTGTTGTTCAGCAGCGAGAGAGAAAAAAAAGCGCGAGATAAATGGCACCAAAAAGCAATGAGAGCAAGGAAAAAGAAAAGAAAGAGAAGAGAAAAAGTCTGAATGGGATTGAATTCTGTAAGCCGCCCCACGTTTGGCTCGTGATGTGCTTAATTTTATCATTTATGATCATTATATTATTGATATCCGAAAGTCAACAGCTTCGGCGGAGCATTTTTGAATCTCGAACATTTTCACCTTTAACATACTTTCTTTTTCTCCCTCGCGAGGCATGTTCTATTTCCATCAGCTGGTTGGCAGCTAGTGCCCGGGCGATCCCTAGCCTGAAGTGTCCTCTCAACAAGACAGGTCTTAACTGGCGATATCAGCTGGCGAGGGTGCTTACTCACGTTCTTAGTAACATGAGGACTTATATCAACAAAAGTGCTATCAAAGCAGCCACCCCCCTCATGACCAAAGCCTATCGACATCCTTGTGGATTCGGCGACGCAGTGCAACCTATGATATTCTTACGTGGGCCATGAAAGAAAACACCGAGCCTTTGTCTGCTCGTAAATGGCGCGACCAATTCGACAAACACTGGCAGGGCGGAAAGCTAATGCCAGAATAACGTACCAACAACCATTGATACGCCAGACTAGCTCAAGCAAAGTCCAATAAGCTCAAGCTCATTCAGGGCATGTGAGTTTAGCTGTGCTGGTCTGAAGAATATGGGGGAATGGCTGTCCAGCCTCGGCCACATGAAAATAGCAAACCAACTCTAGAAGACGGTTGACTAGGCCAGGCCATACTTATAAAAACCATAACTCCGGAAGTTGCCAGTACCAGCAATATACTCCGTACCCTAGAACGGAGCTCGATGCAGGAAAAGAGAGAATAGAGATGCCAGGAGAAAATAAGTAACAAAAGGAGTGTCTATCTATATTTAGCTGTCTTTACAGCCAAAGTGAGAATAAACAAATAATGGGAACATGAGCCATACAGGCTTCATGTACAGGAGGCCCAACCGTTCATTGCAGCCCAAAACCTTCGCTATCAACTACCGCGCGCCAAAGTTTCTCTTCAAATTTCTGCCGGGTTTTGTATCGATACAACCCAAGTGCATTGAAACAGGTCCGCGCTGTTGGGAATCTCTCTGAGTCCGGACCCAGGCACATGAGCCTAATGACTAGGTTGACTGCTCCCATGGCGGGGAGTCTATCGCTGCCCGTAATGAAGCTGAGTATCTTACGTTGATCTTTAGCCGGGGTCCTCTCAAAGAAATCCCAAAACCAGTTTACGACTGGTTCCCGGTCTGGCGAGGAAGCTGGCCAGTGCTCATACATTGCTACCCCACGCAATGATGGAATATCAAGTGGCTCTTCCGAGCCGCGGATAAGAAGCTCAATTTCTTCAGGTTTAAAAAGATGCAGTGCGTTTCCTCCACAGACAGTAAAGAATCCGCGTCTAAATGGTTCGAACTGTCGGCATACTGCCCCGTCAATGATGTAACGCACGTAGAGATCCACAAACTCACGACGATTTTCATTCGTCACAGGTTGATTCTCTCCCCCAGCACATAAAGGAACTTGGATCGTCTCGCCATAACGTTCAACTTGGACTACGAAGTCCTGACAAAAGGTTTCAGCAACATCTCCGTCATATTCTAGGAGCTGTCGTAGGCCCTTTGCCAACGCAGGTCGAAACTCGGCTAAATCATCTAGGGTAGGCTTAAATGGCTGAGGCGGCGATGACAATGTAGGTGTAACGTTTGATGGTGAATATGCCAATAGTTTCCGGAAGGCAAACGGAGGCAACGCAATATCAAGAATGGTCGAATTGTATATTGCTAATCCTAGAACCACGCCGACCAGGAAAAATTGCTCCGACGACTCGAAACAGTATGGATTGAAGTAGCAATATTGGGAATCCTCATCATATAGAAAGAGGCCTGCAAGGTGATCATTAGCTATAATGTCTCAGCACCTAGGATGCATATGCAGTTAAACATACCATGAAGAGGGTCGAAAACCTCCCTCACCAGCAGGAGAAACCACTCCTTACGTAAACCACCGGCATCAATGCCTTCTTCACCCGCAAATTCTATGCGCAGCCCCTTTTTGATATCTTCCTCAGCAGACCCAATAACAGAGCTTACGCTTTGTAAACTATCTTCAGCCAAACAGTCCCTTCGGACTTTCAGTACAAGGTACTGGCTTACTCCTCTTCGACCAAGGATAGTGTCAAAGAATGCTTCCCTAGCTTTTGCCTCCATCTGTCGACGGGCATCGTGTTCCATAATTTGTATCTTGGCCCATATGCTGAGCAAAAACGAATATTGGCAGAAGGAAAACTTTCCACTACGAGATTCCCATGCTTCGAAATCTAGAATAAGATCGGCATAGTCAAGTCGTGCATTATAGAAATAGCTTATCGGAATCTTATTCAAGCGATTGCTATTCGGCTCGGAGACAGAGGAAGGTTCTCTTGCACTTGGGCCACCCTCGACTTTTCGGCTATTTCCTGTACCATTAGCTCTGAAGAGAAGGGCCATAACACGAGCAGCAGCACGAATTTGCCAATCGTCTGCGTAGCTGACCAGCTTATTTTCACTTGCTGGAGATTTCTCTGGGCTTTCTTGAAGGGCTGTGTGCAATTGTGCATGCGTGACGGTCCCCGGTGCAGAAAACGTAGGGACATATCTCCCAAGATTAAGTCCATTCTCGGCCTTTGCTGATTGTCGCTTGTGAGATTTGCCGAGCCGAAAAGTAACAAATCCATTGACAACCTCTACCAATCTTTGGAAATGACTCGGCATAAGCCGTGAGAACCATCCCACAAATGAATGATGGCACTCATTAGGTAGATTGGAGATTAGCCCAAAAATTCTTTTTAGGGCGGAGTATCTGAGACTTGATAACTCACTACCGCCTGCGGAGGGTTGAAGACGACTGCTCTTTTCAGGGGAAGGTTTGCTATATGGTGAAGTGGATAGGCCTGGTGGTTTCTGGTTGTGTTGAGTTATCACCGTTGAGGGAGAGGCGCCAGATGGGGTCCTGGGCATAGAGCCAGAGGAGTATAGAAGTGGGTTTTCAATTAGTATAAGTAGGAACCGAGTATCATCCGGACGTATTAGCGGTCGTTTCGGTCGTTGGAGCAGTTTCTCTGTAGCTCGTAGCAAGGTCTTTCGAACTATAAACCTTGACTCCATAATTACTTCATTAAGTTGAGCCAGAACGTCTAAGTCCTTGGTAGGGGAGGCATTTTGCTCGCCCATATCGGGTAAATCAAGGATCATACTATTCCAAGAGTCACCTGCATGTATAACAAGATGGTACCATTCTAGAAGCTCTGGCCAGTTGATTCGAGGCGACTTTGAATTGGTGAGACTGGTCTTCGTTCCGTATGATTTTGATGACTGACCATTATTTGGTAACTGACTTTTTGGTGAACGCCGGCTTTCCGCCCACCATGACGCATTCTCGGCGAAATTACCAAGGAGAATCGTCTTTTCATCAAGATTGGACACATGATGATCTCCAGGGGTTGCTGATGACACAGAGGCTTTTCTCCCTACTGATTGTTGTGAGCCCTCACTCGCTGCCCGATGGTAACAGGTTCTGCCGGTTATAAATGAGTTATTAAGCGTATCACAGCCATCAAAGCAAGTCGTGATGTATTGCTCTAATGCACGAAATACGGTGGTCGGACCCTTAACATCGGCCCCAGAGTCTCTACTTCTCTGGTCTAGCCGTTGAGCGGCGGAGTCTATCCGAATGCCGCGTGCGCCATTAGCAGGCGTATAAGGAAGCCCCATGTTATCAACTTTGGCCTTTGATTGGGGCGAGGTTCCAGAGGTAGATGGCACATCAGATACCAGCACGGAAGGCATATTGGTGTCATCCTTGTCACTCTGAGGGTAAACTGGGTTCTGCTTGGACAGCTCGGCTTCATCTTGCACTGGACCGCTATGATCTGTCTTCGGCCGCGCTTGACGGACTCGGTGCTCACCAAGCTGGGTGGAAAGAAATGAAATGAGGCATTCCTCGATTATACTCCGAGTTTCCTCTACGGTAACTGCAAGATAGATATTGGAATGTGCAAAAGAGACAGGGTGTTGATCTTGATTGGCACTCACCTCTAGCTTGCGGTTGCTGAATATTATCTGGATGCAGTTTTTCATCTGGCTTACCACGCCGCAGTCTGCTGCTACGGTAAGGTTCCAAATCATTCATGGTTGCGCATTTTCCGCATCGGAACCCCTTTTTGGTGTAAGGGAATGCATTGGTATGATCGCATGTCATACATTTGCGTTTCCGGTACTCTTCCATATGGTTGTCGGAGCCAGCACGTTTCTGAGGGCTACAGGACCGCGCATTTGTAATGACAGGATGTAATCCATCTTCGCCATCTGTAGACTCAGAATCTATGATGTCTCTACTCCCGCCGCGGGCTTTTCTTCCCTTCCCAGCAAAAAATGCCGGAAATGGATTGCTGGTAGACCGGGAATGGCCACGACGAACAGGAATAGCTCTTGACTGTGTTGTAGATTGGTCTGGAGGAAGTAATAGGGTAGATGGATCGAGGCCTGACGATGGCCGGGGCGCCGGGTTGCTCTCCATGGCGGGAGGCCCGGCGTTCGCAGGTCTGTTGTTGTGATGGGTGAAGCGAGAGACCCACGTCGGCGCCATTATTCCCAATTCGACGCTCGATATCGCACACGTAAACACTATTATGAGCTCTTAGAGACTTCAACAATAGGGGTAGCCAGGTGTCCCAGTAGTCTCTTTCAAGTAAAATATATCACTCGCGGTCTGCCGTCGGTCTCAAGCTGGCCTTCACCAGAAAGTTGGCAAGCACAGCAACAACCATGAGGGCGTGCAGGGCGCAGATCTGGTGACGAGGCTGGATAACAGCACCGGGAGGCGTTGTATGTTTCTTCTTCTCGAAATCGATGTCGATGGCCGCCGGTCTGTCTCAGAGCTGAAACCGAGACGGCCGCCGCAGGGCAGCAGTGCTCAATTCAAGAGCAGTCGTTGTCAAGTATTATTCGTCTTCCCGCCGTGTCCCGAACAACGAGGCAGCAGCACTTTGGCCGGCAGAAGCAGCATCCTGGGCCTGGTAGCACCGCCTTCCTGGAGAGTCTGCGTATCTGAAAGCCCGACGAAAGGTGCGCTCAGCTCGGGCTGAAAGGTGGGAGGAGTGTTTGGTCGAAGCTGAGGACAGTTAATGCGCCTTTGGTGGACGAAGGTTAGTTTAGTTAGTTAGTTACGTGGAGGCGGACGGAAGGTCTTGGTTCTGACATCAGCCACACCCTCCATCACTCGTCGCTCAGCCCCTGGGCCCTGGGCAGTTAATTAGACGGAGGTTGATCACCACTTAAAACTACCGATGCGAGCACCATGGTGTCTGGAAGTGTGCTACGGGCAGGCTTGGGCAATCATAGGCACTCATAGGCACTCATCAAGATAGGGATTAGCCCGTGGATGATACTACAGAGGGTTGTGGGAGGGATAGTTTGTTAAGCTGAATTGGCGGCATATTTTTGAGGGTCATTTCATAGCCAGGAATTATATCATTTCTTGGTATGACATGCATTGATCAACATGACGTGAGCAGTTGCGCATGCTTTGGAGAATAAGATAGAAGAATTTTGGTAAAACATGACAACAAAATTGAAAACCCGCAAAGCCCAAACCATTCATTACATTTAACGGTATCTCCAGAAGTTCTGGGTGTTGAGTCGTTTCCAGGTCTTCCGTCTGCCGGCGGTTGTCTTGTTGTAGCCGTGACCCTTGTTGAGACCACAGGACTTCTTGCCGGTGGCAGTAAGACCACGGGATTCGCGGTGCTTGTGAACGGGGTTGACAATCCAGTTGATGCGAGGATCCTTGCGGATGGCCTTGTGCTGAGGGTCAACGAGGATGATCTCGTAGTACTTGTAGGTAGAATCTTGGTTGATCCAGTAGGAGTTGAGAACACGCAAGTTGGCGCATCGCTTTCCAACACGCTCCTCAGCGGTGGATCTGAGGGATCGCTGGTACTTGAGCTGGTTGACACCCTGGTTGGTAGGTTTGCGGCGTTATGCAATCCACGGGGTAATCCATACCGTAGGTAGCACCCTTGCGAGCGGTTCTCTTGCGGCCACCGCGTCTCACACGGATGCGGTAGATAACGTAGCCCTGCTTGGCCTTGTATCCGAGACGACGGGCCTTGTCAGGGCGAGATGGGCGGGAGGCGCGGTGGATGACATTGAGTTGACGAAGCTATATTAATGCACTCTCAGCAATGTTCAACGAGTGTATAGCAAGGCACGCTGCAAAATCAACGGCAACATGTGCATATTTTGTGTGTGCCACAGAAATCAAAAGACGATTGAAGCGGATTCCTCTTCGGCCATGGTCCTCGTCGGATCGCTGTCGACAAACTCGGTCCAGGTCTTTGAATGATGAATCGGTTCGCTCGGACTAGGGAAAGGACGGTAGGGTTGTTTTTCTCACCTCCCAGCATCGGACGCGCAGGAGGAAGCGCATCACATCGGACTGCTTCTTCTTCTGAAGTTCTTCCACATATTTAAGGGCACCCATCTGCAGTCAAGACACGATCCTGTTAGCTTTGCAACCCAATTCCACTCGTAGCACTGGACAGGCTCTCGGAAAAAACATGTCTGCCGGCAGTAGTCCAAATCAGAGACAGGGAGGGCATCTTACCTTGACGTCGTGGAGCGGTTGGCCTGGTTGTTGCTGTTTTACTTACCGTCGTTCAGGCGTTGGAAGATGTCGAAAGTGCGACTTTTTCTTTTGTGTGGGCGGAAACTGGAAAAAAGTAAGCGAGGTAGCGCAAAGTCTTGGCGTCACGTGACGCATTAACGACGGGAGGCATAGAAAAGAAAAAAAAAATAATGGATGGGATGACAGCTAAGATATGAACTATGAACATCGTTGGTTGATAATGGTACATGATGGTGCGAGGCGCGTGGCCTCATAAAAAAGATATCTCCTCTGCTTCAGTTTGCCCGAGGCAAGGCCTTGACGAGCTCATACATTCCCCTTTGCAGATGGCGTGCCACGATCCCCCAGCTCTGAGGCTTGATGCCGTTGCCAGGGCCTTCATTCAGAGCGTCTCTTCCCATGTCAAGCATTGCCTGCAAGTTGATGTCATTCAAGAATGCCTCCTCCTTTCTATCTCGCAATTGACCTTTGTGCCCGTTATATACCAGCTGTTTCTCTATTGCCAGTGCGGTTGCTTCTGCGCCCCGAGCAATAAGACGGCGTGCCTCTGCTGTGTCTTTCTCAAGTCCTTCCTTTGGGTCCTGGGGAAGCTTGGCTTTTAGTGCATGGGTACCAATGCTGTCTAGCTCACTGACTAGATTACGAGCAGACTCAAGGAGTCCCTGCGTTTTGAGGTATAGAGGGTGGTTGGCTGCAGATTGCATGCTATCCGATATTACAGTTTTATCTCCGGTACCGTTCGAGGTTACATTGGCCTTAACTCGCCTGGATGATAGAACTGCTATCATCAAGGAAGAGAACTGGCATTGGAAATTCTCATCTTCGTTGTGCCTGTCTTTCGTTTAGAACTTTTTTCCTCTTCCAGTGGAGTGGAATACTCACCACTCCTCATCTTCTTTTTCGAACATGTTCTTGAGTCTTCTCTCCTCAGTTCTCACTTTTTTTTCCATGTCCTTCGCAAAGGTGTCGCTTTTCCCTGCCTTTTCGATCGCCATCTGCAGATTCTTCAATGCATTGCTAGCCACATCAAACGCTTAGCTGTCGAGCGTAGTGACTATTGGCGAAATTTTTGTCCTTTCCCTTACCGTGCATCATCTAAGCCATTCTGGCCGTTGTCAGATATATCATCTTCATCGGATACTTCCATATCGCTGCCGAACGCATCGCTTATGCTCTCATGTCCGCCCGGACGAGATGGCGGTACGCTCCCTTTTGAATTTAGCCTCGCTCTTTTGGGCTCAGCCTGGTTGGAATTTTGCATTAAAATGCTCCCTAACATTAGATAGATCAGCATTTGTTATCTATACATCATCTCCTGGCTTACCAGTACGCTTAGCCCGACCCATGGTTTAACTTCTCTGCCCTGTTTTTTGTCTACCTTATGTGCAATACTCCTCTACCGGCTAGGTCATTCAAATATGAAGTTTTTGTTTCTACCATCGTCCTCTAGATGAATGGTTGGACGTCCAAATAAGGCGTTACCTAGATAGGCCGGGCGGTGTGCTTTCTGTACTTTCTGCCACAGAATGTATTTTTTATTTTTTTTTTTTTTTTTTAATTTCTTTTAATTAAGCTATTCGGTTTTATCCTTCTTTTCTTTCTTATACAACTCATTTATATCCATCTCCCCCATTTTTCTGGCAATGATCTATAAAACATTCAGGGATCTCCAGTTCAGAGGCAAGCAACAATCGTTCCGCCGCTCTGAATTGTAGGTTGGTTGACCAATGAAAGGGTTGCGATACGTGGCTATCATGTATTACATAATCAACTTTATTTTTGCGGCGCGTTGGTCTTTGATAAAACTTCCATGCTTGAACATTTGAAGACATCGATCGTATCTCGAGTCGAGCTCCCGCATTCCAATATGGCGTCTTTGCTAGGTGCACAATATGATTCCTCGAGTGACGATGATATGGGCACTGCGGCCGCTCAGTCAAACCCGACGCCTGCGATAGTTGCAGCTCCAGATGTCCCAGTAGAGGTTTGGTCCCCTTTGGTCATATTACTAGACCTCAGTTTAAAGGAGATTGTCTATTGTTTGGCTCCGTTGCTAACATTTTCCATAGGGTCCTTCACAGTTGCACCTAATGCTGAGAAAACCAACCGATACGGCACTGACATATAATGCAACCTACGATGACCTCACGCGGCCTCAAGCTGGTCCAGCGAACCCATTCAAGACTGAAAACTCTGGAGTTAAGAGAAAAAATGTATTGACCGGATACGCTGAAGAAGCCGCAATAAGCGAGGCAACCTTCGTCACCCAACAGCGCACTTTCCAGAGCTTAGGCTACACCAAGGATCCAACCCAACCAGGGGCCTTTGTAGGAAACATGGAACAGGTGGCTCGCTATGGGGGAAAGGATGTGGTGCAGATGCGACCGTCCAAGGAGGAGAGTGCAGCTATACGGCGAAAACGGCAGAAAAAGGGCGATTCGAGCATTGTTGAAGGCGAAGGGGCGTATCTAGGTCCTTGGGCAAAATATGAAGCCGATGAGCTAGCTGACAGGGAAGCCGAGGCTCTGGCGGAACTGGGCAGCGATGAAGAATATATCGAAGAGGGAATCGTTCCGTCCATGCCGGCAATGGATAAAAAGGCTACAGCTTACCAAGAAGATTTGTCCCGCACGGAAACAACAGAGTTCCACGGCACAGAAGAGCGCGACTACCAGGGCAGAACATATATGCATGTACCACAAGATCTGGACATCGACCTCAAGAAGGAGCCAGGAAGTGTGAAGAACTACATACCAAAGAAGCTGATTCACACCTGGAAATCGCACACGAAGCCCATCACCTCATTGCGCTTCTTCCCTGGTTCTGGTCATCTTCTGCTTTCATCTTCGGCGGACTCGAAAGTAAAGTTATGGGATGTATATCATTCACGAGAGCTTCTCCGGACATACTCCGGACATGCAAATTCAGTATCGGACACCACTTTTGATCCAACTGGAGCCACTTTCCTTTCTGCCTCATATGACAGACAAATCAAACTCTGGGACACAGAATACGGGAAATGCATCCAGCGCTTCTCTACTGGAAAAACCCCTCATGTTGTCCGATTTAACCCTGACCCTGACAATTCCCACGAGTTTCTTGCAGGCATGTCTGACAAGAAAATCATTCAATTTGATATCCGTTCCGGTGCTATTACCCAAGAATACGACCACCATCTTGACGCTGTCAACACAATCACCTTTGTTGATAACAACCGCCGTTTCATCTCCACCTCCGACGATAAATCGCTTCGTGCTTGGGAGTACAACATCCCAGTACCTATCAAATTCATTGCTGAACCACATCTCTATGCCCTTGTCCGTGCTGCTCCACACCCTAACGGCAAGTACGTTGCTTTCCAGTCCGGAGATAATAGTATCGTCGTCTACGGAGCAACGGATAAATTCCGTCAAAACAGGAAGAAATTATTCCGAGGACATAATAACGCAGGTTATGCGATTGATGTTTCAATCAGTCCTGATGGCCAGTTTGTCACATCTGGTGACAGTGGTGGATATGTTTGCTTTTGGGACTGGAAGACGGGCAAGATGTGGCACAAGATTGAAGCGGGAGGAAAGGAAGGTTCTGCGATTACATGTGTAGACTGGCATCCTCAAGAGACTAGTAAAGTGGCCACGGCTGGGTTGGAGGGAGTTATCAAGTACTGGGATTAGTTGTAAACTATGGTCTAATTCACGTCGGGCATTTTGTGGCGTTTTGTATCATTTTGGGATGTGAATTATGCTACGCTATGGAATTATATAACGAACTCCTTACCTTGCACTCGGAATATGGCGCAAAATCTAAATATCAACGGCTACTTCTGGATAACTAGTAAGTCAAAACAACTGATAATGGACATGAACATATTGTTGCTATAAGCAAGCCATCCGGAGAAGAACACCATGCTAAAGTAAGGGTATCAATGACATAATAAATACAGTAAGAGTAAAGACCAGGTCGACATCAAGTTCAACAAATACTCCAGCCCACGACGGTGTCTTTGCGTAGGATTAAAAAGTAGTCATATCAATCCAGCTTGCGACAAAACCAAGCCTCTTCCCTCTTTCTCCTTGCATCCGCATGGCAAACTCTTCGAAATTGAGCTTAGCTCCTGATCCGCCTCGTTCCTTGGCTTCTTGTTCAGCTAGATTTAATTTTGCCCAGCGGGATAGAATCTTCGGGGAGGGCGGTGGTGAGGGAAGCACGGCATTCTTCACAGAAGGGGCAGAAGATGAGGATGCTACGGATGAGCCCGAGTTACTTCGCGTACGATTTGGAGGCGGAGACTGTTGGAAGCGAAGCCGAAGGGGTAATGAGCGATTGCGGGACCTACGCTGGCTTGATAGGCGAGGGTGAGAAGGCCCGGAAGTTGATGTTGACGTTGATGCAGATTCGTATATAGGGTGTGGCTCCGCGGAATGTGGCCGGGATGAGTGATGTGCTCCATGAGGCATATGCTCCAATGCGACTAGGTCTTCCTCATTGGGTCGATTTTGTGGGAGAGTAGGGTCTGGAGGCAGAGGTATATTGTTCTCGGAAGACGACGGCGATTCGGTGTCGCCCTGGAAATTATTGCTTTCAGGTGCAATGGGCATGTAATCAACTTCATGATCACTCAAGTGGTCAGATATTACGCTGCCTTCTTGCTGGGATGAATAAGCCTGATCAAGGCCGTTATCCTCCTCGCGTTCGACTTCCTCCAGGAATTCTGGGTCGACTGAAAAACCACTCTCTTGAAGTAGGTCTTTCAGAGACTTGTTCCCAGCCGATTCTGGATCGTCTGTGTCATCCCCATTTGGATTCCTGCGATTACAATTCTTGATATCCTTGACTCGATACCCTCTCTCCTGGAATCTTTCAATTTCCTTGGCCCATCGTTTCCGTTCGGTACGGGTACGGTAAGCTTCCATGAGGAGATCCTCCTTTGGCTTAAAGATGAGATCCAAAAGCTCGTTCAACCCCTGCTGAGTGACTTGATAGAGTATCTCTTTGCCTGCATCCCTTTCCACTTCTGGGATCTCATAACCACCCCATCGTTCACCCAGTTGGATGCTGCGTGATGATGTAGATTGGTTTGAGCGAGTTTCGTACTCGTTGTCTGTTACATCATCTTGGAAGCGAACTTTTGATGAAGACCTTGACCTTGTGGTAGGGTTATGCCAATCCGAGTCCTCATTACATTCCCCATCCGAGGCCGCTGCTTCATAGTCGTCCTCATTTCCCTCGTACATTGGTCGTCCACTTGTGCCCTCCTCCTCCTCAAGGTAGAATGCCCGTCGCCGCCATCTCTCTTCAATGCCCTCTCGCCTGATATTCGACTGATGTTGAGCGTCTGCAGCATTTAGTCTCTCGATAAGACAGGTTCCGATCCTAGCCCTATCAACAAAGTCCGTTACATCCTCTAGGGGTACATATGCCCCAAGAGCATTGATAATATCTTCACGTTGAACGTGCTCGGCGGGGGGCCAGTTCAGGAAGTTCTCGCAAGGATAGGAGCCAGCACAGATAAGATCGAAGCCGTCTCCATGATCAGCGGACGAGTCGCTTGACCTAGGCCCATAGTATGGTCCTTGAGTTGTATTATCTGACCTAAATGGATTTCGCTGACGATGGCGGTTGGGTCCAAGTCTATCTCTGAGAGCTGCATCACCTAGAACAATGTCCCTATCACCCGTTTCATCGCCATCTTCTCTTACTACAGCCTCATTATCTATGACCTCCAGGTCACCCTGTAAATTCGTACGTTTGCCTTCACCAACTCTGGATCGATCTGATCCGGGTATGGTTCCGGGAAATGCAGCACTGATGGGTTGACTTCCCAGTACCACGTCTCGAGAGCCGCTCTCCATAAAATCATCCTCTATGCCGGACATCATATCTCGGGTTAAGTCTCTGCTCAGGGTATAATACGCTCTGAATATTCGTAAGAAATCTTTTCGCTCCACATAACCATCCCTGTCTATATCATAAGCCGCAAATATTCGTCTCAGCCGTTCGTGCATGCTCTTGTTTCCAAAACTTGCCAGGCCCTTCAAGAACTCTTCGAACCCGATGAGTCCATCGCCGTTGGTATCGTAAAAGGAAAACATCCGGTCATAGATAAGGCTTGGTGGAGGAGGCCGGTTAGGGATAAAGCACCGGTCAAATGTCTTTCTATCAATTGCCAGCGGAAGGCCGTTAGGCTCTTCGGGCCATTCAACATTTGCGAGACATCTAAACTGGTCCCAAAGCGCGTCGACTTCGGTATTCTCAAAATTCGTTTCCTTTTTGAGTCGCTTTGCTACATTTCTCGGAAGCGTTTGAGGAAGCATATTGGGCTTCCCTGGGTATAAAACTGGCTGGACCTGCTTTACACTTCCCAGCGATGGAGTAGGTATTCGGACTTTATAAAACAAATGCGTGAGAATATGAACTTGGGAGGCTTCGCACGCCTCGCAGAGGTCATAGTCAATGCAGTTTGCACAGCGGTATCTGATCCCTTGGATTGGCATGACACCACAACTGTTACACGTTACTCCTCGATGTATATAGCCATCACGCCTTGCTTGGTCCTCAGCTATATGGTAGAGCAAATTAAGTAGATTTTGCCCTTCTCTCGGTGGGGCTGTGTCATTGGTGCCGTCTCTCCATGAGAAGAGGCTTTGATCATCTATGGTGGTGTCTCCTATCTCAGGCTGAGGTGGAGGGGGAGGAGGCTGTTCTGCCGGCATGGCATTGGTGTTCACCACCAAGTTTGCATCCTCCTGGCCTACGGGCCGTTCAGTGTCGGGTTGTTCACCAAAGTGCGGATTCTCGTTAAACCGCGTAAAGGCATTGTTGACAGCAACCTCTGAAATTCCACGAGATGTAAGCTCATTAAGCAAATATCTCCATTCCCCAGTAGAGAGAAGGATAACATGCGATGGTGGGAACTCAGCTATCAGAAACCGAGTAAGAAATTCATCCTCTATCATATGGCGCATCAAGCTTGCGCTCTCCAGGCTGGCCCCGATCTCCAGCTGTATGGTCTCTACGGATGCCAGCTGCGAAGGCAAAAGAGGACATTGCAGAGTATGTTCGGCGTCAACACGAAGCGTGAAATGGCCGTAACTTCTGCCTTCTCGTTCACGCTGAGCCAGCGCAAGCGAAGGAGCTAGCGGACTGGACGATTCATACGTCTCTCCGCTGGGCAGAGATATCCCGCCCCGTCTCTGGGAATGTCTTTGGTGTCGTACCGCATTTCGCCTATGGAGGGTCTGGGAAGCTGTCGGCGAAGAAAAGAAATATCGATGGAGCTGCGTGAGGGCGAGAGTGCCGGCAAACGCAGCGACGATGAAAAATGTCCGGCGATAGGTCAGGGCAGAGGTCCCGTCGATAGCGGAGGGAGCGTTGGAGGACGACATTCTCGACAGCGGTGGATGGCTAGAGGGAGCGAAGCATGGCCGTCATATCTCGCGATATAGCATATCCCCCACGCACTTGCATGCGACTGTGTAGCTGTTGTTCTGGTTAGTATGGGGATGTTGTTGCGGTTGAAGATTTGACACCAGCAGTTTGAGTTAAGCTGGCGGTGCTGTCACTTTTCAAGGCGTAGCTTGGACAGGAAGATCTCCACCGTGCCAAAGTTAAGTTGACCTATGTCTAGCTACAGTCAACTACATATGATCAAATGTCCACAGCAAGTCCTCTCCTCTACTACTCGAGAGATGAGCTGCGGTTACTATTTCACTCTGGTCAAACGAAGGTATAGTGTGAAGACAATAATCACAAGGTTATTCGCATCGTACCTCTCCCTCATATCACATCTTAGAACTGACAAATATACGAAGAATAGAGTCAGATGTCAAGGACACAAAAGCCATGAAAGAGATATTTTCTATAATTTTTTAACTGGGACTTATTAACCCGAAATATGCCTGATGATCTAGTTTATAAAAAGCGAACGTCTAACAGGAAAGCCGAGATATCCTACCTTTTAAGGAACGGTTTCTATTTTGAGCCATGCAGTCGACGATGATCTATGCGCTTAACTTTTGTTCTCGGATGAACACAGCGCTGATAAATGATAGGAAAACAAGGATGGTCATAAAGCCAAACGCCGTTGTCGTTGAACGGCCATAGCACTCTCTAACAACTTCCCTTAACTGCGGGTCAAGGTGTTTGATGTAATCAAGACTCTGCCTGACACCGTCCACAATCTCATCGATGTTCTTATTACCCTTCAGTGCAGAACGCAGGGAACTCCTGAGGAATTGCTGGACAATGCTGGCGGAGAGAGATATTGAGATGACTGACCCTAGCGATCGGAATAGGTATGAGCAGGCTGTGGCGACAGCTTGGTCTTCAGGGGAAGCATTTGCAACTAGAACAGTTAGCGATGATTTTCAAGCACAGAAGGTATGGAAATGGTATATACTTAATGCAATCAGTGTCGTTGTAACCCCAATGCCGTTTCCAAATGCGCACATGGTCATGCCGATGATTATCATCGGGGTACTATTGGCTATGATACCGGAGAATAAGGTAATCACAACAAGGCCAACAACCAATAAACCATATGAGTAGAAGGTGATCCAGTAATATTTGCCGGTCCTCTTCATCAACCAACCCCCAAAAAGTGATCCAGATACTCCCAGCAGGATGGATGGCAGAAGCTTAATTCCAGCACTGGCAGCAGAGCTACCATCACTAGCCTGGAAGAATAACGGGATATAGAAGATGGCAGCAAGCCATCCACCAAAACTAAAGAAGTTGGTCAGGTAGCATGCTACTAAATCACGGCCGAATGTGATGTGGAGGGGAGCAAATGGAGCGACGGCGAATCGGCCCTCGACGACCATGAATAGAATAAATGCCACTGCAGATACAGACAGCGATATGATCGTTAGAGGCATGGTCCAAGAAACATTCCCTCCCCGATCTAACCCAAGGATGAGCCCAAAGACGGCGACAACGAGAACGAATGCTCCAATAAAATCAACTCGCTTTAGCTTCTCTTTCCAGTTTGACTGATCTGTTGCCGGCATCTTTAGAGTGAGCCCTACGACAACGAATGCAAGTAAACAGCAAGGCCCTTGGGCAAGAAAAGCCCTAAAAAGGGAGGTCAGTAGATGAGATTTCTGCCACAAAGTACAAGGGCAATGAACTTACCAGCGCCATCCGATAGTATCCGCTAGAAAACCACCTTTATACCATTGATGTTAGCTTCAAGGTTTAAGCAATACCGCTGCGCCATTGCTTACCCAGAGGAGCTCCGAGACCAGACCCAGCGGACCAAACGATATTGATGACACCTTGCCATACACCGCGGTCCCTCAATGGAACAATATCACTCATGATAATACTGACCACGGTAGATAGACCTCCTCCTCCAATGCCTTGGAACACCTATCTCTCAATGAATGAGCCAGTGACACTTAACTAGTGGGTATCGCTAGAGGAGGAGGAGGATCTTACCCGTGCAGCGATCAATTGCTTAATGTTCTGAGCCAATCCGCACAATACGCACCCCGTGCCGAAGATAGTATACCCAAACAACAGACATGCTTTTCTTCCGAATATGTCACTCAAGCGGCCGTACAACGGTTGAAAGGCGGTCAGCGATAGAAAGTACGAAGTAGCAATCCAGCTGGTCAAATTAAGAGCATGGAGGTCACTTCCAATTTTACCGTAGCTCGCAACGATAATAGTCTGATCAGCGGATGAAAGGAAGACCTAGTTGCGTGACTCATTGTTAGCCTGATGAAGGTCTGGGGAAACGTTCAATGGATTTGTACTTACTCCGATGGTGATTGCCGGGACAATATACTTGAGTCGCTTCTGCAGCTCCGGAACACCCTTAAACTGAGCAATTCTTGCGTCATCAATCCCATTAACACCGGCTGTCTCCTCATCTGGCTTCGGCTGTCCATTGCCAGCCCCTATTCCCGCGGTCGACGGGCCGTTTAACGAGTCATTCACCGCTCGGGTACCTAGCAACGGCGATGTCTCAGTTGCTGGTGTGCGAGAATCATCGTCAGCAAGATGCGATGTCCTCATTGTGACGGCCACAGTCTCCGTACAGTCCTGACACTCCAGTTAGAAAGTCAGAAGTCACACTCACTCCCTTCAACGAAATTTCTCCCGGAGTCGGGCCCGGCGCCTCAAGACGCTTTAAATATATTTAAGCAGCGTCAAAGCTGCTCGGTAAGCAAAAGTGGGGCCGGCGCAAGCCCCGCTTCGAGTCTTATCCGGCGTCTCGTATTAATAGAAGGACGACCAACCAGAGCCGAGGAATTGCTGAGCTTTGTTGCTGGTAGCAGCCATAAGCTGGGACTCTTCGGCGTGTAGTTCAGTCGTTATATACTTGCTTACCTCTCCAGCTGGAGCTGACCTGTGTAACAAAGTTCTTTTTCCACGTTATTTTAAAGCAGGCGGCTCGGCGGCAGATAGATACATCACACGTGACAATAGCAAGCGCCTATTAATGAAAACTCTGCGGCTAAATAGCTCATAGCACGTGCCACTTACAAAGAGAGCTCCTGGAGAGGATATCAAAGTATGGAGTACGGAGTAATAGTTGTTGAAAAAGGCCATGCGATAGGCAGTTTTTTCTTGTCGTTCAAAAAGAGCATTCTAGATAGTAGAAAAAGGCTAATTTCATATTTTCTTCAGAAACACAATTAACTCTGATACGGGAAGGCGTGACTCTCTGAAAATTCTAGCTCGTCACGCCCTATGAAGCAGCGGCTGGCATCGGTATCGCACCGCCCGGCGAGTCTGGAAGCCTTGCAGTAAGGATATCGACACCATCCTCTGTCACTAGAAGCGTATGCTCAAACTGAGCTGATCTTTTCCCGTCTATGGTCACACTTGTCCAGTTGTCGGGCCATGTTTTGTCTCGATAACTTCCGAGATTGATCATGGGTTCAATAGTGAAGCACATCCCTGCTTTGGCTGACCCCACGGTTTTGCTTTTAGCGTAATGCGGGATGCTCGGGGTCGTGTGGAATAGCTGGTTTATTCCGTGGCCACAGTAGCTTCTGACAACGCTGCAATCCCGGCTCTTGGCGTGCTTCTCGATCACATTCCCAAATTCTCGGAACAGGGTTCCTGGTTTAACAATTTCAATTGCTTTGTCCAAACATTCCCTTGAAGTTTCTACGACTCGAACCGCATCCGGGTCTGCCTTGGCTTTGTCACCGACATAATATGTTTCATTGAGATCGCCGTGGAATCCGCCATGGTAAAGCGAGATATCGATATTCAGAATATCACCGTCTTCTAGGGGCCGTTGGTCGGGGATACCGTGACAGATAACTTCGTTCACGGAGGTGCAAACAGATTTGGGAAAGTTCACATAGTTTAGTGGTGATGGATAAGCCTGGAATACAGTTAGACAGCCCATATATCGAAACGAGAAGAGCCTCTGTATCGCTTACCTCTCTTTCTAGACAAGCTTGATGCACAACTTTATCAATGTGGTCAGTGGTGACACCTGGTCGAACTTCTCGAGCAGCAATATCCAGCACCTCTCTCGATAACCGGCACACCTTCCTCATCCCCTCTATTTCTTTTTCATTGAGTATTTTAATGTTATGTCGCCCAAATATTTTTTGTTCTGAGCGTGGAACTCCATCGACTGCATAATCGGGGTGCTGGATCGAGCTAGGGACAGGGTTCTTGGGAGAAAGGGGATACACAGGTCGTAGAGCACCCGTAAATGGGAACGTTGGGAATGGGTTGAACGTTTCTGAAAAAAAAATGAAATGACGGTTAGTCCACTAAGTCCTGATGACGACATCAATCACATTATCAATACATTTCCTCACCTTTGGACTTGTGGATCGCCTTGTGCTCACCCTATATGTTAAAGGTCAGCAACACCCGAGTTTAGAGGAGCCGGTCTCAGCACCTTGTGAGACAGTACGGAAGCGTACCCAGCTACGCTTAAAGCAGTCCTGGGAGCAGAAGTAGCTTTCAATCCCAATTTTAAGACACGCTGGACATCGTAGACTTCCTGCTGCCTGACTGCAATCCACCCCGCTACAATGTTTGTTGTCTGGAGCGCTCATATCTGCTGTCAAATAGATGGAACACAGATTCAGAATACAGCTCCTATCTGCGACTAAAGGCCAGGTTCGAAGAGAAAAGCCTATTAGTTCTTCTCTCCTGGAGGAGGTGATCTCGTCGTGGTAAAGCAGCTGGCCGTTCGGTTGTCCAGAATCTCCGCGATCAAGATCTGCAGCTTTTTTCTTCGCTTCCTGGTTACTAAGCGACGACGCTTGAAATAGTTAGCCGCGCGATAATTATTACTCCTTTCGGACAGTCGACTTCAACGCCTCGCCTTGCACAAAATACGGAGTAAATAATATACTAATATACTCCATGAGCTCCTCGAGGACGGCCAGCGTAGATAGATATCTTCCATGCAGGTGATATAGGCGTGGATGGACTCATGTTGCGCCGCGCTTCATAGGCTCGCTGCTCCGTATATAACTAAAGTAAGTAAACCTGTCCCGCGTTGTCACCTTCCGGCCCAACACCGCAAACCCCTGGCCATAATAAAGGCACACCGGACGCACTTGTATTGTCAAGTTCCTCGAGGCCGAGCAGCCCGCTGACACTGCAAATCCAGTTTCATCTCCCTGCAAGTGAGAACCTCGTGAAAGAAGACGGCTCCTTGAGCCAGCTGCGTGGCGTTTCTTACATAACCGAATTCCACGCCGTTGATTCGCAATAGCCATCCCGGTCCAGGGGTTGCGCCCTGTTCCGCCCGCCTGCCGTCCAGCCACATACATTTTTTCGGGACTCATCAGCAAATTTCTTTCAACGCCTTGGATCTTCACAGCGTGTGCCTGGCGAACAAGAGAGGTGTCTACGGTGTTACATACAATTCCGACCAGGGTTTCGCAGAGTCCTGTCGCGAAGCGATCAAACCAAGTTCTGTGTCACGTCAACCACAGCGAAGAAAAATAATATTCCGTGGTCTCAAGGGGTCGATGTCCGTCCATAAACGAAGCCAATGGAATTACTAATATTGCCCCAGATGTTTATTTAACAAGTTACGGAGCAATGGATATTTAACTAGCTCCGTGGACTAGACGTCTTCTGGAGCAAATCCCCCAACTTTGCCAGCAAGACTCTTATTTTCAGCGACAACACGTCAAAAACGACGGCTGTCAAACATGCAGAAGGTGGTGATTGTAGGGGCCGGCCCCGTCGGCTCGCTGGCGGCTCTCTACGCTGCTATGAGAGGCGATAGTGTCGAACTCTATGAGCTTAGAGGAGGTACGTGTTATAAGCTGCCATTGTTTCTTTCATCGAGTGAAGTGTATTTCGTACAGCGGGAGGAAGCCAGGTTGATCTATTCGACGGGAAATAACTTGTCGCCGGAACCAGTGGATATGTTGCCTGGTTTTTTTTAATCCCGCAGCGCCCCCTGTGGAATGCCCTTTTTTAACAATGCTCATATTATATTGTCTTTGGCAGTTGACTTACAGTATGGTTAGATCCGCGCGATTCCGCAACTCTTCCGTTAAATTTCACAAAGTCTATCAACCTCGCTATATCCGAACGTGGATTGAATGCGATGAGATCCGCCAACCGGTCCGGATTTGTCGAAACCGTCTTGAGCGAAGCAATTCCAATGACAGGTCGCATGATCCACGGACGTAACTCCGCAGGCTCTCTATGGGAGGCTTCTCAGGACTACGACGTCCATGGAAGAGTTAGTTGTTACTACCTACTTTATTTTGCCATGAATCGCAGGCTTATATTTTCCCATAGTATATAAACTCAATTGACCGGGGGAAACTCAACACAACTCTCCTGGATGAGCTGGAGAAAGAGCCAAACGTCAAGATATTCTTTAATCACAAACTCACGGGCGCCGATTTCAAAAATAAAAAAGCTTGGTTTGAGCGAAAGAACCCTGGAGATACCCCCGGATTTAGATCTACATCCAACGGTGATGACAAGTCCATTAACCTCACCCGTGCTCCAGAGCTGGAGGTGCCATTTGATCTACTGATAGGCGCTGATGGGGCCCACTCCGCTGCAAGATATCACCTCATGAAATATACCCGCATGGACTATCAACAAGAATATATCGACTGTTTATGGTGCGAATTCTCGATTGCACCCTCCAAGAATAACGACTTCCAAATTTCTCCACACCACCTGCATATCTGGCCTGGTGGTGACTTTATGTTTATCGCGCTTCCGTCTCCGGATAAAACATTTGTTTGCACCCTATTCGCTCCTGCCGAGCATTTTGCAACTCTGGAAAGTGATCCAAACATCCTCCTCAAATTCTTCCAGACCCATTTCCCCGGCGTCTCTCCTGAGTTGATTCCGCCTGAAGACCTTATCAAGCAATTTAACACGAATCCTCACCTTCCATTGATCAGCCTCAAATCTTCTCCTCATCATTATGGCTCCAGTGCTGTCATACTCGGCGATGCCGCCCACGCTGTGGTCCCGTTCTATGGACAGGGGCTTAATGCAGGTCTCGAGGACGTTAGGGTTCTTTTTGAACATCTAGATAAACAGGGTGTATATTCTGCGTCTAATGCAGATAATAGCCAACGAATCGCATCGCTTCGTGCGGAAGCCCTCGATGCATACTCCCTCCAGCGGATTCCGGACGCCCATGCCATCAACCATCTTTCTAGGGAAAATTTCATTGAAATGAGAGCAGGTGTGAAATCGCCGGTGTACCGGATGAGGAAAGCTCTTGAGGAAGCGCTTTACAAGTACTTGCCTGGGCTTGGTTGGTCTACGCAATATGCTCGTGTTAGTTTCAGCAACGACCGCTACTCAGAGGTAGTGAAGGCCACGAAAAGACAAACAAATGTCCTCAGCAAAGCCATGCTTACAACGTTTGTTTCTTTGGTTGGCTTCTCCACCATCGGCTTATGGAAATGGCCATGGTCTAGAGATATTATTACTAGAATGCTACATGCTACAACTCGAATTGCCAAAGGTATCGAGAGATCCTTGGCCTAAAAAAGAGCAATGTGCGAGGCGTTCTTGTTATATTTCTTGTGTACTCGCGTTCTCGGTGTGATCTTTTTGTCATGACCACTTTCTCCTATGCTTTGATGTAGAAATAGATAGAAGAGCCTTATTGTGCCAACATACTTTAATCCGCAACAGAACCAATTTCGAATGATAACAACGTACTCCATCGCTCATGACCATATACCATTGGGCCACGTATTCAACAGATGGCCAAATCAGCACAGAACAAGGATGCATATTACCCAGATTGCGCTATAATAGGAAGAAAAGAGCAAACTCGATGCTAATGGTAATCAATGGGAAACGTAATCCGTATTTAAGGAACGCTGTGAACGCCATTTGCTGTTCAGTAAAATATCTAGAGCCCGTAGCATTCATGCCAGGCAACAAAAATGTCAATCAAAAGTCATTGTTTAGGGAAGGAGCAGTTGGAGGGGGGAAACACAGGCTTTGGTATATATATGCACAAATAATGGTTCGTTCCCGATTACTCCCTGAAATAACAATAAGTGATAGAGAATGATGCAAGAGGACAGGAGAAAGGGACAGGAATACCCAGGTTTCAGGTTGGGGTCATTGGATAATCCCAAAAATCGAATTCCAGGAAGACAACGGCAGGACGTTCATTTCCGGCTCCCTGATGGTATGAAATAACTCGAACTCCATATGTGGTGAAATCTCCCGTCGATTCAACAGCATGGGTAGAGGAAAATTGGAAAAAAAAAAAAAAAATTGTTGGACGGGGCGGGAACATTTTGCCATAAAATGGGCAATAGATGGCTTTCATGAAAGCGATACTTCATGGAAATGAGGAATAAGTGGATAAAGTCATAAGGAGTTGGGAAAAGTGACTATTCATGTTCGTATAATATACGATCAGCCGCATGCCCAATTAAAAGAAACTAGGAGTATGATTCCGTCGCTCATGAATTTGCCTTTCTGTTCGGGAATACAAGAAATCAAAATATTCCATCGCAGGGGCGTCTTTAAGTATTTTAGCGACCTGTGTTCCGGCAGATATAAGTTGCAAGATGTTTCGATCATCTCTCAATGGGCGCGACTGGTTCTTTGCTGTGTGGCGCATCTCTAGGGAGTTTTCGAGCACAGTGATGAACTGTTTTATTTGGCCATCATATAAAACGCGCGCAGGGATGCGGCGCTTAGTCGCAAGCCTCCTGAGCAAGTGGACCCATTCGGTCCATTCACGGTCCTCTGGGGCTCTTACTTCTGATTTCTCAGGCTCCAGTGGGATTGGGAACTGGTATTTGGCCACAAAGTCAAAAGCGCACCGGGATAAGCGGTCGTTGATATCACACAAAATTTTCACTTGTTCCTGTACATTCAATGAGGTGGGCAGATGTGGCAGGTCCTTCTCCGGAATTTCAGTAGCTGCTGGGCCTGGGCTAGGCATCCTGAGCAGTTGTGTTGGTCCGTCAAACTCATCCCTGTTCCCGGGCTTTCGCCTCAAGTGGAATCTCGGGATGGAGTCCACATGTTCCTGGTTATTCATCTTCTTCATACGCCCCATAGAATGATCAGACTCCAAAGAAAGGGGCATTCCAGGATCAGATAGCCTGGAATTGTGATAAGACATGAACGGATCTTTCGAACCGTTACTAGAGTTTTGTCGCGGTAATTCGCCAATTGGTTCCAGGGCTATTGGGGGGTGGATGGTGGAGTATCGATCGTACGTCGTAGGTGGAGTGGTAACCATACCTCGACCTGTGAACACATCGAGCGGCCTACCAGGCCCGGGCTGCTGTCTTTCTGGGGAAGACATTTCTCCGTGGTCTCGGGGCGAAATATCCCATGGTGGTGAAATTCTAGCTCCATTAATAATCCGATGTTTAGCTACACTCATCGCACGATACCGAGTGATATAAGATGTTCTCTTGGTCCGTACCTTGCGTTTCGTATCTCTGGTGGCCATGGTAGGTCTGAATAACAAGGAATTTCGCGCTCTCTGTTTAACAAACTGGGACTGCTCGAATTGAATAAGTCTTTGATTCCGCTAAGCTCGATGCCAGGCTCCAGTGGGGAGATCCAGGACTAACCTGCGAAAAGGAAATGTGGCCGCATTGTTTCTTGGGGGATAGAACATTGAATCATTCTCCCGAAGGCTACCTGGGGATAGAGGAATGCTTCCTGGGTATGCCATTCTCTGGGGAAACACAAGCAACGTTATCAAGCCAAACCCGGCGAGCCATGCAACGGCTATAAAAAGGAATGGGAAGTAATTCTATATAGATTGTCGAACGCCTGCACCGAGCCAAAGAAAAGGAAAGGAAAAAAGGAAACACAAGAGAGGAAAGGCTTGAATCTAGATAGTCTTAATGTTCACACCGCTAATTCGCGGAGTTGGGCCAGGAAGAGGCGCAACAAGCCATCGGGGGTAAGTAAAGCAGCGGATAAAAGTAGTCAATGTCTTTCTTTCCAAGGAGATGACGGGTAAAGATCGTTAGTTAATATTGTTTTCCTGCGGCTTGGGTGGTCGGCTGGGAGGGAAACAGAGCTACGAGCAGTATAGCTTAGAAGGCGAGCAAACGGCTCCACGTACACGTCTGTCGTCTCACTATTTTTCTTTTCATGGGCATTATATGAACCTATAAATCCCGGAATAGGGCCTTGCAGTTGACACGACCCAAACTCAAAAAATGGCGCCCCGCACCACGAGAATGCGCCATCTGGTCTTCAGGAAGCCGATGACTGAATTTCGATCGAGGAGGCGGATGCAAATTAACAAGGAAACAAGCATCACATGGCCAAATGGGAGCCAGAGGGAGAAATTTTTGGGCATCAAAGAGTGTGGGCGGAGAGGGTCGGCCGCTTTGAACAGCCAATGCCGTGTTCAACAAAACCGTTTCTCTCTTCGCTGTATTCTGGGCCTATGGACCGGGAGATGGAAGCTCCTAGTGGTCGCCGTGAAAATAGCTTGTTAAATGCGGGCGCCTGTCCGTCTCGTTGAGCTGTCCCTTGCTAGGTAGGTTTAAACCCCTTGGAGACAAGAAGTCAACATGGAGAAAGGCAAGGGAAGGCCATGAAACCGTTGGCTGCCGGACGAATCCCATCTGCACGCAAGCCAGGTTGCACATCGTCAATGAATGCAGTGAAGCATTGAACGAGGCAGGCCCACAGCCTATAGAGATTGGGCACTTTCTCGGTCCGTCACCACTATGGGGTTAGGGAGATAGGCAATGGACCGCCAATTTTAGATCAGAACGGCAATGCAACCCCTGGATCTGCGAGGGTGGTGCTAATCGGTGCAAAGAATTAGTATGCTGTTCATCGGGGGGAAGTTGGGCATTGACGCACATCCACATCACTCGCGTTGCGTTGCGGCCCAATGTTTTTTTCCTTGCCGGCACAGAGCCAACTTCTGCATGGTCCCGTTCAAGCGATATGCTTGCTCTGTTGGCGTTCTGCTAGTGGCCTGTCAGCAAAAAAAGACGAAATCTGGCCTGAACAACTGCAGTTGGTGCGAGCAAATTGGTCCAACGACGTTGTGCAGTTTGACTCGTATCACAATCCCGCATGACTGTGGGGTGATTATTTCAGGCGGCTAGTTTCCCTCGAGGCAGCTTGGGTACAAGAGAGTCATGATGCTGAGCTCTGCTTTGGATTTATGACGATAAAATAATGTTTTCTAAGGCTGATTCTTCCATACAATAGTCCTCCCGTCGCCATGGTCAGCCAGGTTTGTGATCCAGCCGTGGATATAGTTAATCGCGATAATATAGGCCATCGGATGAACTAGGATTCCAGGCTCCAAGTGACCCAAGGTACATCGAGAAGGACCTGCAGGCCATGAAGGTGGCTGGTAATGAATTGGCCGGCTATTTACGTAGACATTTCACAAACGACCTGCTGTCGATTCTTGTTGGTTGGCTGGCCGTTTTATGCTAGGACTGAGCCTTTCGGCGTGTATACTCCGTACTTTGTGTGTCTGTGTCTCGTCCTGTAGTTAGATACGGGGCCCCCAGCGCCTTGCAAATAAGAGCTCTTTCGAAAAATCTCCTTCACTTTGTCCACCAGGACATACGCTGCCATCTCTGGTCAAGAATGCGTCTCTTCAGGGCCTCTTCAGACCTCGGCCGACAACTAGCTATCTTGTTCTCCAGCCCAACAAGAGCAGGACCTGCAACTTTCAGAGCCTGATTCTTCTCAGTGGCCACTTTATTCGGAGCTCCTAGGATAGCCTTCTCCGTTGATCAGCTTTGCCGGGGGAGGGGGTGCAAGTTGGATCGCATTCCCTGCTCGGTACTCTGCCTGCACATATATATCAATCCTTCCTGCAGGCTGTCCTGCTTTCGCCTCACTCTGAGCTGCAGGTCACAGCCATTCTGTTTGATGTCGGTTTGAATTCCAGCGCCAGGGCTCAGCCCGCCCTGCCCTGTCCGTGGGAGGAGGCATGAAAGGAGAGCCTGCGGGGACCCGACAGCTTTCGGCTTTTTGTAACCATTTATCTAACACCGAATTGTTCTTTTTTGCCAGTCACTGAGATGACGCTGAGAGGGATGTCCTTTTTCAACCTGACGTTCAGCCAGTCCGTCGTAGTTAGTTATGATTTCTGGCCCCGGCTGGAGCCCCTCAATGGGTCACGTGGGAAACCTGCGACGACGAAGAAACGACAACGACGACTTTCACGCCTGGATCAGGTCTATTGCCACGTTGGTTACCATTATTTGGTTGCGGCCTGTAGGGCAAATCTGTGCTTTTGAGACTTGCTTAACTACATAGATGAAGCCCTTGCAAGAGAGCCGCGGTACTCTCGATGTAGGTAAGCCAAACTGGTGCCGAGAAGCCCAAAAGCACAATCCCAGGTCGCAAGGAGGATATTAGGCACGGCATGGCCTGGAGATCAGAAGGACTATTGATGTCGAAAATGAGATCTGCTTAATGCATGAGAACAAAACTATCAGTTCCAGCCCGCTGCTGTCTACGTTAACTCGGGTGAAAACTTCCGAACAACGATCTCTCCCCAGAAT